TTTAAAGCGCTTTCAATGAATGCTTTCTCTACAAGCCTGTGATATATCATATATCGTTGTACACATTTGCTTTAGTTTTTGAGTTTAAATTTCAATATTATAATATAAAAATATTGACTATAATCAAGAGGACGAGATAATTTACAATGACAAAAAAAATAATGAGAATTTTTTTTATCAATAGAAATTCCGTCTGAAAAAAATGTTCAAAATTTAGATATAAATATATAGGTTGTTTGAGGTTTGGAGGGGTTTAATTTCCAAAAACATATCATATAGTGAAGATAGGACCTTCGAAGTGTTTATAATAGTTATTAATGACATTTTTAGTGTTTTTTTTTTATTATTTCAATGGAATTTACAACTGTATTACATAGAGAATACAATAAGTAAATGAGAAATTTGTAACATGGCATGTACAACATGAAGAGAAACTACCCATTGGTAGAACTCAATTTTTAGTGTTTAAAAAGTATTTTTAATGATGATTAAGATATTATAACGATGGAAGCCCAAAGCGTTAAACGAAAAATCTATAGTGAATTCCTCACGTCACTGAAACTATCGGTATATCAAATTAAAATAATTAATCTGAAAGCATTTGTCCAGGAAAGGATGTAGTTCAGATATGCTTAATGATAAAAAAAATAGTCAAACCCGATAACGAAAAAAACAGATTTAAGGAATCATAATTATTCAAATGCTATTCACAAAAACGTCCGTAGTTTTGTGTAGGTTATCAAATCAATCTAGAATTACTACTAGCAGTGGAGAAGTTTAAGACAATATGCGCGTAATATATACATTTTGATACATTATTGTTATTAAAAAATAAACGTATGTGTCGTACTCCATATTACCCCCTTTCAACAACTTGCCATTGGAGAGATGTTTTGCTTTTCATGAGAATGAACTAGGCTTGCTCAGTAGAGACGGATACTCTTTCCCAGCCCGTTAACGGATTAAGAGAAAAAACCGTGGAGTTGTGGCTGGATGCTCACCATACCTCGTCCCTGTCATGAAACAGTACTATTCTTATAAGATTATTAATATTGGATAAATATTGTCAAGAATATTTATTCGCCTCATCTTGATCAAGTTTTATCTTGGCAAACCCAGCTAAAACTATATATTTATGATATATGATTTACAACTCTCTGTAAAATAACAATTAAATTGTTTCTTGTAATTGCGAAGAAATTGTTGACTGTAGATTATATGGTTGGCAAGTTATAATATGTTGCAGTCAGAGAGAACAGACAAATAACAATAAAAGATTTTTAGTTATTTTTTCACAGACGTTTCGGCCTAATTTAACCATCGCTAAGTGACTCCACTGAATTCAAACAGGCATTAGGTGTAGGAGTCCTGATGATAGCTTGTAGCTTAGGCCGAAACGTCGCCACAAAATAAAACTCTTTCAATTTTATTTGTGTCTTCTCTCTCATTGCGACCCCAACTAATTTGTTAACCAAATTTTTGCTTAGTTGATATTGATCTGACTCGTTGAATAACTAGCCTAATGTTAGCGGAGAGCCATTTTCTTCTTTCAGCAAGTGTCACTGAATCCTGCGATTGAGAATGTGATGGGATTAGTGTGTTTATAATGGTACGAAAATGTATCCTTTTTGGCGTAGATTTGAAACATTAGTAGATTAAGACATTCATAGGTAATCTCATTAATGACACAATAAAGATCATTTAGAAGTTGACAAAATGTGTAGTACGGATTGGATCAGTTTAATATGAGAAATATTTGTCTAGATCAAGTATAAAGTTTGGTTTACAATATAAAATATTTACATGTAACTAACTGGGTCCCTCAATGATTTTAAATTATCAACTAGTCAAATCATTTTACCTTATTTTAATATACCCCCTATGACATTTAAGTTTATAAAAACTATACTTAAGAATTGGTTCAATCCAAGTTCAGTTTTTCATACTAATGTCCATACCAGAATTAAAACTAAAGATTTTTAGAAAGAAAAGGTCCTAACTACTGAGCCAATGAAACTCAATTTACTCACCGAGAAGATATGAATAGATTTCTAATATGTTTCACAACGATTAATGACTGTAATTAAGTACTTAAATGCTCTTATAAGAGTTTTCTTATCAATTAAGTTTTAAAAAAATAGTGCCAAAAGAACAGTCGCAAATGGTCGCAGCTAAATTGTGTCTGAACATGTTTACTAATATCTCACTGACAATATGAGACTGAAATGGAAGGTAGCTTCTGGGTCCATTATCCATCAAATAAGTAAAAATAATAATGTAGAAATAACTCTAAAAGGATAAATTTTTTTAACCCTTTTACTGTGATCGAGTATCAGTGTTAGTGCAAAAAAAAGTAAATTTAGGGGTCACAATAAGTATTCTGCACTGTTATTTCTTTGGGCTTTGTCTTTTGCTTTGAGCTATGATTTAATGTAAATCGTTATCACATTTCATTCAAATTTACGCTCCCAATAGCACCAATTTTGTAATTAAATTTCATAATGAGAAACATTTTTAAAATAATCATTCCTTGTAAATTTTATGTCACCAGCTATCTGGCTTCAAGAAGATATAAAACGATTTGAGAAAATAAAATACGTGAAAATTCGTATTATGTCCCCGATTTCGCTCCACTGTGTCATGATGAGATGATATTTGTCGGAATATTTTAAATCGTTTTAACACAAATTTTCTGAGTTTGTGATATATGATTGAAGACTAATTATACCACGGTACAAACCCGTTTTTATCAAATTATTAGCATCCATATAAAACTTGGTGTTTGGCTTAATATTCATCTCCATCGTAACCTACAGATTTATAATCCACGAAAATTCCATGAAATGAGATTAATTAATTAATTTAATGAGTTATTACGAGCTCACGAATGCCCATTTGCTTTCCACGTAAATCTTAAGATAATTTGATCACAAAATCGGGGTAGCATAAAAAAATATTGGGCCGTTTGGCCTATTGTAAGAACTACAAGAGGTATAAGTAGGTGGAAAGCAAGTTGCTTATGAATTTTTATTGCCTCACTAAATAGACAATATTAACTTATTTCCAAATTCAAAACTCCCTATTTCCGAGAATATTCGTTGGTAAATAAGTTGTCAGATACGATAAGAAGAAGCCATTCACCAAGTTTTAGGCAGATGTTAATAATTTGGTAGAGAGGGCTCAGAGCATATCCGGGCTGTAACATATCCAATAAAGATTATTCTTTGATAAACCCAAAATGTTTGAAGATGAAAAGCCATGGAATTTGTGTTCTTTGAGCGATGGGAGGGCATCCAACAAATTCTGACCCCGATGCTTTTAATCATAGGCTGAAGATGATAGGCTCTCATTCATTCCGTTATTATCAGAGAATGCAATTTCGTTTAGCGGAAGGAAAAGAAAGATTTAATTGCTAATGAAACAGAGCAGAGCATGTTTAGTCAGGTCCTTGGGTTGGAACGAGGCATTGTAAAATGTGCAACAGTTCCGTTTCGATAAGGTCAATACATAAATTAGTATATAATATATATATAACATAATGAATATTTTCTTTTTCCAATGTTTGTGGTTAAGTGTCATGGACGATAAAAAATTTAACATTTCGTTGCATTTAGTACTTATAAAATAATATAATGAGCACATTAAATGAATATAAATACAGAAGATAAATTGATATCTAAATAAACGAGTTTAGCTGGACAGGTAAACAATTTCATGGCATTTGAATCAGAAACAAAGCACTATTAAACCGACATAAAATCACAAATAAATTATAACTTAAAAATAAAAACGTGATTTACAATAATATAATGATTAAAAGCTCATTTCATTAATATCATAAAGTATATATCAGTCTTTACTGTTTGTTTATTTACTTGATTTAGTTAGAAAATGTTTTCCTTCTCTCGATTTGAATACTTTGTCTATATTCCTTGGCTTGATTTAAATAGAATATTGCCTATTTCAAATAAAAGGGAGTATTAAATTTATCATATCAGTCGCAAACAAATAAAACAGAACCAGTTTTTTTCTTTTTTTAAATCTCAGTTTAACAGAAACATAGCATTGTTTTCCATTGTCTTCTTATCAAGAAATGGCAACTGTCACATCTCCACAAAGTATTGTTTATATGCTCATCAAGTATTAAAAAGTGTTTCATGATCGAAATTTTGTAGTTTTTATTCCTCCCTTTTACATTTTAATAAACAAGACTATTATTCAATGCTGAGAAAAGATATATCTAAATTTCTAAAATTATATCAACAGTTTTAAGACGATATATGTATTAAATTGGAAAAACTGAATGGAAAATTGCATCTTTTGGAGAGAAAATGAATTAAATTTGTTGCTTTTGACAAATCAATGTGAAATTCCCATTTTTCATTTTCCCCTGGTGTTTCTCCGTCAAAGGAGCATGAAGGAAAGACCACCATTGAAATCTCTGTTTCCAAACCAGCGTTAAACCCTCATTTCTCTGTCATTATCGTCACTTGTCAAAGTTATATACAGTCAGTAGTTATCTTTGTCTTCATGCTTATTATATCCCATTCTTTATATAATTGGCTTTCATAAGACACTAAATTTCACCTCTATAAAACTTGACCAACATGGATTGTAACCCAACTTTGGATAAAAATCACCCCAAAATGAAAAATTGTAAATTAATTGAAATACGAAAATCGTGATTTGAAACTTGAATCCCTATGCTCCCGTTATCAGGTTATAAAGTGTTACAACCCTGATGGTATGTAGACCAACTGAATGGCCTACAAATACAAAAACATCGATTCCACTAAAAATTAATGTCAAACTGTAACTGAGCTAAATAGTATTCACTATTACTAGATAAAATTAACTATTAATAAATCATCGAATTTACATTAATTAGTATATTAATGAGTATGTCTTTTTTTTTTTTTTTTTTTTAGTTCAAATACGGATATATTTACGCTATCAGTCGAAATGGGAAATATAAAATACTCTAACATTCAAGTTATCGACTAAATACTTTTAACTGTACTCACAAGGTAATACTCGATCGGTTTCTCCCTGGCCTTGTTGTAAGCCCTGTGTATCTCGGTGGCCCTGAGGGCGTGGGCGATGTGGAGGGCACTAGCATCAAACCTCCCGTACTGGTACTGGTCTATTTGAGGTGCCGCCGGTGCCACTGTACTCCCGTTGGTGGAGCGAATCTGTTCATTGACGAACAAGCTAGTCTTGGGCACATTGAGAGCAGACCTGATGCCGACCGCAGAGCCATCCAAATGACCAGGGCCTATTTTGGGTACGTGACCGGAGCAGTAGACTTCCTTGTCCTCTTGTCGGTGCTGATTGTTGTAGTACGTCTTTAAGGTTAGTTTGGTGCCACATACCGCACACTTGAAGCAGCCCGAGTGGAAGAAGGTGAAATCCTTGAGGGGCCCTACCCTGTCGACCTGATAGACCGTCTGGTCACACCTGAGGCAGGTGCTCTCGTAGAAGTTGACCCGGTACATCCTCCTAACCTGCTTCCTCCATAGCCCGGACAGCACTGGCCCCACTTCACCGAGGCCCCCCTCCCCGCCGGGGCTAGAAAGTACAACGGTCACCTGTTGCCGAACTACCTCCCCACTACCTATTTACATTTTCTCTTCAGCTACCTCCATTCTTCCATGTAGCCATATTAATGACGTTTGTAATAGCACCGAGAGTAATAAGCTGAATAAGAATTTCTTAAATATATATATTTAGAGCTTCAAGCCAACATTCTACAATTTTCCAATCACTTTTATATTTAATTACTGATTCACCTGGATAATGGAATGAATGGCATATGTGCTAATTTCTTTTGGTAAACTTTGAAACACTTGCCACTGTGGGATTCACCTTTCAGGATGAAGCCCCCAAAACCAAATATATTTTTTTTTTCATTGGTCCATATTTGTTTACGTAATTGATCTAAGTTAAATACTTAAACAATCATAATATATTGTCTTTTTTAAATAATGATGTGTATACAGCTACTGAATATAAGCTCTTGTCAAGAAGAAATGTAAGAAAATTATCACTAAAAGCATTATTGTTCATGTAATTACGGTTTTTATTTGTTTTATTTTCAATGACCTTTTGAATATCATTTCATATGTATAGTTTTTTGTTTTATCTTCCGGAGTAATCACATTTATTGAAAGAACAAGTATATATATAAAGGGCCCACCTCAAAAAAAATCCTAGATCTGCAAATGATACTTGGTAGAAGAGGTAGGGATAAAAGTTCAATTTCTATGCAATTATCACATACACATTTTCGTGAATGTATATTTTATAAATATTCAATGGTATATTATAAAAACTGGTGTGTGACTATTGGTCACTTATAATCAGTAGCGGATCTAGGATTTAATTTTGGGCGAACTTTTTTTATTTTATTTTTTTGTTATAATCTTGATAACACTAAAAAAAGAGAAAGGGAATATATAAAATAATGTTTAAGCGGTCCTTGTAGGCCTGTAAAAAACAGTAATTGCAGGAACAATAATGCTTTTAGACATAAACTTTTTACTTGATAAGTCCTTACACTTAGAAGGTGTTTATGCATTATAATTGCAATAAATTATAAAGAGTACTAATGTAATTCTAAAAGTATTTAGTTTTTTTCCTCTGTCCTTCCTGGTATTTTAGGATATACGGAGGTTTTTCCGGGCTGGGGGAGAGGGCGGGAATTATGTCAGACTTAAAAGTTCTATCGGGAACGCATATTTTAAACACGAGTTAGCCCGCTCGGCCACTTCGGCTCCCCTTCTAGTATTTAGCTCACATCATTCACAGAAACAAATATAGACCAATGAAAACAAAAAAAAAATTTAATATATTTTGAGCTTCAGCCCGAAAGCTCTCCCCCTCTTAGATGCTTCAGTGGATAGAATATTGAATCGCTATATTGCGTCTTTACCGCTACCCTTATATCTAGAACTTAACAACCTGTAAAATATTTTCCTATTTCCCCTTTAGTTAATTATCAAACTTTTTTCATAGTTTATATTTGGCCATTTTGTATTATTATAAACAATGAGAAAATTTTAATTATTTCAAATCAACAAAATTAAAGCTACTTTAGGTGAAGTGATTCATGAAATGCGATGTTTAAGGGGTGTTGAACTATTAGGATAGTACATAATACAAGAAATTGAGGATGGCAGCTGATATTGAAAGCATTTAACTGTACATTGTTATTACTGGTTTAGTCGAAATAGTACGAGCCGTTTTCTGGAAAAAATGATAACTTGGATTTGTTTTTTCACTATCTATATCTTCCTTTAATATCCACATATTTCATATATAGATAAATTATAGTAAAGAGGAAATATATAAGATTTAATTTTGTTCATCTTTCATTCGCGAATAACGAATAAATTATTCATCTTCAAACCTTTTTTTTCTTTACAGTTACTTCGAGGGATCATGAGGAAATGCAAAGGGGTGAGACTATGAGGCTAATTGATGGGAATGAGGTTGAAGAATGGCGAAAGGAAAGAAATCGGTTGGATCAGAGACACAAAGCATTATGCTTGTTGCAGATAAGTTGCTATATTATATATAACTTTTATTATGACATTTACAACTATATTAGTATGAATACATCAAGTAAATGTGTACATAGGAATATTATCATATGAAACACGCTTGTTGAGAAACTACCCATTGGTAGCACTCTATCTATTAATTTTGTTCTCAAAAAATCACATGTAATATAGGATGTGATCTTGGATGCTGCTTTAAGTTGATACAAGGAAAATAATGCAACTCATTAAACATTTCATATAAAACTAAACACACTTAATCCTTAAGCCGTCCACACGCGGTCGATTGAAGAATCGTGCTATTTGAATCAAACATAGACAACAGTGATTTGGATCGCACCGACTATATCTATCGACTGCATACCTGGCCGACGCGATTCCAATCCTGGTGTCAATGCTGAGAAAAGCGCCGTCTGGCTCGATTTTATAGTAGTACATTAATCTGTCATAAGGAACTTCCTTCTTCAAACAGTAATTGAATAGCGCAATAATTAGCAGTACCAACAGTGATGAACACGACATGATTATGTTTATTATTAAATTTAAGGAAGAGGACAACGTAGATTATGGCAGTATCCCTACATCAAACGAAATTTCCAATGCCGGTTATAAAATTAATATATATTTAAGTAGAAATAAAAATAATTTCACTAAATATATATTTATACTTGTAGTTTAGAACTTCACTTCATTAGAATAATAATTTATTTATTGAAAATATATGACAAACAAAATATATATTATAAAAAATAATATAATAAATTTCTCAATTTATGATTTTGTTTTTCTGCTTTTCTTCGGAGTTGGATCTTTACAAGCCTTCCCTTGTAAAAAGACCCCATTGTGCCGCTACGCTATGGTGGCCATGTCAACCATCTTTTCTTCTATACGACACAGGCAAGGTGTTGCAGAGATTGAAGAAAAATGATCGATTCCAGTTAAGCCTTCTGCATATTGACCGATAGTCAGATTCGAAACTCAAGCCCATTGTAACTTTTACTTACAAGGAGAGGTTACGAACGCGGGGTCACCGATTTCAATGAAACTTATTTTGGAGATACTAGATCGAAACGTATTAGAGGCATGTTCGAGAGTTCTTGCCAGTGCACATATTTTGTACATGTAACCGTACTTTCGATACCCGCCCGGTTTAGAAAAAATATATATTTGGCATACAGCTTTAGTATTAGTAAAATATTGAAACAATTAGTACTGACCTAAGCAGTAAAGTGCGTTCAAAAATATTTTTTAATGAGAAAAGAAGTTGAGATTAATATTCAAACCTTAAATACAAATTTTCGTACAGATCGAAAAATTATTTTTTATTTTTTTTATCCTGGCTTCAGATGTGTTTCCTTGTATCGCAAAAGTTGCTATAAGTTCACCATGCCTCCATTTATACATGAAAATTTGCATGAATTTAGTGCCCTATAATATGCACAAAATGGCATAAACCAGACGCCCGCAAATAAATTAGGCTTGTTTATTCCTTATAAAGGCGTTCCTTATAAATCTAAAAGTTATTGATATTGTTTAATTTAGCTTTCCAACGGTTGTGGTAACGATGAGTTAGGAGAAAATCCTGAGAATGTATGAATATTTTAGTAAACGGCACAAGAAAAAATCCTTCCATAAAATTAAGTCTAAAAACTTATATTTTATGATTTTTTTAAAAACTCACATTTAAGAGTTTTATTGGACGCTAAAAACGAATCTGAATCGTTTACATATGGTACATGAAGGTCGTTATGGATAATTTTATATGTGACTAAGTAAGGTGCATTGAGGATTTTAGGGAGGATTTTGGATTGTAAGGATTGGATACGAGAGGAATTCGATGGTTTAGTTGAGCCCCAAAGCTCAATTCCGTAAGTCTAAATTGGCCTTATGATAGTCATGTAAATGATTCTTTTGTAATATATTGAAAGTTTAGAGCTTTTGTCCAATAGGTGCTGGAGTAGTGGGAAACTTCGATCAGTTTCTTGTCGTTTCAGTCTTGTATGAGGATTCCATATGAGTCGTTTGTCCAGATGGAGTCCTAGGTATCGGATTTGTTCAACAGAAATAATTGGGGAATTGTTAAAGGATATTGTAGGACAGGAAGTCATAGGTTTGCGACGAATAGTAAAGGTAATTTGATGGGATTTATTGGAATTTATTTTAATTCTCCAGTATTGACACCATTCTTCAAGATTTGTTATATATGATTGAAGAGTTTGGGATGCAATGGGTGGATCGTTATTAACTGATTGGATACATGTGTCATCAGGACACATTATGTGGTGGTGATAGTGTTGGGATGGGTTTGTCAGCTATATAAACTATGTAAAGGATAGGACCTAGGACACTATCTCGAGGAACACCAGCAGACTGGAAGGAAAGGGATGAATAGTTATTGTTGTGATTTACTTTGAAGTATCTATCAGTAAGGTAGGAACGGATAATGAGGAACTATTTAGGTAGTAGGAGTTTGTACATCAATCCAGGATGTACTCTATCAAACGTCGAGAAGGACTCCCGCGCAGTACATTCTGCGATCCAATATTTTACATTAGAATTCGTTTAATACAATTAGGAGCACGTTTTTCTTATTTTACACAAAAAAACAAATCAATTGATATATCACAACTTAAAAAGCGATGCAGAACAGATTCAAGAAAGAGTAATATAAAAAAATAATTTTTCTTGACGGCTCCTTGGGTGATTGCCCTCGGACATGGATCTTATATTTTTCGACCTACCATTACAAGAAAAGTGACCCCACTTCCCTCACCTTCCCTTGTTAGCCTAGGATAAGTATTTTAGATGAAGAAGAATTGAAGACAAAATAAAATCAAATAGTAATATTGCTTTTAGTTTAATAAAATTTGATGGGAGATAACAAATTTGAATCAATTCATCAAAAAATTCCTTTTATCTCTGGGTAATATTCAAATTCAACAAAGTCCGCAAATATTTTACTTCCTTTCTCAGCTCTTCAAGTTCAATTAGCATATGGTTATACCCCGAAAGAAGTTGTTGAACTGCCTGAAAATTAAAAAGGTATCATTTACAATCAAATGATTTATAAGGATGTATTTTTTTTCTTTAATTCCGACAAAGCCCTACATACCCTATGTGGCGTATGGACATATCTCACAACAGGCTTGTTGAAACTTAAACGGGTTTCAAGTTTCTTTATTATGGATTCCATCCTCGCTCTTTGTCTATTGACTTCATTAAATACTGCAGTGTCAACTTCGATATCTTCATCATATTTGCGCAAGTATTTGCCAGACATTTCCTAAGTTAAAAAAAAAAAAAAGATGAATTTATTTTCATATTTATAAATTCAGAGTGCCCCGTAGGTAAAGAGGTGATAGTAGACCTTAACTGTTCCAAAAAAGTTAACATAAACAGTTAGATTTTCCACAGTCAAATAGGAAATTTCAATTTTGTGTTTTTTTAACTGTCAAGTTTTTTGTTGAATAGGAAGCGATAACTAATAAAATATTTAATTTAAAGAGTTAACAATTGTTTCTTAATGAACTTTTTTTATATATATACAATTTTATTTAATAATAATAATATAATCTGAATTGAAGGGCAACAAGTATTAGGGCTACAAGTTTTCATTCGTACAATGCATATGTGCAAACGATAAATAATTATATATAATATAAATGAAATAATCATAATTAATTATGATAATGATAATAAATAAATAATAATAAGATGAAAGGAAAATTAAAATGTGCATTACAGAAATAATATGAAATGTACTTCAGAAATAATAAAATCCTAATAAACTAGGCAAACTTTACTTCAAATGCAAATAAAGTTTTTCTTTGTTAAAACCCTTTAATGGGGATTTTTAAGCGGCTAACCTACGCTAACCTCTAATTTTAAAAAAATAATAGATTATTTGCAATATATTTTTTCATCATCCTCTAACTGTACTGCAAATATTCCATTTTTAGAAAAACTTTCTTTATTAATAAGCTTTTAATACATATTAATTAAGTTTTGTTGCAGAATAAGTTGAGATAATCCTCTAGCTGTGTGCACACAATTATGAGATTTGATATTCAGCCAGCCTAAAGTACCTATGTTTTCAACAAAAATAACTGCAATAAATTATTGCAAAGCTTTGATTTATATTCTTCCAAGACGTAGGATATATTATAATGAACATAGTTACAAAAATGAATTTTTTATTTATAAAAAATATACATTAGAAATATTGTTTTTTTTTTTTTCAAATATTTGTTATATAAACTGATAATTATGAAATGTTTTTTACCCAGATCTCGATTCATTGATCCCTTTTGTATTAAGCGAGAAATGTTAATGTTAAATGTTAGTTATAATAATATTTAACGCAAAGTATGAAAGATTTAATCCACTTACTAAAATTTTATTCTTGAGTTTCAAAGGTTGAAATGCGAAGGTGGCAGCAGTGTGGAGTTCGAAACGCAACTTCCTCAAATATATTTTGATTTTTTTGTATTCCAGATTCTGTTTCTTAATAGTCTTTTCCGTCACACTCAGTTTTTTACTTAACTGGTTGATCTCTTTACCCTTCTGGGCCACAAGGTGCAGAATTTCGAAAATTTCCGAATTTTTCTGAAATTGTTATCAAAAATATATGAATTGTTCATGCAATAGTAAATTATGATACTTTTTAAAAATAATTATTAACAGCTATCTGGAATAATGCAACTACCGTAAGATGGAGTAACATGGGGACAGCGGGTAAAATTTAGTCTGTGGTGATTCCGTAGTGAAACAGTATGTTGATTCAGTCAGCAAGGACAGTGCATTTATTGCGCTACTACCTTGCGGCGCACTACTCTTGAGGAACAAGCGTAAATTTCTTAAAAATAAGAATTTTGAAACCTCGCGCGGGCTCATTACCGCGTATGGGGAGCGTCCCACGGGTGGCGGATGTGGGGATGGTCGGTGGAAATTCCTTGGAAGTTCCTCCCGGCTAAGTCCGATGGACTCGCTGACCAACAATGAGAGGGGCCCTCCAGACTTGCTGGAGGGAGGGGACCTCCAGACTTGCTGGAGGTAGGGGCCCACCAGACTTGCTGGAGGGTGTGACGTAGGATTGAACGCCCTACTCACATATCTTTAGTTCACCAAACACCACAAAAAGTCATGGATCTCCCTAAGGTAAAACGCTCATTATCCGGAGGTAAACTAGTCCCCCGTTCGGGTCTCCGGGTGGGGACTGCTTTAGGGGATTCATGGCGCAAGTTGAAATATAGGGATTTAAATATTGGTACGTGGAACGTAAGGAGTTTAAACACAGCAGGGGGGCTAAAATCGGTCGCGAATGAGGTAAATGGGTACAATTTAGATGTCGTGGCTCTGCAAGAGGTTCGCTGGCCAGGGGAGGGCTCGATGAGGGAAGGGAAGTACACTATTTGGTACGGAGGAAGCGGGAATCATTGTTTAGGTACCGGGTTTCTAATTAGGCGTAGATTACTATCCGCTTTGAGGGACGTACAATTCTTTAGTGATAGAATTTCGGTAGCTACATTTCAGGGACGTTGGTTTAAAATCGCATTAATAAACATACATTGTCCGACCGAAGACAGTGACGATGAAGTCAAAAGTGAATTTTACGATAAACTCGAATGGGTTTATGATAAACTACCACGAAACTACATGAAAATAATTGTAGGTGACGCGAACGCAAAGGTAGGAAGGGAAGAAGTTTATATTCCGACGATTGGTAAAGAAAGTTTGCACGAATATAGTAATGATAATGGGATCCGTCTGATAAACTTTGCCATCTCGAAAAACCTGATAATTAAAAGTACGACGTTTAAACATAAGGATATTCATAAATATACTTGGACATCACCGGATTCGCAAACACGAAATCAAATCGATCATGTCTTGATACAACACAGCTGGCAAAGCAGTATAATTAATGTACGGTCTTATCGCGGAGCAGAATGTGGGTCGGATCATGAATTAGTAATCGCGAAACTTCGACAAAAACTTAATATAAAAAAGAGAAAAGAAAACCGTTTCGATTTTGAGAATTTTAATTTGGAAAAATTAAAAATTCCATCAATTAGAAACCAATTCGAGCTAGATGTTAAGAATAGGTTTGAAGCTTTAGAGCTTCCTGACGAGGACCACGAGGATATTGACAAGTTATGGATAGAGATCAGGGATAATATTAAAGCGGTCGGTAACTCGTGTCTAGGAAAAAAGGAAAATAAGAATAACAAACCGTGGTTTGATGAAGATTGCTTAAACATGTGTGAAAAAAGAAAAGCCGCTAAATTAAAAGCTCTAAATAATCCTAGCGAAGACAATCTGGAATACTTCCGAATCTCAAAGAACGAAACGACAAAATTGCTCAAAAATAAAAAAAGGGAATATCTTAAAAATAAAATAATTGAAATGGAAACTAATAGAATTGAAAATAACGTAAGAGAAATGTACAAAGGTATAAACAGATCACGTAAATATGTAGGGCCCGTAACGTCTGGAATTAGGGATGATAATAACAATATTCTGACCGATCCGGTTGACATATTGAATAAGTTTAAGGACCACTTTGACAATATTTTAAATACGGGAAATTATGATCTGAGTCCTCCTTCTGAGTACCAGAGTGCTGAACCGTTAATAGAAGGACCAAGTAAAGAGGAAGTTGAAGTAGCTATCGGAAAATTAAAATCATATAAAGCAGCGGGAATCGATAATATTCCTACTGAACTAATTAAGGCATGCGGAGAAGCTGGAGTTTCTAAAATACATCGGTTGGTTAAAAAGATGGGTGAACGAGAAATTACCTGAAGAATGGAAAGAATCTATTCTTATTCCGATTCACAAAAAGGGTCCGAGGACGGATTGTACTAACTTTCGAGGAATTTCACTCCTTCCGGTATGTTATAAAATATTCACTTTAATCTTAACCAGTCGAATCACGGAATACGCCGAGGAAATTATAGGAGACTACCAATGCGGATTTAGACGGAATCGTTCGACTATTGATCAAATATTTTCTTTACGGCAAATATTAGAGAAAAAATTGGAGTATAACGGTATTGTTCACCAGCTGTATATAGATTTTAAAAAGGCTTACGATTCTATTGACCGCCAGAAACTGTATAATATTCTAATCGAGCAGGGGATTCCAAAAAAACTAGTAAATCTAGTCAGGATGTGCTTGACGGAGACACTCAATAAAGTTAGAATCGGTAATAATTTGTCCGAAAAATTTGAGGTTCGTTCGGGCTTAAAACAGGGGGATTCTCTTTCGCCTGTCCTGTTCAATTTGGCATTAGAACATGCCATTAGGGAGGTATGCGTACCGAGAAAGGGTTGGATCTGGGCGGGACAACATCCGTGCTGGGCTATGCTGATGATCTGGTACTGTTAAGCGAAGACGTTGAAACTATAAAACTAAATACGACAACGTTAATGAAAGCCGGTAAAGAACTAGGACTCGAAATAAACGTGGATAAAACAAAATATATGGTTAGCTGCAAAAATGGCGATACTACTGGTGATATCGATATAGATGGTAATATGTTTGAACAGGTAGATAAATTTAGGTATCTAGGTTCTACGATAACTAGAAAAAACGAAATTGAAGAAGAGATTAAGGTTAGACTGAAGGCGGGGAATGCTTGTTATTTTTCTGTGACAAAACTACTTAGTTCGCGCCTCTTGTCCCGAAACTTAAAAATTAGAATCTATAAAACAATTATCTTGCCTACAGTTCTTTATGGATGCGAAACTTGGCCGCTTACATTAAGGGATGAGCAGCGTCTTAAGGTTTTTGAAAATAAAGTATTGCGTAGAATATTCGGACCGAAGAAGGATGAGTTAACCGGAGAGTTCAGACGGTTACACAACGCCGAATTGCGTGAGATGTATCCGGGTAATATAATTGAGGTAATTTCATCGCGGCGAATCAAATGGGCTTGTAAAGTTGTTGGGCTTAGTAACGAGAGAATTCCTAAAAGGTTAATATTTGCTGTGCCGAATGGTAAGCGTCCGAGGGGAAGACCGAAGCGAAGGTGGGAAGATTGCATTAAAGCCGATCTGAAGGGACTGGGTTTGGACGGCGAACGGTGGAGGGAGGTGTGTAACAAGCGATTGGTGGTGTCGGCATCGAACCTTCGGGTTCGCTAAGCCTTATTATTATTATTATTATTAAGAATTTTGAAAAAAACAAACCAATGGAAATAAATAAAACCTAACTGCACCACGAGTGGAGTGAACTGGGGTTCTCAAACTGGCGCAAGGTAGTAGCGCAGTACATGCCTACACAAAGCACGTTTTCGCAGACTGAACTAACACAGTGAATCCACCTCGGAATAACCTCAAACTAAATTTTACCCGCTGTCCCAAAGTTACACACCCAGTCCCTAAGTTAGCCCATCTTACGGTATATGAACACAAAGATGAAATTCGATATGTGAATGATATAAAAAAAAATCTCATTAGTTAATATTTTGCAATACTTGAAATTATTCATAGAAAATTTGCCATAATTAGAGACTGGATTTCCATATTATTGCATATTTTATTCGCTTGCGTGAAAAACTCCAAACTCGATTATCTATGCGTTTCACGAACAATAGAATAACATATTTCATATTGCAAGTTTTGCTGTTTTCGGTCTAAATTACACGATGTTAATTTTTGTTGAATTAAATTGCATATTTTTACAATTTTTAAATTAGATGATTTATAAATATTAATATACAGGTTTGAGGAAAATTTATGATAGAAAAATATGAGGAAAGTAAATATGTTATAATGTGACTATCAAAAGTATGAATTTATCGTTACGAAAGGAAGAAGTAAAAACAAGTGGAGAATATTTAAGAAATAGAACATACCTAAATATTGAACAATAAAAAAATTCCTTCCTATTATAAACTGTTTTGTTAGAAAGACATTTATTGTTATTGTTTTGGCTTAAATTCTCATTCGTTCCTTAAACCCTTCAGTATCCCTTCTGGCTTTGAAGTGATTTTTAGAAATTTCATTATTAATAAAAAAAAAAGAATAATGCTCAAGGTTGGATCTAGTCACTTGTCAAAAATTAAATGGATATCAAATTAATCTGAGGTGAACTTTGATGAGAAAATAAGTCTTCTGCACGCCTTGTGAATCAACTGGCTGTGAAAGGAAATTACATTTAGACGATAGATTTTAGTTAATCATAATTTATATGATGGATGTTGTATTATATTATTTATTGTTGTCGTTTGTTGATTTTAATTTTTTTGTTTTTCTGTTTTCTCGTTACACATTCTTTTTTTTAAATTAAGGCTTAACAAAAGATTTGATAAGGTTTTGACATATTAATATTATAAATCAAACAAAATATATGATTGTGCACATTTTTAGGTGCTAATTACACAATGTTACATATGTTTGGTGCTTACTGCACGATATTGGACATTATGAGTTTTTTGTTGCACGTTTTTTTTGGAGTTTTAGTCCACTTTTACTTTTAGGTCCAAGATAAAAAGTTTATAAAATTATGTGATCCTCGAAGAAAACGTTAACCAACAACAGAATCATCAAGGAAACACGCACGCTAATAATTGAATGATGGTCTATTGCGTACTCGATAATGATTCCTCTTCACAATAGTCGTCACTGAACAACGATTAAATTCTCAAGGATTAACAAATCATAAAATATTGAAAATATTTTCAATCATTGATAGTGATATTTTTTAAATTTCCCAACTTTTTTCTTGTATGTTTTTGTGTATTCAATTTTTTTTTTACATTTTCGACTTATTTAAATTAATTCATTTTTTACTATACATATTACTTGTTATCATAAACTCACATCAGTTGTGGCAAGGAAAAAGGTAGAGTGAAATAGTCTGATAAAATAATGATGATAAAAAGATTCCTATCAATTATAGTTGATAGGAACATGTTAAGAAGCTTTCAATAATTTAAATTATTGCAAGCTTCTTAATATAAGTTTCTTAAAATCTGCTTAACATAATACATGATTAACTATGGCTTATACTTTTTCAAGAAGATGTTCTTTATATTTTATTTCTTTTTCTTTTGGCTCTATTTTTTGGATTAGTGCATCAACAGTCGTGTCTCTGAATTTAATATCTTTGTTAAATGCGTCGTTTTGTTTCGTTAGTTGTATAATTAGTTTATCCTTATCACTTATGACACATTCTTTTTCATCAAGTTCCCTTTTCAGCATTTCAATCTCCTTGAAAAAAAAAAAACAGTGTGAATTTAATTTTTTTTTAGAAGGAAGAAATTGATTACTTCGAAATTCTTAAAAGTTACACTAAAGTTTTTGAGAAATTATCAGCCAGAAAAAACCTGCTCTACCCAACACACGCGTGTATGTAGGGCTACTTTCAAAAAGCTGCAGCTAGTATTATTTTCATGAGAGTAGCCAATGGGGAGAGGGAGAATAAGCTGCCTCTCTTTCCAACATAGAAAAAATATATAATAAATGAAAGCAATAAATTTCTGAAAAAATTATTGACATCCGCATGTTGGTTATAAGTATTTTGGCATTTTGAAAGAAACTAATTACGAAAAAAGACAAGAAAGAAATCAAATTTAAAATTGTCCCTCGCTTTTTCGTTAGTTCGTTAGTCCATCATTTTTTTTTAGCTGGCAGCGCGCTTGATTTTTTTATTTGTAGCTCAAATGAGTAATATGTCAAGCTTGAATTACAGATACCTCCGCATAAATATTTATCTTCGTTTGCTTCAAACCAGCATCCTCGATCAAAAGTTTTTGTTCCATGATAAGTTTTTCTTGTTCGCTCTTCATCCTGAAATAAATAAAGATGTACAAAGTAATTATCTAAGACTTAAATAATTTTAGTCAAATTTAGCTCCAGATTTCTTTACTACCAGTCTTAAGTCGATCTTTTCCTGACATAGCGGATCTTTCATCTCATTGCAGTATTTTTTGCAAACATTTTAATTCCTTTTTTTTCGGTTGCCGCTATAGACGATGATGATGTTTGGCAGGGAGATATGGTCTCCTTATATACGTATGTTCCTTACGGGAAAACAAATAGCCCAATGGGGTTACCTAACCTCACGCTACTACGAACCATACGCTATAATATCTCCATATCCAAGTAATTTCATAAATACTATATAATATCTTAAATTTCTCCGTAACCATTGACTTTATCAAAAATAAGTTCAAGATCATTTTAATAGATATTTCATAGCAATTAAACATTAATATTAAAATAAATCTATTATTGTATTTGATATTTACTAGCAATTAAACATTAATATTAAAATAAATCTATTATTGTATTTGATATTTACTAGCAATTAAATATTAATATTGAAATAAATCTATTATTGTGTTTGATATTTCATAGCAATTAAATATTAATATTAAAATAAATCTATTATTGTATTTGATATTTACTAGCAATTAAACATTAATATTAAAATAAATCTATTATTGTATTTGATATTTACTAGCAATTAAACATTAATATTAAAATAAATCTATTATTGTATTTGATATTTCATAGCAATTAAATATTAATATTGAAATAAATCTATTATTGTGTTTGATATTTCATAGCAATTAAATATTAATATTAAAATAAATCTATTATTGTATTTGATATTTACTAGCAATTAAACATTAATATTAAAATAAATCTATTATTGTATTTGATATTTCATAGCAATTAAATATTAATATTAAAATAAATCTATTATTGTATTTGATATTTCATAGCAATTAAATATTAATATCGAAATAAATCTATTATTGTATTTGATATTTCATAGCAATTAAATATATTACAGAATATTTTGATAATATTATACTGAGCAGCATTTGCGATAAACCTCATAGTTGTTGAGATATTCTAAAAAAAATATCTAAAAAAATATTTTCTGTTATTCTCTCCCTTCCATCATCAAAAACCGAGGTCGGAAACTATGGCAGTTTTACCAGTTATTATGGGAAGGCTAATGCACAATTTCTGAAAGTTATATTTTTATCTTTTAGATGTTTGGTCAATTCCTAATTTTACTGTACTAATATGGATGACAGGTTTGTTCAGATTCAGGTCATTTTCTGACTATAAATCAACTGAGATGTCTAATAGGTAAAGTTTGCCAGGTATCGACCTCCATTCGGAGAGTGTGGAAAAGACTTATAGGAGCTAAATGCATGTTATAACTTTTTTTTGATACATTTTAAAAAAGACGGCTTAAGAACTTTAAAAACAAAAAAGTATTTTACAAAAGTATTTGCTTGGCCATGATTCCATTTTCTGTTGCTATTTCTTTCACTGATTGCTCTTTATCCTCTATTTGTAACTTAAATGAATATTTCATCTCTTCCTGCTCCTCATAAAACCTCTTTTCCATGGTTCTTTTCATTTCATCTTTCACATGAAGTGTTTTTTGTAATTCCGCATGCAGCTAAAAAAAATAATTATTAATAAACAAACCCTAGTGTTAGTGAAATCAAAAATATAACAAATAAAATTGTATTGCATTAATTTAATTTATTTGAATTGTGTAATTTAAAAAAAAAGTGTTATAAAATATTAAAATTTACAAAATTTGGAGGAGAGGAGGTTACTTTATCATACAAGAGGAAATATCCAAGTTCGTGGTTTTCTCAACTGTATATATTCATATATTTAGGGTGAGAAAATGGAAATATAATAAGAATGCTGTGTGACGGCATTTATCAAGTGTAATTGCCTCCTTCCATCCATAGATGATATTTTTATGGAAAATCTTTTCACTTATCAATTCTTTTTTTCAAATTTTCCACTCTTTAATATCTTACAGAAGCTTTTAACATTTAATTTAATCAGAAATTTATTTTTTGAACGTTCAATCGCCAATATAATTCAAGAAAATATGTACGTGCAGTTGTAGTAGGGAACGGCTTATACATGAGTTTAGGAAAATATTTTCCTGTATTTATTATATTAAAGGGGATGTTTTTTTAGTTTTAGAAATGATATTGACTGTCAGCAGATTTCAGACCAACAAAAATGTGTAGTAAATGGAAAGCTGATGGATACAGATTTTGATAAGAAGTACTGAATATGCTCCTATGGTAATCAGTGGTTATTGTATGGTTGTTGATAATTATTCTACATTTTGTACATAAATACACTGACAGGCAAAAAATTCCACCCACTTGATTTTTTCATGTTTTCATCTAAAAATATTTCTGCTTTGGATTGTTCTATTGTTTTTAATGAATAAATATGTAATCTTTTTGTTTGTTTCAATTAGGAATGTTAATATAGAGGACAATAACCCTTAATCCTTAATTCAATGAAATGATTCTAGATTCCAATGTTTACTTCCTATGGAACAAAAATGTTTATTCACTATCATTAGTTCAGTGCCGTTTCTTGCAGCACATTTCTTAGTCTCCAGTTTTTAATTTTTTCAATATTAAGTTTAAAAATGCCTCTGCCTCTGCCGGTTCTGGACGGCCTAGGTAACAGAATCACGGGATGACCGGTTTTTGAATTTGAGAATTTTACGAAATCGGCACCTTACCGTTGTTCAAGCGATTCATCAGCTCGAAGAAGTTCGAGGTGTGCAAATTTCTGAACGTACCCCTCGGAGAAGATTAAATGAGTATGGATTAATGGCTTTTCGTCCAGTAAGAGGACCAGAGTTGACCAGAACTCACAGAGTAACATGGCTGGGTTTTGCTCGAGAACACAGCCATTGGACTATGGACGAATGGAGTGCTGTACTTTTTACAGATGAGTCAAGATTCGCTCTTGGATCTCCAGACGGGCGTGAAAGGGTGTGGAGAAGAAGAAACGAAAGATATGCAGCCTGTAATTTTTCCCAGAGCCAACCTTTCCAACGTGGTTCCTTAATGGTGTGGGCTGGGATTTCAATGGAGCGCCGCACAGCATTGGTTGTTGTTCGTGTAGGGTCTATGACGGCCATTCGCTATGTAGATGAGATTTTGGAACCTCATGTGTTGCCTATCCTCAACGAAATCGGCGATCGTTCTATTCTAATGCACGATAATGCACGCCCACATGTCGCCCGCATAGTGCAGACGTTCCTTCAACAGAACAATATTGAGGTTTTAGCCTGGCCAGAACGTTCTCCAGATTTGAACCCTATTGAGCATTTATTGGATAACCTCGGAAGACGAATAAGAGCGCGTACAACACTTCCTGATACACTGCAGGACCTTGAAAGGGCTCTTCGGGAGGAATGGGCTATCCTCCAGCAAAGGGATATTTCCCGACTGCTGGAAAGTATGCCGTGGCGTCTTCAAGAAGTAGTGAAGGCAAGAGGAGGAAACACGCGCTACTAAACGATGATGTAATTAATTTCTTTTAGAATAATAATGGTTCGTTTATAATTTTTTTTTCTCTAACCTTTCTTACCCAACCACATTTTGATTATTAAAGGTAAACAAGGTTATAAAATTCCATAAATACTAAGTATTATCTACAAATACCATTTATTATAAACAAATACAACTTTTTTTACAAGTGGGTGGAATTTTTTGCCTGTCAGTGTATGTATATAAGAATCTTGATAATAATTTAGAATAAAAAAAAAATCCAAATATAGGGTAAAAGATTATCTGTGTATCCGCACTTTTTCTATCTCTTCCTCTTTTTCTCTAATAATTTCGTTTTTACTTTTGATAGTTTCTCTAAATTCTTGAAATCCATGCTGCTCGATTTCCTCTTTCTTTCTAAGGAACATTTTTGGATTAGTAATATAACTTAATATAAAACTATATATTAATAATATAATATAATAATAATATAACTTAGTATAAAACTATATATTAAGCTCAATTACTTCTAGTAACAGAATCAGGATTATTGTTTGGGAGCTTGATTTTAAGTTAAGAAAGTATAGTACAGCTATCTAATATTTATTAAATATATTTTTTTATGGATTATAAATATTCAGGAAGCAGTCATTATAAAGTTTTTATTGGTGCTGACGTTTCAACCTAAACATGTGGGTCATCCTCAGGGCGTATTTCGAGCACTCAAGGTATTCAATTCAGCATTCAGCATTGGAAATACTTTCAGTACTCCAAACACGTCCTGAGGATAACCCACATGTTTTTGGGTTGAAACGTCGGCACCAATAAGAACTTTGTAATGACTGCCTCCTGAATATTTATAACCCATGATGTGTAGAATTTCCTTCAATAATTTATTTTTTTCGGCGCCCAGTGATTGAGAAATACAAAATTTGCCGGATAAAATAGAATTTCCTTTTTAAAGTTCTCATTTCTAGTTGAAGTTCGTATTGGGTTTCCTATGCACCTTGACCCTGAAAGGATGACCTAAAATGTTTACTTTTTCTAGACTTTCGAGCAATTTCTATTCGATGACAAATCATTTTTTTTTTTCTAGCGTAAAGAAAAATGTGCCACTCCTTGAATATTTATTTACTATTGAGTTAGCTCTCCAAGAGGTGTAAGCAATAAAAATGAATGTTAATTTTTATTATTGCCTCAGTCCATTGTCATCTAATGGACAGTGTCGATTATTTTATAAAGTCATCCTGAAAGCAACAATCACGGGCAGTTCGATGTTTAAATGTAATATTTTTTCTAGTATCCATGTAATGTTACTGTAATGAAACTAAAACATTAAGACATTTTGATCAAACACTGAGTTTTTTTTTAAAAAAAATAGCCATGTCCTGAAAAATATATACTTCTTGACCAGAACGGTTGGGAAGAAAAAAAATAACAGTGCTTGTTTTAGATGTTTTAAAGTTTTATTTTTTTTTAGCAAGCAAAAAATACAAAATTTAAAGCATGCAAATGTCTGTAGTTTTTTTTTTTTTCCGTGACTTTCATATCGTTGTCATTTCTAAGTAATCGAATATGTTTAAGTGGCCATCAGGTAACGATGAACTTAAACGTCAACAATAATTAACATATATTTTGATTGCTTACACTATACAGTTGATTCACTTACCTTCTTGAAAAGGTGACAGTAAAAAAAAAAAAAATAATAAAAAAATAAAATTTAAAAAATTTAAACACTACTCCAAAATCTAGAAAATGCAGAAATTCAAACCTCAACTTGAATACATAAAGAATGCCATAATTAAAGTCGAGCTAATTATGCTATGTATTCTGTTTTATTATTTATTACCTTATAAGATATTATAATTTATTTCATTTTATTAAATAGTACTTAATAAAATAATGTACCCATTTTTTGCACTAATTGATTTCATAAATAATTTTAAAAGTAAGAATAATTATACCATTAAAAAAAAAAGTAATTTTAAATAGTTGATGATGAAATGCAAAACTTTCTTACATTGATTTATTTGCTGAATCGTACTAATTCATCCTTTTCACTTCGTCACTGCAAAGACTTATAAAATAAGTATTCCTATTTAAACAAAGTTTTTCATTTTGTAATATTCAACTAATTAAAATAACTTAAAGTTGAACAAATATTTGTATTAATTGATTAAAATAATAAGAGTTGAGAGATGTTAAAATATTTTAAAATAGAAATTGTTGATGTATTAAGTTTTAAAGATGAGAATATGACTCCAAAACTTGAAATGTAACGTCGGGTATCCATTGGATAATATCCTCTATGCTCGCAAACCAACGGCGCTCCAAGCGTGTGTAGGTAGTGTGGATACGATCCAGCGCTCAGAGCGTGTAACCGTTGGCGAACATATTAGAGCGCTCCGATGGCTGTCGGCTTTTGCCCAAACCTAAAGGAGAGCGGAAGAGGTTCGTGGTTCCGCCTACAATCGCTTGTGTAACTTGTCTGTAACATTGCTCAATGGAGTGGGCTGACGAAAAATGTCTTCTGCTTATTCATATCATAATCATATTCTTCTTTACTGTCTATGCAGTGTGAGGTTGCTTCTTGTAGAGCTTGGACCAGGTGGACCTTTCCAGTACCAGCTCTCGTCTCCTGCTCCATTCCAAACCTCGCTTCTGGAATGCATCTCGCACGCCTTCTTCCCAGGAGATTCTGGCCTCCCTCTCGGTCTCCTACCCTGCACGCGGGTCTCATACGTTTTCCTTGCGACTCTGTTTCGATCCATACGGAGAAGGTGCCCAAACCATCTCAACTTGTGTTCATCTATTATGGTTTTGAACGCTTTGGCGTCGAGATTGGCCCGGATTGTAGTATTGCGAATTCTGTCTCGTCTAGTCTTTTCCTCCACCTTTCGCAGATATCGCATCTCTAGAGCCTGGATCTAGCTCCTGTGTTTAGAAGTAAGTGTCCAGGACTCGGAGGAATACGTCAGTATAGGAAGTAGAACTGATCTGTAGACCGTCATCTTCGTTTCCTTGGTCACCTCTTTTCGGTTCAGAAAGCCTTTCCTAACCGAGCCAAACATTCTTCCAGCAACTCCTATTCTCTGCCTTACCTCCTCGTCAATATATCCATTTTCGTTGAGTTGAGCACCCACGTATTTGAAACTTTCCACCTGCTCTAAAATCTCACCGTCGACCCTTTATACCCTCATAACCCTGTGAGGTTTTCTTCCAATGCGCATGCATTTTGTCTTCTCAGGGTTAATTTCCATGTCGATTTCTCTTAAATCTTTCTTTAGGATATTAATGTTGTTCTGGAGATCACGGTCATTCTGGGCAAATATGACGAGGTCATCTGCAAACGCCAGCAGAGAGTATAGAATAGGCTGCATATCTCTGTGACCCAGCTGAAAACTTCGCATCTTTTCTGCTTATTCAATTCTATAAAAAATATCCTATATTGTAGAATCCAAAAGATTCGAATTATATAAAAAAAATTTAAAGATGCTTGGAAGTTCCATCACAATTAATTTATGACTTTTTTTTTAAACGAAACTTAGCTGTGTTTATCCCCCCAATAGTCCTCTTCGAATAGCTTTAAATTCTACTTTACTGACAAACTCTACTTTCGTTTCAATCAAGTTTTGTCTAGTTTATTGTATTATAAAACAGTGTTTATTTACTTAAATCAAATATTTTTTACTGAGCGTCGGTTCGCATTGTAGAACCCCGTTTAACGATTAACGTGATTTAGCAAATAAACCAACTGAGAGACGTTTTATGTTTCATTATTACCTATTTATAATTAACTGGAAACTCTAACAATAATGAAAGGACCTTATGTTAAAAAAAGACTTGTTAAAACAACTAATATTAAAAAAAAAATTATATTGTTATTATCACCCTTCTTAAATGACCCATTGTTGTATTGGACAAGAAAGAGAAAATCATTAGTTGATGAACTTGCCTTTCAAATTCAGTTTGCAAGTTACTGTTAATTTCCTTTAGCTTCTCATTTTTTGTAAACTCGCTTAAAAGCTTGTTACTGAAATGCTGTTCTTGTTCTTCAATTTTTTTCTGAAGATTATTTGATTCTTCCTTCAACTTTGTTTGGTATCTGTTTATTTCCACTAAATGCTCTCTTTCCATTTGCTGTTGTAAAAATAGAAAAGTATATGATATTAATATTAAGTCTAGAAATGATTAATAGCTCTTAAAACATTATCCTTAACCAACATAAATAAGCCATAATTCCATTCATATAATTATTTGCTTGTTCATTTATGATATAAGTTTCATATTTTCGGTTATATTAAAATTTTATTTGGATGAGAATGGACATGAGGTTTGAAGATATGGATACGAACTAGCTTGGCGTAGAGAGGTGGCTGCCTCTTCGCCCAGCCTGAAGGCAACTAGCCTGATACTATAAACATGATATAAACCAGACATGGCTTTTATACAAGCAAGATATTCTGTGAGTCTCAAATGATAGCTTGGGTGAGACCGAAGCCACAAGAAGTGCACTCTGATTTGATGCAGAGTTTTAAACTGCGAACGAATCCAAAAACACAGCTTTCAAGCAAATGTATAGGGAGAAAAGTAGAACAGAAAAGAAACTCCTAGATAGAAGATAAGGAAATGGCCTTCAAGAGCAGCTAACACAAATGGAGCAGAATAGACGGGAGAACGAGGTCAGCATGTTTTATCTAATTGCAAACAATTGCCAAAAGCCGTTTATACCTCGGTTAAATGCTTGCAGAGATTAGTGCAGAGGTTTGCTGTTCGACAAGGAAAGCATCCTCGACAGACGGAAGCAACATTTTTGTGCTTTACTGGAGGGTAGTGAAGGGGTAGAGACAGAAGATGATACTGCGGAGATGCCTAGAGAGGAAGTTCAGCCCCGGTATGAAGATGAGGTCTTAGGGACCATAGAGAAATTAAAAAACAACAGAACAATTGGATCGGATGATCTTCCTGCGGAACTGTACGGCGGAGATGAACTAATGAAGGTCATGCATAACTTTCTTATAAACATATGGCAGAGAGAAGAATTACCCAGTAAATTGTATGATACAATTATATGCCCCATTTACAAAAAAGGAGATCCTCTGATATGCACTAATTACAGCGGCATATCATTACCTTCCAGTGCCTAAAAGATCTTTTCCGGGATTCTGTCCTGGAGGCTTCTGCCCTTCGTCCAGAGAGAAATAGGTTGTCATCAGAGAGGATTCATTCAAGGGAAGTCTACTACCGATCAGATGTTCTCTCTCAGAATTCTGCTGGAGAGGGCAAAAGAATTCCGGATCAGTACCCACCACCTATTTCTAGACTTTAAGGTGGCTTATGACAATGTACCAAGAAAAGAGCTGTCTGTACAGGAGAATGTTAGAATTGGGAATTCCACCGATACTTGTTCGATTGGCCCACATGACAATGAAGGTGCTGTGTGCGAGTCAGGGAGTTACGTCCGAGGGTTTTTGCACTAACAAGGGACTCAGACAGGGAGACTGCCTAGCATGCCTCCTTTTTAACTTCGCTCTAGGGTGTGTAGTGCGGTGATCATCATCTATCATTTTCTCGCCCCATCAGTCTTTTTATAGCACATTTTCGAGTCAGAAAACATCTCTGTTTTGCTGGGTTGAGAAATTATCTCTTCTTTGAATATTGGTAGCCCTGTAAAACGATTCGAAGACTGCTGTGCTCGAGATAAGATCAATAAAGTGTAAGATGTAATTGATACGCAAGGAGCAGGAAAAAAAACTGCGTTCACCACAGAAGCCTTAGCTAAGTTGCAACGCCAACTAATTGAAGTAATAGATCAAACCTGAGTAGTATTTCAAATAGAACAATTTAAAATTCAAAATAAAATATATTTTTCGTATTTTGCAGTTTTAAAAAAATATATATATACAATGCAGTTTTCCCCTGTTTTTATTTTAAATTACAAAATACAAAAAAGTATTTTTCCCCCTTCCATTATACTAAAATACGAAAACTTTATTTGATTTTGTAATTGAAATGTACCAAATAAATTACCGAATTGAGGAGGTTCTTTTAAGTATTGTATCAAGTCTGGTTGTTTGCAAGAGAATTGTCCCATGTGAAAATCGACCGTAGAAATTGTTTAAGGTTGATGGAGTTAAACTTATAGGATATTTGAGAATACGATTATCGTTTTGCATAAAATTTAATAGCATTAAAAAAATTATTAAGAATCGCAGTGTCTTATGATAGGATAGAGTACAAGAGTATATTTTGTTAAATCAACTAGTATTGTTTTTATGGACCGAAAGATGTTTAATTTGGAAAAATACATGTGTTTTTTTAAGTACTTTTCGGGAAAGAAAAAGAAAAGATTCAATTTATGTAACAACCCTAGAGAATATTTAAAATTAAATAATTTGATCAGGTGTCACATTTATTATAAATTCTTTAGAAATAATATTAGTTGTAAAAAATTATTTAATATTTTAAAAGTGTATAAACTCTCCTCTAATCTAATAATTCCTTTCCTCGCTAGAACAAACCCATTTTTTAAAGGTATTTTTGTAAATCGTCATTTTATGAGAAATATGTATTTTTTAAATAAAAAAAAAAATACTTTGGTTATTTCTTATTTGAAATATTTTTTCTCAAAACATTTAAATACTTTTTAATTGAAATACAGTAATTTTTTTATTGGTATTTTAATTACTATTTTAAAATACTTTTTTTGGATAGGTCTACATTGGATCCACTATTGTCTAGTATAGTTTTCAAACTATATATCATATTTATTTTATTATGTTTATTTTATATATTAACTATATATATTACTAAATTGTTGTTTCTTGTGTATTTTCGTACTTTTCTCTTTATATTGGGTAGATAAATAAAATAAATATCAGGTGTTAGAGTACTTTCCACCTTGAGTGGGTTGTCTGTCCCACTGTGCGGCACCGGGATAGGAGACATGCTAGTTTCTACCAACCCCTCCATTGATTCGCAGTCAATTATTTAAAAACAACAAACAAAAGTTCAATAAATATTATAATTCACAGTCATATATTATTACAGACAATAAACTGATTACTGAGCTACTCCTTCATGTATGGCGTTCTATCCCCTACTCCTCCCTAATGAATTGCATTGCACTGTTATCATGTTAGAATATCTTTCGCTTCCCCACCCCCAATATTTCCCAAGTATCGGCGACTATGAGCCCAATGAATTGGGAATTATATAATTCTAAAATCTAAATATTTCTTTAATCAATTGAATTTGATTTAAAGAGTCAGGATACTCACCTTCAGTCTAAACTTGAGATCTTGGAGAATGGTGTTATAGTTACTTTGAATATCGCTAAGAGTTGCTTCATTTTTGGCTGTAATTTGTCGTATGGTGTACTCATGTTGTCCTTCTATCTCTGAAAGCTGATCAGTCAGTTCTTTATTTCTTCCGCACAATTCTTCCAGCTCGTGCAAGCTGATAAGTATTTCGCTTAAGCTGGGCATGGTTTCATCTATCGTGGATCGTTTTTCCTTGTCACAAATTATATGCCACAAGCAAAGGAAACCCTCTTCGCTGGCGGTCATCAATGTTTCATCGTTATGAGTAATTACAACCTAAAAATTATTCAAGTCTTTGAATAAATATATTATCAGATATAAAAAAAGCTGTATGTAAATGTAAGATTGACTCACTATGGCATTGGTATTGTTTTTGTACAAAAAGTTGTGGCCCTGTGTGGAGGGTGGGGGGAGGGGGGTCGCAATGGGCAGCGGAGGATATATTTTTTTTAATGTTTAATTGAATGATATTTAATAGCACTGAATCACAAATATTTTTCTTGTATCTTGATTCTTTAAGTGTAGTTCTCTTTTCGTAGATTTATTTAATTAATCATGCATAACACATCTACACTTTCATTTAAACAATTTACTAGGGAGCCAAATCATCGTAGAGAATATACATATTTTTTATCCTCGAATAATCGGATAATAATCGGATTGAAAAAATGGTTTTAAGCAATAAACACGAGAATTTATCAATAGCAGACAAAGACCAAACACCCTCCACGCTTCCTAGACCTCCCAGAATTGATTCACCCTCCCCCCCGTATTATTCTTGAGTATATAAACCCCATGATCCTCTGGACTAATCACTTTTGCAGTTACATTCTTGAAGTCACACTCGTGTAGAAGACCTGGAGTGAACTCTTGTAGTCAACCCATAAATCCATAGTATATTTCAGTATGTAAGATGCCATTTGTAACAGACATTATGAATAAAAATATTACTTATAAAGTGAACTAATGAACAGTTTGACGCGACGATCGTAATTCACCACGCAAAAGTTCACCACTTGTGCCTAAGACGGTGCTCAGTTAAGGTTTTTCATGTTCCATATTAATGAGTCGAAAACTAAATTTAAAAAATATTATTAGCAGTACTTTTTTTTAATTTTAATTTTTTTATTTATTTTTTTTTATTTGAAAATTAATACATTCTGCCGCATTGGAGGGCATTAATATTAGGGCTACATTAAACATTCACACAATATATACATACAAATGATACTAAAATAGAGAGATATGAAATAAAATAGAGATAAAAGAAAAAGAGTTTAACATACATAGGTAAAAAAAAAAAAAAAAAAAAAAAAAAAAAAAAAAAAAAAAAAAAAAAAAAAAAAAAAAAAAAAAGAGAAAAGTTAAACGAAATTGAAATATATAAAACACATTCGCACCTATATACAGCAGTACTAAATAAAAATATATTACTTATAAATTTTAAAGAACAAAGCATTGTACATTACCCTTAATTCTTAACACAATTTATTATATCACTATATAATTATAATATTAGTACTTATTCACTTACTTCTTGAATTGGTTGGCTATGCATTGAGAACTCTTGCCACTTCGGAGGGTGAACTAATGGATAAAGGACTGATACAACTGTCCCTTTTTGCCCACCAAGAAATAGCAATTGTCCTGAATTACCCAACGTAACGCAGCTCAGGGAGCTTTGAAGCATGCCAATCTCTCGCGATATCTGGTTAAGAATATTATTTTTGAATGTTAACCACACTGTTAGAAAAATATATGTAAATTTAGATATTTGTAGTGGATTAATAATAATTACATAAAAAATATTTACAGTTGTTAAAGTTTTTTTTTGCAAAATATTAACAAAAGCGTACTTATAAATTATCTATTAGAACAACAATATGTAATTACATATATACGCATTTACATTAATAGTTTGATTATAAAGTAGGCGAAGGAATAGTGGTTTTTGGAACAAAACATAGAAAAGGATTGAGGGACAAATATAGGTTGAAAAATCCAGACAGAGTTTGCACTAATGACGAAAGATTTGGTGAAGGAAGTAGTTCTGAAGGGTTTGGTATATCGATCAAAAGGTTGAGGTCTTGTAGAGAGAGTGAATGGAAACGCTTCGAGGAAGAAGATCAAGTATGTAGGAGATATTTTGGTTCTTAGGACTTGAAAAAGAAAGACATCACAGAGGTATTGCCAAAGAAAAGTAGAAAAAAGCCACTTCGATGCGTTTACCAGCAAGATACATGAAAGTGTCAAGGAGGCCGGAAGATGAGTCTTAAGAAATAATTGTGAAAATTCCTGTAAATGTTTAAAAGAAATGAAATAATAGAAATAAATAAACAAATCTCTCCAGCTTCATCTCTTACCAACAGATAGATCACAATTCATCAACCAACCATAGTCGAAATGGGGAAAACATGAGGTACTAGGAGCTTTATTGTATTTTGTAGAAAGGATCATCATGGGATTTTAGAAAATACAGCTATGGATCTGCGAAGTATGGCTTTGCCAGGAAAGATGCTGATCGAAGGTAAATCCGAGGTGTTTTACTGTCGAATAAAAATGGATGTATCGATTATTGAGATGGATTAATGGAAAATAATGAAGAGAATCAAGGAACTAATTGGTGCTGAAGTTTCTAGTGGGAAAATTTATTCCCATATTCACAGTGACATATTGCATCACTGCATTCACCCACTCTCGATTTATCTTACTCATGCTCTGAATCGATATAACTTTTCCAACTAAAAATATCATTAAAATGACATTAATCAAAAATGTTGAAATTGGAGTTAGTCATTCTGTCTTCTGAAAAGCACATATAGCTCAGAGACTGAAGTTATGCTTTACAAAAACTGATGGAGTAACGAAATTTTTATTACCTATCGTCCATATAATTTTTTTTTTTTTTTTTTTTTTTTTTTTTATTAAAACACTTTATTCAGAAATATTACAATTTGTCACAGTTAAGGACACTTATAATAGAGTTCAGAGATTGCATTCATACCGTATATACAAAAATATAAATAAATAAAGTAATAACAAAAGAATAAGAAGAAAGAACAAAAGAGTAAAGAAAAAAAAATAATATATATACACATAAGTAAATAAAAATAGAAATAAAAGTAAAACAAACACCTTATATAAAACATACATTATTTACAATTTGCCAGGTGATCTCCGAACCAATCCTGTCCCCTCCACATGTGGAGGGAAAAGGGAGGCCTAGGAGATCCCTACGCTTCTCCCTCAGCCACTTCACTGGTATTTTAAACCAGCGGAGGATGAGTAAGAGCGCTACAGCCACAGACACTCATGACTTGAGTGGAGAATCTGGCCATTGCTAGAACTCCAAAATATCCATATTTACAAAAGGTCTCGTGGCCACTGCCGCTTTAACCTACGAAGGGGATTGTAGGGATGGGTGGTGCTTGATAGGGATTGTACAACGGGATTTGGGTGATGAGAAAGGTTCTGGTGAAATTTGGAAAATTTGGCTGGGATAAGATCAAGAATAAATGGGATATTAAGGTCATGATGTAGGGTTTTATTGGTTACATAGAAGGGAGCATTGACTATTGTACGGAGGACTTTAGACTGAAAGGATTGAATGCGTTTGATGTTAGAAAATTTGGCTGTTCCCCATAGTTCTAGTCCGTAAGTCCAGATGGGTTTCAGTATTGTCTTGTAGATCAGTAATTTGTTTTCACCAGAAAGTTTAGATTTTCTATTCAGTAGTCTATATAGCTGGCCATATCGTCTGTTGAGTTCCTGTCTTTTAAGTCGAGTATGTGGATTCCATGTTAGTCGTCTGTCTAAGAGAAAGCCAAGATACCGGACTGTATCTGAGAAAGGAAGCTGGATGGAGTTAAAATAAACTGGTGGGCAGGTATTACGCCGAAGGGTGGAGGTAATGTGTTTACATTTAGATTCGTTTACCTTAATGCGCCATTTCTTACACCAGTGTTCAATCAGGAAGAGGTGCCTTTGTAAGTTTGCGGACGCTGTTTCAGGATCTGAGTTGGAAGAAAGGATAGCAGTGTCATCAGCGAAAGTTGCCAGGAGGGTATCGGGATGGACAGGAATATCAGCGGTAAAGAGAATGTAAAGGATGGGGCCCAAGACGCTGCCTTGAGGAACGCCAGCCTCAATTGAGTAACAGTCGGAGAATTCGGTGCCACAGCGAACTCGGAAGGAGCGGTCGGAAAGATAGGATCGGAGTACTAGGTATAAGGACTGTGGTAGATGGATTTTAAGCTTGAAGAGTAATCCGGCGTGCCATACCCGGTCAAAAGCTTGCGCTATGTCCAGAAATGCACCCGAGCAATACTGCTTGCTTTCTAGGGTTGAGGATATATGGTCAACAACTCGGAGTCCTTGCTGGACAGTGGAATGTTGGGAACGAAATCCGAATTGATGAGTAGGAAGGTTATAGGATTCAATTATAGGTAGGATTCGTTTCAGTAGGATCTTTTCAAAAATTTTTGAGAGGATTGGGAGTAGGCTAATTGGTCTATAGGATGCTGTATTGTTGGAAGGTTTGCCTGGTTTCAAGAAGAGGACGATGGTGGAATGTTTCCATAAAAGAGGGAAGTGGGTAGTTCGTAGGATGCAATTGTATATATATGTAAGAAATGTGATGGCTTTAGATGGAAGTTGTCGAAGGATCTGTGGGGTTAGAAGGTCATATCCAGGAGATTTGCGAGGTGTGATTTTCCGTAAAAGGTATTTGACCTCAGAGGGATTAACAGCTTTAGGTGGTAAGGAGAGTGGGATAGGTATTGAGAGGGATTCTTCTACTTTTACTGTGTGGCTGGGATGGGATTCTGGATGAGGAGCGAAAGTATAGGAAAGGTGTTTGGCAAATTCCTCGGCTTTATCTTCATCAGATGCTGCCCAGGAGCCATCATCTCGTCGAAGAGGGTGGGAAATATGATGGGATTTGAGGATTTTTCTGGTGATATTCCAAAGGGAATTATCATGAGCAGAGAGTGTGGTGAGGTAGGAATTGAATGATTGGGATCTGAAGGTGGCTAATTCTTTTTTTAATTTTTTACAGTGATAATTGTAGGAGTGGCGGTCGGCTGGATGTCTGGTACGTTGCCATAATAATCTGGCACGGCGTTTTATGTGGATTAGGTCAAGGAGGTGTTGAGGTAAATTATGTTTCTTAAGGATTTTTGAGGAGTGATCAGGGGAGGAAGCAGTCCAGACTGCTTCTTGAATTTCTGTAGTGAAGGAATGTACTGCATTGTCCAGGTCTTCAGAGGTTTTCAGGGTTACTCTGAGGTCAATTTTATCGGAGAGGATTTGATGAAAGGGTTTCCAGTTAACTGGGCCTCTGATGAAGGACGGAGGAGAGGGTTTAGGAATAGGAGCTAGTGATACTTGGAGTATTAATGGGCTGTGGTCTGAGGAAAGCTCGTCAAGACGGGCAACGGAATGGTTGAGAGCACCTAAACCATTATGGATAAAGAAATCGAGGATATCGGGATTACGGTTAGGATCAGTGGGCCAGTAGGTAGGTGAGTTGGGTGGAAGAAGGGTAAAATTTTGGGAATTGAGTACAGACAGCAATGTTCGACCACGAGAATTCGTGGTTCTTGAACCCCATTGTTGATGTTTGGCGTTTAAGTCTGCACCCAAGATGAAATGATGTCCTAAGGAAATGAGGAAGGAACTAAATTGGATATTGGAGATGGATTGGTTTGGAGGGCAATACGCTGATGCAACGGTAATAGGAAAGGAGAAGGTTTTGATTACGACTGCGGTGGATTGTAGGAAATCGTGTGTAGGCAGTGGGAGTAGGTGATGGGAGAGGGATTGGTGCACAATGACTGCAGTACCGGCATGTGCTCTACCGTCAGGATGGTCGGTACGGTAAGTTATGTATTGTGGTATTTTTAGGAGCTGTTTTTTAGTCAGTCGAGTTTCCGTTATTAGGGCTACGTCTACGTTCTTGTCTTGTAGTAAGGCTGTTAGTTCGTGTATGTGATTTCTAACACCATTCGCATTCCAAAGGAGAATGGATATGGGTTTGATGGAAGTCATTTAAGGATTTTTTAAAGGAGGGATAAGGTGAGATACTAGGTTAGTGAGAAGTGATATCAGTGGCGTAACAAGGGATTTAAATTCTGAAAGAAAGGATGTCAATAAGCTGGTTAGATCTGTAGCATTAGGCGGTGGAGGAACATATTGGATTTGATGTTGGTGAGGTTGTTGTTGATTAGGTACATTAGGTGGGATAGGATATTGAGATTGGGGTTGAGTTTGTTCTTGCGGCAGGGCCTCACATACATTAGTCGGGTCTCTACCCCCAAGTAGCTTGGCAAAAGAAACCTTAGAGTTCACAATTTTAGCGGGTCCTCTTCTTGGTTTAGGTGTATCATCAGGGTCCCTGGGTTTCATATATCTCGCTTTGAGATTTTTATAAATTTGGCAGCCTTTGTAGTTGGCTGGATGGCCTTCCAGGCATAGGGCACAGACTGCTGGTTCTGTAATTGGTTTATTACACTCGCCAGACTTGTGTGTTTTACCACATTTCACGCAGCGTGGTAAGTGGTGGCAATAAGACTTGGTGTGGCCATATGCTTGGCAATTATGGCACTGGATGAACTCTCTTTTTGGGTACGGTTTTTCGACCTTTACGCTGGTGTAGAAAATTCTATGCACATCGTATATTTTTTCGATCCCAGGCGATGGCTCTAGATCGACGAAAAATAAGGGCAATGGGATTTTATTCTTTACACCTGGTTGTTCTTTATTTTCTTTTAAAACATTGGTTATCTGACGTATTTTGAACCCTAACGCCGTTAACTCTTCTTTAATCACTTCTATTGGGGTTGAGGAGTGTAAATTTCTTATTACAACTCGTAGTGCTCTTTCCTGTTTCAACTGGTATGTGTGAAAGTCCGCATTTGTGTCTGTTAAATATTTTACGATTTTTCGGTACGCTTCAGGTGTGGCCGGTATTATTTTTGTATCGTTTATTCTGTTTAGGCATGTATAGCTACCTGGGCAGATTTTATTAAGTTGAGTACACAACAACTGGAAATTTCTCAAATTTTTGACAAAGATAGGAGGTGGGCGTGGTTCTCGAGGTATAGGTGCATCTTCCATTTCTTCCCTGTCATTTTCAAGCACCTGGTATGGATTAGGTGTAAAAAATGGAGATTCCATTTCTTGTGAAGACGTACTTGGCAGTGGTTGAGACACAGATTCTTGAGTGTTCGCTGGAGGAGTTCCGGGGGGTGTTAATCGCTTACTACGACGTGTTTTCTGTTTAGGCGGTGAATTACGTGGGGTAGAGCCAACTGAATGGGACCTCTTAGTTGACATTACTTGGTGATAATATCGCATATAAAAAAAAATAAAGGGAAAAAAAAATAAATAAATAAATAAAACTACGTCTGCGTGTTATTACAATGGATGAACCACCGGCTGAGAAACAGCCAGTTACGTGGCAGAGCCACAACTGGAGAGGGGAGCCGTCAGCTGTTATGGCTATAGAGATTAAGCCTATAGACGCTAAATCACTAAATTCACTGTCTGTAATAGTACACAGTAAATAACAACACTACTCACTGTGGTGTTAGTCCATTGTTGTTGTTTTGATGTCTGCTTAACTAGTTTTTTAAAAAAAAAAAAGTAAAATTGAGCACTTATTCTACTAAAAAATAGTAAAACTGTGGGACACGACGTGAAATGTGGGTATTCAAATCAAGCGCATGCGCAGAACTCCGTCCATATAATAAAGAACGTTTTTGTTATTTTAGTAGTCTTAATGATTTGTTAGCTGTAAGCTTTAAGCTTTAGCTACGTTTAAAATGCGCCTCACAAATTTTATAATAACCCAATATTGCCAGAAAATAATTTCTGTTCAAAGTAGAGCGGTAAGTGAAAGTTGTGTGTTGCCCTCACCAGATTTTTTTTAGGATATTCTCAGGTACACGATCATCCTCTGTAATCTAGACTTCGGAGTAGAGAGATTTATTTATTTATTTATTTATATGATATTTACAACTGTATACAAAAAATACATCTGGTAAATTCGCACATGGATATAATGACATGGAACACATGTTGAGAAACTACCCATTGGTAGCACTCTAATAATATGTCTACATTAGAAGATCAAGTGGCCATCTTCTTTTCAGACACCTCGGAGGGTTATCAGGAATCGAATAGGAAGCAAGGTTAGAGACAAGAGGGTTGGGATGGTTATGAAGTTTATTATGGAAGGACAGATATCTGGATTGGGCCAAATCTGATACATAAGGAACATTAAGGGGGCGGGGTGGCCGAATGGGCTAAGGCGTGTGCACAGCACCGCGAGTTGCCTGGCAACCGGATTACAGATTTGAGAAGATTTAAAAAGTACGAGTTCACGTCCCGGTGCCGGAGGGGATTTTAAATTCTCCGCCCTCACCCCTCCGGCCCGGGAAAATCCCGTATAGCCTAAAAGGCGAGGTAGGGAAGAACAAAAAAAAAAAAAAAACACAAAAAAAAAACAACAAAAAAAACATAAGGAACATAAAGGTCATTATGGATAATTTTATTTGTAACAAAGTAAGGAGCATTGAGGATTTTACGAAGGATTTTGGATTGTAAGGATTGTATGCGAGAGGAATTTGAAGGTTTAGTGGAGCCCCAGAGCTCAACTCCAAATAGTCCAAGTAGGCCTTATTATGGTCATGTAAATGAGTCTTTTATAATTGATTGGAAGGTTAGAGCGTTTCTCTAGTAAGTGTTGAAGTAGTCGGAAACGTGGAGCTGTTTCTTGTCGTTTTAGTCTGGTATGAGGATTCCAAGTTAGACGTGATTAAGTTATTCTTTTTATATGTTCTTATTTGTTTTATATATATAGCGCGCGTGGGAACCTTCTCACCCAGTAAACTCAATTTGCTCAAATTTTCTAGTTAGTGCCTTCTCAAACCAAGGCCACGAATTGTCAAAGAAATCTATGTAGGATGCAAATAAATCAGCTTTTCGCTGAATCCGATCTATGGGTGAATGGCATGCATAATTAGTTGAATGGAAATCTCTGGGAAAAAACTGAGGATAATGAAGATGTGCAGGAACTAGAAAAATAATTTTACTTAGGAGGGCAGAAGAATTAATATTTCCATTAATTAATTTAAAAAATAAAATAACATCTTTATCGATATAACTATATGCTATGAGAGAATCAATATTTTTATTCATATTCATATTTCAAAAATATTAATAATATCGATGAAAATATCGACTATCTATTTTTCAAGTCCAATATTTTGATGGTAGCGATAGTTATAGGCCGATATTAATGTCAATATTAGGCCTTCGATAATCCTTCCCTAGTTTACAGATTAATTCAATAAGAAGCTGCCTCATAAAACGGAACAATGTTTTACTTACAACGCCATTTATAACTTCCTTGAGTGCTCCATCAGTTCCGACTGAATATACAGCATCACCTACTGCCAAGCCAAACTGCCCATTTTTATTTGTGAAAATGTCACCAATTCTTTTACCGCTGTCCATGTCCCATTCATACAAGGATCCTTCACCACCACAGCTCCATAAACTTTTATCTCTTGGTCCAAAGACCAGCCTTTTGATCTGTAATTTTAAAAAAAAATTAAATAGAAAATAAACGAACACGGAACTTTCGGCGAGGAGATGTGCACCCACAGGTCCAAGATGACCGCTTAGAACGTGAAGCCGTGTGAAGAATACAGCTGAGTAAACCTCTATTACAATATCCCTCGTTGCAGCGAACAAATGGCCACCACTTGCAAAGGCAACATTTTTACACGCTCTGATGTCGACTTGTCCAACTGTCTTAAAATCATTTGCCAGAATCAAGTTGAAACGCAGCTTATCAGTGAAGCCAAGTAAACAGTAAAAACCTAGACAATACGTAATATGAATTACTAAAATCAAACATTGCTAGTATTATATAACACATCAGAAAACATAAGTATCAATTTTTTGGTTTTTCAATACATTTTTCTACGCTTCTCTTAAAATTTGGTTATATATATGTTTTAGGGAATATTCTTCTTTTTTCATCACTGAAAATACATAACGATAGCTATCCACTGTTCTTTTTAAAATAGAATAAGACCTTTCATAAATAAATCATCTTTATGACCGATCTTGTTATTTGATATTTTTTTTAATTCTATTTAAAATACATTTTTGTATGTATTTAATTTTTTTTTATTTCTAGGGGGTACGACAGAAGAATTAAATTGGAGATCGGATCCATAGGATTGGCGATGACTGTTGATAACATTGAGCTACAAAAAAAATAATTGTTTGCGTGTATCTTCGATGAAAACTGTTTCTCTCGACTGATTTTGGTGTGAGAACCTCGAATTTTTTGTCAGAATCAGATGGAATGGAAGTTAGACGATCATTTTTTAGGCTTTAAAAGTGCTTTATTAATTGTGAAATACTTTTACAACCAACAACACATTAAATTACAACTTCTCTCGGCAGGAACAGAGCTGTTGTACAGTTTATTTAGTAAGTTTATTGTTTGCTTGACGATTGTACTGATGTTCTGGCAAATCACTCAAAACGTTCCAACAGTAGTCTGTGAGCATTGAAGTATCCCACCGATCTTTCCATCGAGGATAAATCTTGGTGAAATCGCTTACAGATCGCCATGTTCGTCACTTACAGATCCACAATTATCGGGAAAAAAGTCCAAATGATAGTGAATCTTGAGTGATATTTTACAACTGAGATCTCTCAAGGATGGTTTGGACTAAGACAGCATAATTAATCTTTTGTTAACCAAGAAATCATTAACTAAAGCTGTGAATGCTTTCCACGCTGCTCTTTCTTACCCTGAAGAATATTAAAAAATTCCCCGTCATTAAGAAATGATTTTTTACCAGAAAATACTGCTCAGATTCTGAGATTCAGATTCTAAAGAACTTCTGAAAGAAGAAACCCGAGGAGTTTCCCATGAGTAGTTCTTTGTTTAACTGGTGAAGCTACAGATCAAGACCTCTTTGTAGGAGCCTTACCGGTCATTACTTGGTGATAAAATCGGATATCACAATGGAAGAAAAAAAAAACTTTTTAACTGTAGATAACAACTGTTCTGATGTACCCTAGGTCTTTATTGGGTGAAAAATCACAAATATTTCTCTGGAAAACAGGTAAATTCTGAAAGGCGAAGTGTAAACACAAACTTTTACGTCATTTGGCAATAATATAAATAACATAAAAAAAAAAAAAAATGTAAATTTTCTCTCTTACTAGATATGGAATTTTCGTTGTAGTACTTAGTTCTCCCTTAATGGATAAAACGGGAATGAAGTTATTAGTTCTAAATTGATAATGTTTTAGAAAGTTGAAGATCTAATTGTACTAGATTTCCTATCTAATTGAAAAACTACCAAGTAATTAGGCAGTTGATTTATTCATTTACAGGGTCTAAGGAATGAAAATAAATAAACATACTTCTCTATTTGACTCAGTTAATTTTGACACAAGTTTTTTTTTAGCCGGCATGTTATTGCCTTTTTAGCTAATTTTATAGCAAAATGTTTCCTTTTTTTTCTCCTAGTGGAAGTATATTTAAAGGTTTGTCTGGATACTAGAAAAATACTCGTAACAGATAAAAACAAATGAAAATATTCTATTCAACTGACAAATTGTTCTTCATATAGTTAGTAAAAGAGGGGAGGGGATTTTCCTGCTCCGAGGTATGGTTTGGTTACATTGGAAAATTATTAAAGTAAAATCAAGTACCAAATACCTGAAATAATTAAGTTAGAGCTTACGGGATGTATTTATAAGGTGAAGAGAGCGGTCTTACCTTCCTTCGAGTATATCATGTCATCTTCCGTTTGCTTTTCTTTTCTGTCCTCATGATGCCTGAATTGGCGAAACGTTGACGGTTTTTTATATTTTGGAGACATATCGCTGTGTGGTTGGAATTTTTCCTATTATAACCTAACATTGGATACCTGTCTCTTGGGGAGATTTTTACTGATTTATTTTAATAATAATAATAATAATAAGTAGGAATAACACACTATGACAAAAAAAAGGATAAATAAAAAGGTAATAAAATAATTTTTAATAAATATAATTTTCTATCGGAATTTTTACTTGTTGGGCGCCTGGCTTTACTAGCCTTTCATCTCTAGCGAGATAAATATAGACAATATAAGTTACTTGCCCATTATTTGGCCATGATTAAACATTTATCCCACCATGCTAGCTCAGCTGAGAAGGGGTTAGGTTCGATATTTTTATAAAGGAGCAAAAAAGGTTAAGAGATCTATTTACAGAATTAATAGTATTTTCAAGCAAAAGAAATTAAATGAATGGAAAAAGAGAAAATTTAAACATAATTGCTATATACAATATAAAGATAAATAGGAAGATATTTAAGATAATAAAGATAATAGAAATAACAAAAAAGATACTTATTCTATATACAAGGGTATGTCATGCCACATTTAAACATCAAGAAAGTATAGTCAAGATATAACATATAAGAGCACATGCACATGCTAAAATAGGAATTAATAATAGTAGTTTTCCAAGGGTTCCTTAATCTTGGTTACAACAAAAACAAGTTGAAAGGAAAATTTTATATATACTTAAAAAATAAAATTATATAGATAAATAAATTATAATAGAAAAATATATAAGCAACAGATAAAGACATTTGAGGCTGAATAAAAATAAAAATAAAGTAAAGTGTCAGAGGGCTAATCATAGATTGCTTCATTTTGTTCCTAATAATTAGCCTCCGTAGAGTGTTAATCTGTTAAACTTTATAGCTGTTGAATCAATAATTAGGATTTTTACCTGATGGGTGCATCGAAGCACTGTAAATGACATCTGTAAATTTCTTCTGAATTACAACATTCATCAGTTCATAATTCCACAGTCGTATAGTTTTGTCATAGAGTCCAGCAGTTAAAAAAAATGGTTTCCATAAGCACGTTGAAATTGAAGCTATAGGACCATCGTGGTATCCATTACCCAAAATGTTAAATTCAGCAACTGGCTCCTGTTTAATAAATAATCATAATAAAAACAATATTGAATATTCCAACGATACCAATATTGGTTATATATTTAATATTGATCCCGGACCGAAGTGAGCAACAGTTGTCAAAATTGTAACAAATTTATATTTTGATACACCACTTCCACTTAATACCCAACATCCAGTATAAATCAATACACCCTATAAGAATATTACCATAACCATAATTACAAAGTTGTTACAATTCATATTGAGTATTATAATTCTATTTATATGTACTCTTGATTCATCAACCTAAAAGTAAGATTTAATAGTTTCCATTTAGTTCCTATGAAAATGGACAAAAATTATTAGTCATTATTTTTGTTTTTGTTTGTTTGTTAATATTTTCTATTAACATTTTTTATGTTAAAAAAAAATCTAATATCATTAGCTTTACATCCATATGACCACTCTTATTTTCGACAATTTGTTTTCAACCTTTAAAAATAGTTTTGCTTTTATGTTTTCGAGAAAATTGCAAAACTACTTAAAATCAACGGATAAACTGACACTTCGCTTACGTCAATTTTATTTTTAAAAAATGGTTATACCATCCCAGACATATAAGAATTTCAACTATATATGTAATATGAATATCCCCAAAACTGCTATATTTTCGCACTTTTTTTCCGGTTTTTACCTACTTTTTTTTACTAACTAGGAGCAAGTTTCCGACATTAAACATCCGATAAATTTTAAGCTAGATTAAATATGCTACCATTTAACACCAGAACAGGCTCAGTAAATCACATAGTTTACGAGATAAACACTTTTAAATTGTAGAAAATTTTATTCTCCATTTAAATGATTTTTCATGTTTGATAATATACAATTGTCTTTTATGTTCAATAATCTGTCTGATGTGAGCCAGCGAATTAAATATTTATTTTTTGATTTTTAATAGTTTTATTATTATTTTAAATATTTAATAGTTTGATGGAGGGGGGGGGAGAGGGAGATTTGGTGGAAGATGGTAGTCCGTGGGCCAGACCCCCCTTCCGTGCAGCCTCCTTCCACTTCACTATAAATTGCATATCGTTGTGTTCCTTGTCACTATATATTAAATAAAGAGCAATGTTACCACAAAAAAGTGGCCGCACTGTCCCACAATGGCTTCCAAACATGGTTGAGTGACGACTTTAATTTGAGTGAGTCCTTCGGTCAGTGAGATTAAGCAGTTCGCTTAATTTCATCATACTTGGTCTCTTATTAAAGCTGGATAGCCATAGTATAATAAAGCATCAAAACATTTAAAAAAATAATTGGCATTGGCAATCAAAATACCAGTAAAGTCAATTTTTTCAAATCGTTCAAACTAATGTTGAAAATCAAGCGTCATTTGTAATTAAATGACCAACAATAAGGAAAAACGCCCCAAATTAAACATCTACGGAATACATTTATATTTCTAAATAACTGATTAATTTTTAATATATTTGAAACAGTTCTTTAGAAAATTTACTTCATCGGCGGAAAAGCGGCTCTGGTGTAGGCGCCTACGAAAAAGATCGAACACAATGAATGACTTCCAGTCATTCTAGCTCACTTATTTCTTAATTATTTATAGCCATTCCTAAATCCACGTACCCCACTCCTTCAAAATAATAACTTAAATAAATGTTTATATGACTAACTCTTATAAGGTAGGTTATTGAAGAGATAAACATGAAATTAGCTTAACATTTTCAAGTTTCGTAAATTTCGGCCACTTCATTTACTATTTTGGTATGCACTTGATGTAAATTTTGGTTAAATGTTATTTTTATTTCAATTTCAGTCTTCTGGTTGTGAAAAGTGATCTCCCCCTCTCTCTTCAAACTTCCCCTCCTCCCTCACCCCTCCTTCAAAATGTTAAAATGAATAAAAATTTAATTTACTGAATCATATAAGACAGGTTATTGAAGATATAAATACAACTGCATGTGATCAAACAGGAAAAATAGCAAACAATTTTCAAGTTCGAAAATTGTCTAAAATTTGAAAATCTGTACCTCGTAAGCTGTTTGATTTAATGAGCCTATTTTGATGATAAATTGTAGCAAATTAAATCTAGTTTAAAACTGTATAGAATGTTTGGGGAAAAACCGAAAAAGTGCGAAAATATAGTTTTGTGGGTTTTAAAAAGTAATCGGGAGAGGGGGGCACCGACATCGAAAACTTAGATTTTGCGTCACACCCCATACAAGAAACAAAAGAAAACTTCTACCCCCATTCGATGCAACTTAGACTCTCCCCTTTTCATGACAAGGTTACTGGGCTAAGAGCATAAAACGCGAGTTTCCCTTGAAAACTCCGATTCGAAATTTTAAAGATCGCAATGCTTTATGTTACTTAATTATTCATTCATATATAGGTAAGTGGGGTGAAAAAAGGAAAGTGGTCTTATTTATAAAAAAAGTTTTCGATTCCATTAATTTGAAGAGCTCATTTTCACAGATTTTTTTTTCACAGGACCCCTCCATTCCAAACCTATCGTGAAAACAAACCAACAATGATCCCAAATATGAAACTTTAACATATCCGTTTATTATTTCTATTTAATTGTTCGCTTTCGATTTATTCTTATGTTGGTTATCCAATGATTGGGGTCGACTCTATTGATACCGTTTACAACAGAAAAAGATTCTTTTTTTTTTATTCATTTAATTGGTTCATGCAAGGGAACCGGTGAGCCAGAAGTTTTCATTATTTTTTTTTTAATAATAATTGACCAAACTAGAATAGTCTGGTATTTTTTAAATATGTCTATTTAGGACCACTATGCATTGCTATAATCTGAAATAATATTTACTTATAGGATAGAATACTCTTTAAAATATAATTCTATGAGGGTTTCATAAAATACCTTCACAAAATCCTGATTAAAAAATATATCAGAAATGTATAGTTCTGTTTTCATGGTTGTGCAAACAATTTTATTTTGAGAAGGATTTACTGTTACATAATTTATGCGGTAAATATTGTCGTACTCCTCGTTTGCCATTCCAACTGATGGGATTTTTATAACATTTTTTTTTACCCATCTGAAATAAAAATAATGTTTGTTACATACATAATTGTGTGTATATATAAATGTGTGTACATATATATATATATATATATATATATATATATATATATATATAATAACTTAAGATTGTAATTATAGTTGGATATAGGTCATGAACTGCACTTCAATAACCTAAAACAGCTCCTGTTTATTCTTTTTTCAAAGTATTTCAAAAGTTTCGATCCTTGTTTTTTAAAATAAATAATGGGATCCTCTTCAGTTCTGGAAAAAGAATACCCATCACTGGTACAACAATTAAAAGTTTTTATACGTTCTAACAATAATTCTAAATTTTTCTTACTTTAAATTGAGCATCAACACCCCAACCAGGGCAGCACGCTGACAGCTACAACTGTACCACCTTTCTACAAAGACGTCAGGTTACTGGTCGCAACGCGGATAATATCCTGGATCCCGATAATAATACCAATACCAATAACAATAATGCAAAAACAATCTCTTGTTGTAATTAAAACATTAAAATTGCCAAAAACAGTGGATTAAAACAACCTTACATGAATTTTGAACTAACTTCAAATCGCTAAAACTTAAGTCAGGTAATATTCACAGCCAGTCATTACATGCAATAATAAAACAACATTGAAATGGTTCCTACTTTTGTAAATTGTCGTCCACTACCACTAGATCAACTACCACTAATAAAGCACGCATAAAACTAATCCAAAATAAGACCCCATCCCATACATATATACCCACACATAAACATACTGGACACGCTGGCCAATCTGTATTCATTCCAATATATTGTTAAAGGCGTAATTTAACTTTGCTAAATAATTACACATGCTAAATCATTATTGTGTTCTTTGTCATTCCGATGTACATCATTTCAAGAATTGATCTTTTTTGTTGATTATTTTCATTACCTAGGACTTTCTCCTTACCAAAATAAAATTTATGCCTTTTTCTAACAGCTTGGCTGGCTAAAGCCGTCGCTTCTTTTTCGACGCTGTATTTGTGAGCATAAAGTCTCGTATATAAATAATGTGAAGTTTGTCCGGTGTATTTCCCGCCACAATCGGAGCATTTTATTTCATAAATTACATTTGATGATTTGTCGCGGCTAGCTCTATCTTTTAGTTTGGAGAAAAGGGTCATTTTAAGGCTATTATTATATCTATACGCTATGCTGATAATGTGCCTATGAAAAATTCTTTTTTATTTTTAATGCAAATGGTTTAATAATAATACTGTGGACTGAATTCTCATACGCTCCTCGTAGGCGCTTTTTAATGAAGACCCTAGGGTAACCATTGTTTTTTAATATTTCTCTTATTCGTTTAATATTTTCCTGTCTAAACCAAATGGAACACAGAACAATAGCTCTATGAAATAGCTACATCGGAACAATTTCAATGTTGTTTTATTATTGTGGGAGCGGGGTAGCTCAGTGGTAGGGTACTGAGCTTCCAATGCAAAGGTCCCGAGTTCGAACCCCGGCTCATGGCAGAAAATTTATTTATCTGTTTCATTGGCCGTGGGGCGACCTTGGGTCAGGAGTCCCTCCTGGGGCTCACCCAGCCTCTATAAAGTGGGTACCCTTAATTAAATAATTAATTAAGGGGGAAAACCTGGCGGTTGAGCGTGATCTCGGTCAAATCACCTCCTTGCACAACCGTTGACCTAGAAACAGTGCTTTCCCTAAATAGTACTGAACCCCAGACCCTTCATGGGTTGTAGTGGTACAGGTTTTTTATTATTGTATGTGATGACTGGCTGTGTATATTTTATTTTATTTTTATCTGACCTAAGTTTTAGCAATTTGTTGTTAGTTCAAAATGCATGTAAGATTGTTTTAATTACAACAGCGTGCTACCCGGCTTGGGGTGTCGATGGTCAATTTGAGAAGTAAGAAAAATTTAGAATTATTGTTAGAACGTATAAAAACTTTTAATTGTTGTACCAGTGATGGTTATTGTTTTTCTAGAACTGAAGAGGATCCCTTTATTTGTTTAAGAAAACAGGGATCGAAACGTTTTGAAAGAATAAACAGTAGCTGTTTTAGTTTATTGATGTTTAATTTAATTGAACTTATTTAAAATCATAGATTTCTGTTTTTTTTTTTAAAGTTTGGAATGTAAAAAGTTTACAAAGGTGTTCTCAATGTCTATTATTAAAAACTACCAAAAATTTGAAGTGATACCTTGAATCTGATACTTTCTCAAAAACATATACTTCTCCAGCGTTGCAAGAATACAGAAAGCCTTTCTCAAATGAAATCAAGGCTCTTACTTCGTGTATCCCGGATTTATTGTCATCTGTCACCGCGTTTGATGCTAGAGTTACTTCTTCTTCAGATCTGAGAAAAAAAAAGGATATATTACAAAAAAGGTCTAAGAAACTGTTTAGATAAAAAACAAATAAATCAATTTATTATTTTACCAAAAAAATATTTTAAGAATAAAAATATATCGTGAAAGAGCACGCTGATGATATATCAGAGATGCCCAACCTCTAGTGTTGCCCAAAATCGGTCTCGGTCTTGGTCTTGGTCTTGCACTTTTGCAAGACCAATACCACAAAAATTGTTGCAAGACCAAGACCAAGACCAGACCCTGCAAGTCTTGCAAGTCTTGCAGGTCTTGCAGTTAAGTCAAACTGGGACTATTTTCAGATATAGTACGGTGCTTAAATATTTTAATCATTTAATCTAAACAGCGTTGTTTTCTTCTGTTAACAAATTAATCTTTTTTTTTTTTGTTATCCTCTACCTCGCCTTTTACGATATTCGCAGGTTTTCGCGAGACAAGGGGTGAGGGCGGGGGATTAATGTCAGAGTTAAAAGACATAAATAAAAAAAATAAATGCCACTATGTTAGATCACGTGATATATCTTACAAAATTTAATTTTTTTTTAGAGCATTAGAAATTCTTTTTTTATTCAGCTACTAAATACGTTATACATATATCAAATAAAATATTATACTTTATGTCTTTTTTTATCTAAATAAATTTGAAATTTGGTTCATTCTGCTGAAAAACTAGTTTATCGATAACTGATAAATTTCATTTTCAGATTATATATAGATATAGATTATAAATTTCAGATAATGCCAATATTATTAGAATTTCCGCGAGCAAACAATATTTTCATTTTTTTTTAAATACTTGTACATGAAACAGGATTCAGAACTTCAACATAAGATTTAGTATCAAATTATTTCATCTTACATTATTTTTTAAACGCTTTTGTGGACACGATCGGTTAATTCTCGTCCATGAATTGTTCTTTATTCTTATAATTGATAATTTTTTGACTGCACATCCTACCGATTTTTTATCTTTCCTTTTTTATTTTATTTGATGTATAACGCACAATACATTAGGCAATTACAATCAACAATTAACATCAGTAATATTTAGAGGAGGCAAGGTTCCCCCCTGCCCTCCTCTGCGTATGTCCATGCCAGGAATTCATTATTATTTTTTTTTAAAATATTTTTTCCTTTGATTGAGAATTTCATCTGAAATAACTGCGAGAGCGTTGTCAAAGGGGGGTACATTATTTTAAAATAGGGTGGGGAGCAATAAAATTGAGGATGGAGAAATTAGTCTTTATTTTCTAATTAGTTTATTTTAAAATGTTGATACGACCTCTCACTGATGATAATATTTCATAAGTTTTTTTTGTTGCTACTTTATTTTAAATTTATTTCCGTGTCCTATAGCCAAAGACGAGGAATTAGTTATATTTATTATATACATACAATGAAGGTACCCCACACCTATATTTCAAACAAGCGGCGCCCTTTGAGTTAATGGTGAAACTGGATATACGGAAGACAATGCCCTGCTTGTGTTGAGTACTTGGATAAAATCATATCCAAGCCGCTCTTCCAAGCATGCGGCACCTTAGATATTTTTTTATATACACGCAAACCTCAGTGTGCCATTTTTTCTTTATTTCCTGGTTTACATGTTCTCTTTAAATTGAAAACTTAATGATAAACTTAAACCCCCCTCCCCCAAAAAAAAATATTCTGATGGCGCAACTTGCGCCTATACAATACCTGTTTATTATCATGTTTACCTCCGCGTAACAGGTATTGAGAAACGTCGACAAATATTAATTGCCAAGGGCCTCTATTGTCAACGGTGACAACTATATTTTGTTAATTATTGATCTAGACATCTCAATAAATGTTTTCTAACAATTTTCATAGAATGATGGAATTGAAAAATTTTCAGTTGAGGGAATGCACAGAATTACCATGGAACTTCCAAAATTAACTACATTTTGAAGTGGTTCCCGATGAGAAAACTAAATTTTTTTTGCTCGATCGACGTGTATAATTGTCCTTAAAAAAGTTGAAAATTATTTTAGTGGATATCAACAAAGATTTTATAACAATTCAGTGAAACCTGAAATTATTGGTTAGCCAAATTCAGCCTCTATCGTACATATTTTTCAACAGTTTAATTAAATGCAACAACGTGCAATTCAACAACAAGAAAATCTGACCCTGGATAGCTTCGACCTGATTGGTATTGGTAGTTTTAATCCAGAGAATAAAAACTAATTAATAAGAACGTGAAAAGTATCATATCCATTTGGTACCAGTGTGTGGAGTCCGTTATGAAGAAACTTTTCAATCAAAGTCTAAATAGAAAATTAAAGAACATTAAGGACGGGCGGCACTTGTTCATAATCTCTAAGTATCCAAAATAATATTTTCGTATGTTTACTGAATCTCCGAGACAATTCATGAAAAAAAGTTATAAAGAAAAGAAAATTGTTTTGGGCGACTAACTCACCACGTATACATCTCATCGGTTTTCAACGGATATCAACGTTTCTGAGTCTGTTTTGAAGCTTATTTCTTGAAAGTTCATTAAATTTCTATCAAAATTGGCAAAATTGACAGCTGTGTGTAAAAGCTGCTGTTGGTACAGATATAAGTGTATGCATAAATAAAAGCCGTTATGAAACCTAATTTCAATGACTAAACCCCAGACATAACGAGAATGACAAGCACATTATGGCGTAGCGAAAACTTCCTGTAAATTAACCAAACAAATATATTGTACCATATCTAGACCATGATTTGACTAACAACTGCACATCTTTTTTTTCTATACAAAATTCAAAATTTCCAGAAAAATTGACACCTACCGACAATTCATTACAGACGACCACTAAAAAGCTCCTGAAATTTAAAGATTGTAATTATAATTTAAAGATTGTAATCCTTTCCTTACCAAAGTTCAAACCTGACCCAAAACTGATAAATAAAATCCCAAATATTTGCTCACCACCTCTTCAAAACCTTTAATCCACATCCTGATATCCTTTATCCAAATCATCTTGAATGAATTGTAGCAGAACTGAATAATCCACTTCAAATGACTCCTCCTCCTAAGGCAGTTCATCCTTCAGAAATATCCAATAACATTCACATATTACCCTTCCGCAAAGCCCTTCGCCACGACCTAATCACATCCCATATCCTTAAACAACTTCCTCGAAAAGCCATTTTATTCCTTACTGAGATATATAATTCCATTCTCCGTTTCACATATTTTCCTGAATCTTGGAAACTATCTATTGTCAAGATGACACATAAACCCAAAAAGTCTGCATAATAACCATCCTCTTACCGCCCTATCTCTCTTTTACTCATCATGGGTAAAATCCTGGGGAAAAAAAACATCTTAAAACGCCTGTATCCCATTTTATCTTCTACTCTCATGTCATTGTGTGGTAGACGTTTTCTTTTCTGCATTGGAGCGCGAAATGTATTGCACTGGAGTCTGGTTTGCTTTACAAACACCGTAAATTCCTCCCCCCTACATACTTTCTCATCATCCGTTCCTGCCTTACTGAGAGACACTTCAAAATAAATCACATTAATGCCTATTCATCCCCCTTTTCTTAATCTGTTGGTGTTCCTTATCTTTGGTCCAATCCTTTACAAAGTTTACATACATCTAATGATATACAAACTCATCCTAACACTGTCATGGCCACTTATGCCAATGACACATGCGTCCTATCAGTTAATAATGACCCATCAATCGCATCTTAAATTCTTCAATCACACATCACAAGACTTGAAGAATGGTGTCAAAATTGGTGGATTAAAATAAATTCCAACAAATCCCCTTTACCCTTCGTCGTGAACCTATAACTTCCTGTCCTACAGTATTCTTTAATAACACCCCTCTTATCTTAGTCGAACAAATCCGATACATAGGACTCCAGTTGGATAAAAGTCTTAATCGGAATCCTCATACTAAACTGAAACGACAAGAATCTGCTCGACGTTTCCACGTACTCCAACACAGATTAACGCTCTAAATTACCAATTAGTTATAAAAGGCTCATATATATGACTGTAATAAGGCCTATTTGGGCTAACGGAGTTGAGCTTTGGGAATCCAATAAACCATCGAATTCCTCTCGGATCCAATCCTCACAAACCAAAATCCTTTGTAAAATCCTCGATGCTCCTTACTTTGTCACAAATAAAATAATCCATAAAGATCTTAATGTTCCATATGTTTCCAATTTGGCCCAATCCAGATACCTATCCTTCCATAATAAACTTCATAACCATCCGAATCCTTTCGTTTCTAACATTACTTCTTCTATCCCTGAAAACTCTTCGAGGCGCCTGAAAAGAAGATGGCCTCGTGATCTACTAATTTAGAAACTTTATTAAAATGCTAGCAATCAGTGGTTTCTCTACAAGTGTACTCATGCCACTGTATTATTATTTATCATATTTACTAGATGTATATTTGTTTATATACAGTTGTAAATTTCATAAATAAATAAATAATCGTTTTTCTGTAATAAATGAAAAATCTTTATATCGCTCATCAAAATAAATCTAGCACAATATTATTAGGTTATCCGGAAAAAAATGCATGATTTCATGTTTCCTTTGTATTAAACCTCTATACAACAAACCTACTACGATTGAGGGATTATTATTTTTTATGGGTGTCAATACTTATTAATCCTCTTGCAAATAAAAATGTTTTTATTTCCTGTAGCCTTTCACTGGTTGGAAATAATTCATTCCTAACTAACATGTCAAAGTATGATTTTTTCATAATTTCGTTTTATGAATTTAAACTCGGTCTGAAATATTAATGAAGTGTTGGGCGATGGCAATGTAAGTGAATGCATCATTTAACGACAGCTTAAAAATGAAAAATAAAAACGAAAATTTTAAAATTAAATGATGGTCGTGGAAGGACTTCTCTTAATAACTTTGTTCTGAAAGCTTTGGTTTAAGAAAATCCCAGAACAACAGTCGAGAACTTGCAGAGAAACTCTCAGTATAAAAATCGACCATCCCTGACCACCTCAATGCCATTGAAAAAGTAAAAACACTTGAGACTTGGATTCCTCATGCATTAAATGACTGCAAAAATAAATCTTGGTTATGAATTTTCCGTTAATCTTCTTTACCGAAAAAGGAATAAACGTTTTCAACCATGCTCTCCAGACTCCTCGCCTACCGAATACCAATTTTTAGTCATCTGGGCCACATTTCAAAAGATAAAAATTTTATTGATCACGATTCGTTAGAGAATACATTTTCCGAACTTAAGTTAATAATAACGATTCAACATTATGTTTAGAGGGAATATAAAAGGAAAGGTAAACAACACGTTAGAAGAAATGTATTGAGAATAATGAAGCGTATTTTGTTTAATAAAAATAGTTTCACATAAATTATTTTATTTACAACCATAAGCATGCATTAATTTCCGGACGATCCAATAAATGTTATAAGATTAAATAACATTTATTGGATAGTTTTAAGATTAAACTTAAAACTAATGTACAAGTAATGTAAACGTACTCTTTTAAAAGTATCTCAGACAACATGTCAGATTCATAAACCCCTCTAAGCTCACCGTAGGCCACCAGGAGGAGCCTACCATCTTTCGATCCTGCTAAGACTGTTTGAGGTCCTATCCAGCAGGCCACTTGCAATGGTACCTTGTCGGCTCTTGAGAACCCATACTGGCGCCATATACGATCCGATTGGCTCATCAAACGAAAATGTCCTGGACCTAATAATAGAAACATGCTACTGTCTTCAGGATTTGGGGAAATCTAAAAAAAGTATCATTGTTTTCATTTAAATAATGGTAGTGAAACTATTCTAAATGTTACATACTATATAATTAGGTTATTTTTGGAATGTTAGTTGACTCATAAACCTTAAGTTACATTTATGGCTTTCTTTCTCAAACATGATTGGTTAAAATCGTTATTTGTTCCTTAATAACACATTGAAAGATTAAGCTTTTATACAATACGGAAATTGGCGATTCACTCAGTCCAAGTCAAATTGCAAGGAACCCAATATTTTGAAATTAATCAAAAATTGATCTTTATTATATGAAAGAAAGTATTACGGGATTATTTTCAACACAGAATGAGCAAAGATGATAACAAGTATTAATACTTAACTTCATATGAAGGACTAGATACCCATCAGATAAGACATATTACAACAAATTAACTAACCAACTAAAAGCTGAAATTAGAAAATACAAAATTCAAAATTTACTTAACATGACAGAAAAACAATATTGGAAGAGGAGTTCCTTGAAAACTTTGATATTAATGGTTGATTGGCCCAAATAGTCTCCCAATATTTCCGTATCAAATAATTCGTTTACATTGTCATCATTTGGGCCTTCTGTGTGCGAGTCCAAGCCATCAAAAAATGCATTCGCTTCATTATCAGATTCCTCTTCTTGGCGGTGAATTTCATTAAAAACCTCTTCTGGAGTGGTGAATAAGAATTTGCGGTCCATTGTGGCGCGAGAATAAAAATTATTAAAACAAATAAAATATATTTGAACTACTGAAATAATAGAAATAGTTTTACATTTACAGTAAGGGTTAGTCAAATTGACCCATAATTCGAATAGGACGTGAATTGTTGCGAATAGATCAACAATGCAACTTACCAGAATAGAACCGCTTTGAAGACAATTAGTTCAACAATGGATAGAGGGTATCTGGGTTTGGTATCTGGAGTTTGGTGGGGAAAATTCTAGAATTGTATGCGTAATACACCAAAATATACAGCTCGGGTCAGATTGAAACCCGAGCGTTACCGTTTGAGGGTTAAAATGAGTTAATTTATTAATTACATTAATTTATTGTCATAGTAGCTCTAATGCTCTACTACAGGAAGTGATTCCTGTATAAAAGCTGAATAAGTTACAACATATGAGGGATGGATCCAAAGGTAATTTTGATTTTTTTAGGAGAAGAAGAAGAACAAAAAGAAAAGTAAATTTTATTCTGGGACTAAGTCTCCTTAGAATAACTACAATATACAATTTAATGACGATTGACATTAGAAACGATAAGGAATAAATTAAATTTATCTAGGTAATAAATTAAATTAAGGTTATCTAGATCTAAAATTAAAATAAAGAAAAGGCGCTGATAGACATATGAAATTGTGGATAAATTCAGATGTGCGAGTTCACATTTGTACACAAAAACTATGTGGATGATATATAATTATTTGTAGGATAACATTAAGTGCGACTGACAGCTCTGAAAAACGTGAACATTATTTTACACATATTCCGAAGATTGATTGCTGAGAAGATGGTTAAATAAATTATGTTTAAATGAGGTCAAGGATGAGGATTTGCGTATGGAGGTTGGTAGGGAATTCCAAAACAAGGTAGCTCATATGACGAAGGATTTTTTAAAGGAAACAGTTCTATGAGAAGGAAAAAATAGGTTTGAGGGCTGGGATCTCGTGTAGAACGAATAGACAGAGGAACAAGGAGTAAACAAATCGAGAAGGTAAGAGGATTTTTTGGTTGAAAGGATTCGGAAAAGGAATACATATTGCCGTCGGAAGACTGGATAGAGACATGGAAGCGCCTGGGGACTCCAAAAGTAAATCTAAGGAAATAATTCATTAGTCTCTTTAATCTGATCTCAAGCCTATCAGACAGTCCACTTATCAAGTAGCAGACAGCCATAATCGAAATAGGGAAAATAAGTGAGGAAACTTCGTGCTGACGGATTTTAAGGGGTATGAAATCACGGAATCTTAGGAACTGTTTGAGGGTAGCAATTGGTTTTCGGATTATTTAAGAAATATTTTTATTCCAGGACAGCTATTGATCAAACCTTAACCCAAGGTTTCTAACGGAAATGTGGAAACGGGTGAAACTATTATGGTAGCCAGAGGATTTGGGAGAAATATTACCTTCTCGTACCTATTAGAAGGGGTGCACAAAAGTGGGTTTCATGGCGCAAGTTGCTCCTTCAAAATTTTTTTTTTTGGGGAGGGGGCACATTTTCACAAGGTAAGAATATACCATGGAGAGATGGTGATGGTGGGAGAGACAAGCAAGAAGTAGAGTTGATACTTGGAACAGATGTCATGCAACAAAACCTGACAGGAAGGTTAGAACCAGTTACTGAAAATTTGATAGCTACAGAAACTAGGCTAGATTAGACAGTTTTATTGGCCAAACTAAAACACAGACCTGTCCCATGCTAACAACACCTACGAGAGGGAGACCTTTACAGCGCTTTGACTCTAGTGCAAGTGAATCTCACCATTCAGGGCAACCTGGAATATCTGCGACCCATTACAATAATTTACAAAGTTGTCTAGATGATGAAATTACCAAGAAGACCGGATTAGTACCAGTTAAAACAATAATTCCACGCATTGTACAACCCCCTGGAGTAAAAACACCTGTCACACCTGCAGCTCGAAACAGTCTTCCCAGGAACATCATAAAATATGGTACCAGGTCTGTATTCAGCCAAAGATCCCATTCAGAATCAGATATTAGTCAGAAAAGTACAAGGAGAGGAGTACAAGTTACAACTAATGGTATGAATAATTCTTCATTGTCCTCTAAAGATTTTTTCCAAAACTGGAAGAAAAGAATAAAAAACAGCTAAGAAGAGTAGAGTGTCTCGGAATGTTATTATCCAGTGATCTTATCAAGACTAAAAAAGGAAGCATAAAACATTTGTTAAAGTAGTTTATTAAGTGTTATTAAAATTTAACCTGTAAATGTTTGTATTGAATATTTTAAATTTTGTTTAGTTATTTTCAATCAGCTTACAATTTAAAGCATATATTGTAAAGGTGTGAGTGTGTAGAGTTAATGCATGTTATTTTGTAGCACTGTTGTTGTAAACAAAGCAGGTTGACTTGGGTGAAGTTACCCACAGAGGAATAGTCCTTTGTTCCGAATAGTGTGATGTTTCTGTAGAGGAATAGAGGTGTTTTGTGTATTTGTGCCTGGGTTGTCCTGAAGTGATTTCCTGACTTCACAAACCATATAGCCGTATCCTAATACGATTGTGCATCCCCACACGGGTGTAGTGAATAAAATTAATAAAAAGCTTCCACAACTTGGGTAGTGAGAGAACAAAAATCATCGCTTCAATTAAAGAATTGATTAAAGATTATAATATTCTGGTCAAAACTGAAGAAATATATCATACCTGAGTAACCGTCAGGGAGTTATATGCAGCTTGTCCATAAGAGACAACACGTCCTTTGAGCCAGTCATATATAAGGTAGTTCCAGTTGGGATGTCCTGTCACAGCAATAAGATGAGTGTTATCTTGCATGAAAGCAACAGTAGCCCAATCAGTCGCTGTTGATTCTTTGAGGGGAACTCCAAGTAATTTAATCCTCTTTTGGGTAGCTATTTCGTAGACAGATAGAGCTGGTTTAATACCTTTTTCTGCCACGACTACGAAGTTTCTGAAACGACAAAACTATCAACGTTCACACTTCTTATTAGGCTCTATTTTAAAATATATATATATGGCATATCTTAGACGGTATTGTTAACCAGATCAGGAGGAAACCCAAAACATGGGAAAGGATGTTTTCATCATCTTTATGGATGAAATAATAAAAATTGCAAGAGAAGAATAGGCAGAGCATTCATTGGTCATAGTAACATGAGATCTATACTGACAAGTAATAGTGTATGCCGATGAGATAGTCCTCATTGCTGATTCTACTCATAACCTACAGCAAGCCCTAATAGAGTGGGAAGCAGAACTCGGAAGGAAAGGCATGAATATTAACGCCAGAAAAAATAAAATCCTACAAGTAGGACAAATCTACATAATTTGCAAAGACGAGGATCTTAAAGTCATGAATGAAATCTCCTACATGGAGAACTACCATACTTCTATAACACGCAGAGATAGGATCAGGAATGAAACTATAGGGGAAGAATTAAATATTCCTGCAATGAAGGAGACCCTGGAGAAGAGACAATTGAGACGGTTCGGGCATGTGTGCAGTATGAGCCCTGATTGTGATCCACGCAAATTTATGAATGCCAGATTTACAATACCAGAAGGCACTAGACCTAGAGGAAGACTTAGGTTTAGCTATAATAGCTATATTTCCAAGTTGGGACCAGCGAGAGAAAAGACATTACAGTAGATGATGATTCTTGTGAGAGACAGAGCTACATGAAGATTCTGGGTTGGATTAACTCAACTCAACGCTGAAAGATACAATCAGAAAGTTAAATAAGAAGAAGATAAGCACAGGCACAACGATAGGGGTGACAACATGTCTTACAAAGTTTTATTTGTTAACTTCTAAATTTACATCTTAATAAAGTATTAATAACATTATTTATATTATATAATAATAATGTAATACATATATTTATATAATATATTTGTTGTTACATTATAACAAGCATAATTGGTTTTTGTCGGTGATGGGGGCCCAATTAATATCCAATTGATATTGGATGGGGGCCCGTAAAAAACCTTCACGAGGACCGTAATAATCGTAAGTATATGAATAATGAAAATATAAATTACTCAAATTTCAAGAATGTAATGAAAAATCAACCCATTTTATTGTTCCTATTGAATAGACCCAAACGATGAGACTTTTATAAGACAGTTATTATAATTAGTGGATCAAACAAGTATTGGCACATACCAGTTTATGTTTAAAGTTTACATAAAGAGTAAATTTTAAGGATCAAAAAAGTATTGGCATAGTTTTTTATAAAATCTTCTAAATTTTCAAGGCCATTTTAAATTCATTAATAATTGCGAGGAAAAAACTTTATTGCACCATTTCTATTGGCATAGTTTTAAATGTTTATTATCAGCTCCTGCCAAAACAAATTAATCGTTTTTCTTTCAATAGATTAGAAACGAGGATTGACGATAATACAATGAAAATATAAAAATCAGTCTTTGCAGTTTATTTGCAATTACAAAATGGATACAAACAGTGAATATACAAAAACACACATCATTAAATTACATTATAATGGACTTAGCTACCGACAGATAGCGAATAAATTAGAAATATGTTTTAGTACTGTTCAAAATATTGTACAAAAGTTTAGAAAGTTTTAAACAAGCCCAGTTCAGAAAGGAAATAAAAATTTAATGAGAGGGCACAAAGGAATATCCATCGAATTGTCGATCACAAAGGCACTTTATCAGCCGCCAAGATAGCAAAAGAGGTGGCATCTACTTCAAATGCCACCTTCTGTTATAAATATAATTCATAAATATTATTATTATGAGAAGTTCTATTATTATTATCAAAGGAAAAAAACTTTTATTACAGAGATAAACCACAAAAAAAGACATGAGTTTGCCAAAAGTTAAGTTAATAAAGACCTAGGATTATAGAAAAATGTTATTTTTTCAGATGAAAGTAAGTTTAACATATTCCATTCTGATGGGCACAAGAAATTTTGAATACTTGACACTGAGTTTCAAACTCAACATGTGAGGTCCTCTGTAAGACATCGATTTATAAGTGTCCAAGCTTGGGGGGCATGTCTTGGAACGGTGTTGGAAACTTAACCTTTTTTGACAATATATAATATGAATTCCGAACAATATGTCGACATAATTTTAAAAGTAGAGCCGAAAATCTGAGGATCAAAGATGCATTTTTCGACAGGACCATAATGTCATGTACACACCAAATAAAACAAAAGAATGGATGCTGTATAATTTTCCTAGCCAATTGAAAATACCACCACTTTCTCCGGATTCCATAGAAAACCTATGGTACCTGTTGGATTTGAAGGTAAGAAAAAATAAAATTTCTTCAAAAAATAATTAAAAAGAAACTTTGTTAGAGGAATGGCGTAAAATTGGACAAGACGTAATACTACTAATACGCAATACTTTTATGATCAACTATATATAGCTTTGATTTAAGATATGTATTTTATTGCTCTGAAATGAACTTCGCCTTACATTACACTAATATATTTGTGATAAATCATTAGCTAAATGATTACCTAGCTATAATCGTAATTATTATATGTAGCGTGGATAATAAAATTCACAATGTGTTTAACTAGATTTAGTTTAGTCCTAAGTAGACCATTGTTTTTTTTTTTTAAAGCCGAGTAAATAAATCTTGGTTGATTTGTGGCTACTGAAGTGAATTGAATCGGTTAGCCACTTCTATCTGTATATCTCTGGCTGATAATTGAGAAATTAAAGCTTATCCTAAAAAGTTTTCTTGGAAAGTAGGTAAAATAAAGTAGGTATAGAGGGTAACAGTTAATATAAATATTGGGGAACAATAGGCCAACAATAAATAGATTTTTAAATATCGTTCTCGCATTTTGTTTGTCCAAATATTTTTTAGATTTCTCGAATTTTCCAACCCTCTCAAAAATTGGCGCGATTTGTAAATCAGCACCTGGTAGTGCCCTACAGGTGTTCTGTTCGCATATGCTTCACATATTGTCAATGTTTATGTGATTGGTAGGTATGATCCTATCTCTACACACATACAAAAAAATGGTTATAAAATGTTATTCATTTTAGCAATATAAGTAGAATCTTCACATTATTACTCTAGTCTAGAAAGGTTTAGATGCATTAAAGAAGAGCCTCCGACCAATTTTCGAGTCCTCTTAAACTGTGATTTGACAGCTCACTTGATAATATAATGAAACCATTCATTTTTATAAAACAATCTTTCATGTCAATAACAACTTTTATAATAAAAACAATTACAAACAAATAATTATAATTAACGAGGATTTTGATCCTTTAAATATTTCACATAAATTATAATTTAATTTTCTTCTTTTTGTTTTAAGTACTTACCGATTAGGACTGATAATAATTCCAGTTATTTCTTTTTTAGATGATGGAACTTTTATGAATTTTTGTTTTCCATTATTCAAATTATCTATGACCAAAATTTTTCCTGCTGGATGGAGTAGTTCTTCATCGTTTACAAATATGGCATTTTCTTTAACTGTTGTGGATAATCCATAAAATAGCTTAGGTTCCAAGTTGGGTATTTCATAGTCATTAGTTTTTTCGTCCATTACATAGACATAAGCACTAGTGCTCGAAATAAACAACTGTTGCTAAGGAGGATTTATGAAGGGGGGGGGGATCAATATCTTGAACTGTCTGTCCCAATCAATTTAAATTTTCGTATTATACATACCTATATCATTCATACAGAATTGCGTAGAGGCATTTCACAGCTTTGGAAAAAATAAATATTTAAATGATTGTTTCTCTATGCTATTGTTCTTGTTTCTTGCTTTGCGATGTTTTCCATCTCCTGTCGGTAACAAGAGAAATTAAGGAAAAGTTTGGCTTAGCGCTAATGTCGCTGTAATTTAAGTTAGATAATTGTGTTTTCCATATATTGTGAAATGTCTAAACGCACCTTAAGATATGGATTTTTTTACTTCTCTTCTTGATCAAAACTAGTTCTTTCGGATTGAATTTTTGGCTAAACATTACATAACAGCAGGGGTCCAATCCCCACGTCAAGTTCGATGGCGTATAAATCTCTCTCCTCCCCTTTCCACGAAATTTTATTGCTTTCTGTTCGTAAAAACAAGGGAGCTGAGAGAAGAATTAGAAAAAATGTAAATCATATACAATTACACTTGCTATGGTCTCGTCCATGTTTTTACCCTTGTCTCCTGGTTAAATCTTTTCATTTTGTAAATGCAACCTCGTCGAAATGTGTCCCCTTCAAAAATTCAAAACCGCGTCAAAATATGCCACTCAAAAATTTTAATGGCTTAACTTGCGCCATGAAATCCTTGACACTCCTCCATACGAGTGTTAATAAGTTACTGTATGGAATCGTATAACTATAAATAATAATATCAAATAATTAAGTTTCAATTTATTTATTTTGTTAATTTGGATTTGGGGACTAATCTATCACTCAGAAAATAAACGAATCATACCTTCGTCTCTTACTTTGCTCCTATCATTTTATGTTATATATTTTTATTTATTCTGTATAAATAAATATACAAACTCTCTTCCCACGTGGTTTCATACATTCATACTGATAGAAAATAAAAACAATTCTTTCATGCTTTTCTTTTTTATTTCAACGCTTAAGGGTGAATGAGCTATCACTATGGCCTATCACTATTACTAGTGTCCTTGATTTTGACTGAATATAATAATGCTCAATAAAGAAATGTGAAAATAATTTAAATGCTTAAATATAACTAAAATATCACTCTTACCAATTTTCTCTTACCAATACCAAAAATATTTGCCTAACAATAAATACATATTTTTCAATAAAAATTTGAATTTAAAATAACAATTCAAACTGCAGAACCATCCGAATCCTCTCGTTTCAAACCTTGCTTCCTCCTCGATCCCTGATAATCCTCCGAGGCGTCTGAAAAGAAGATGGCCTCGGGATCTTCTAATATAGAACTTTAATTTGAGTTCTACCAATGGGTAGTTTGTCTTCATGTTGTACATGTCATGTTACCAATTTCACATTTACTTACTGTATTTTCTATGTAATACAGTTGTAAATTCCATTAAAATAATAACAATTATATTGCAGCAAATGTTTTCATACATAGTTGTATTAAACATTAATTTATTTATTTATTCTACTCAAAATTTTATATTAATGTTTTGAATCCATTCCTTTGCTTTTGAGTACCTTTTAGACATTGATTAAATCAACATTAAAATCAATCGGGAGGGAATTTTCACCCACTCTTCAAAAAAATTATATGCAAGATATTTTACTGACATTATATTTTGGTTTATCAACTGTACATTTTTAGAAGAGTTTCATGTTCATTTTGTAATTGTACAGAACCCATACCCGTGAGTGGAGAGTTTGAGGCTAAGAATTACTATCCTGATAAAATTTGAATATTTGTTCTAATCCCATTTTTGCGATACTAACCTCAAAAACCTGTGGAACTAACGCCAGGAATAACTAAGAACAGTAAGGAAAACAAGCTGGACCAGATACGATTCGGTGAGTATTAAAACAATATAGATTTACATTCAGAGTGTCTACTCACTTTTTCTACTAAAAGACCTCCATAAATTTAATGAATAAGAAAAAAGGTTACCCTTCGCCATATAAGTTATTCAAAAAACAACAACAATAAGTAACTGGAATGATGTATTTTTTTCAGATGAGAGTAACTTTAATATTGATAGGGTGAAGAAATGTTGGAAAGGAATTTGAGGTAATAAATTTGTGAGCTACAATGACAGATGTAGCAGGAAGTATTCTATGACTACTTTGGACTCAGAATTTAGTTTTTATCGATGGAATAATAGAGGAGTATAAACTTAAATTAACTATAGGGAAATAGCTGCTATATGAATATCCAAATGAACAGTAAACTCATCTCCAGTGTCCAGTTTTAAATCTCATAGAACATTTGTTTGCTAATATCGATATACAGCTTCAAAATCAAACTATTACACCAGTTATATATTTTGAAACTAAATTGTTTGAATAATGGTTAAAATCCCCCAAATGTACTTCAAATTTGGTACAATTAATACTTAAATGGTACTAAAATAGTTTTTGAGTTGTTATTTTTGACAAAAACAAAGGACAGCATTCAAAATATTAACTTAAAATTTTGAGCAGAATGAATAAATTACTATTTAATATATGTATGTATGAAAACTTTTGCTAAAATAATTTTTATTTCATACATAAATTTGTCATCACCATAAGCCATCCTCTTGAACCGCGTTAAGCAGTGTGAGGAGGAAGTCTATAGAGCCTTCTCCTTCTCTGCCAGTCTTCCACAAGACGCCTTCTATCATTCCATTGAAGTCCTCTTCTCTGGAAGTCGCTCTTCACCTCATATTCCCATTTCCTTCTAGGTTGTCTTCTTAATCCCTTGCCCTCTACTTTAGCTCGATAGGCTTCGCTAGCTATCCTGTTTGGTTCCATCCGCAGATGTACTAGCCATCCCAGTCGATTCTCTTCCCATCATTGGCCGGCTTAATATTGAGGTTCGACCTGATGGTGGTGTTGCGTACTCTGTCTCTTCTTGTTTTCCTCTCAATCTTCCGGAGGAATCACATAAATTTGTGTTGAAAATATATGTATTTAATCTTAGACAAATATTTTTGAGAAAATTGATAAGATTGGTATTGAAGTTACATTTATGCGTTTGAATAGAAAATAAATGCATGAAAGCATTGTTTTTATTGATTTTTTTATTTATTTCCTATCAGGTCGTGTCTGAAAACTTTTGTTGACCATCGTACTTACATATCCCAGCACCACCCTTCAAATCAATTTCACTACTTAGGTTTTCTAATAGTTCGCCCAGTTTTGTTCCCATAACCATATGAAATGACATTTTATTCTGATAACGATACTCCTTTCTCCTCTTCTTGGTCATTCTTTTTTTTCAGATTTTCTCTGTTATTCACCATTTTTTTTAATTTATTTTTTTTATCCCTTTCTCTTCCTCTTTGTCTCCTAAGTCCATTTCTTGTAACCAGAACCATTGCGTCTTTCTTCTCGCAAACAACCTAGAACCTGTTTTGAACTAGAAGTTGTCCGACATCAAACCCTTTACCCCTGCTCTTCTTTCAAAGCAACAATTGCCCCACTGTTAAAATAATTCTTATCCTTTATTTAGGTAAAGGTCTTTAAGGTCTTCTTAGAGTACCATCGGCTACTTACTTTGACATTTACTAAATTCAGACTAACATCAGAATATTTTATTTTATTTCTCATATCATCATTCACCTCTGAACAATAAATTCATCATCTAACTCTTGAAATAAATCCATGAAAAACATAATGCATTTAACAATATATTTATTGAATGATAATAGCATAGCTATACAATGTCTTGAAAAACTCTGAAATTACTCTTTGGTTTTGACACTCCTGATCGATTCCATATAAATTTTGAACTTTCTTATAACAATAATGTAGAGTAACCTTCCATTAACTATACAAAATGTTTATATTGCCTGTACAGTATTTATATTTATGTTTGAAATTTTTAAGTAAATGATTAAGCTAAGGGCAAGTTTATTTGTACTTTTATAGTTGTATTACATAGATTTATATTTTAAATTTCGTTTTACTGATATCTGTTGATAATGACGTTAATTGCTTTCTTTATTAATTAGATGTCGAAAATAAGTCAGAGTGATTATGACAAGAAATACCAAGAAGATTTAGAAAAAGCACAAGCCTTAAGCTTAGAAACTTTAGCTTTAGAAAAGTTTAGGCAAGAAAAACAAAAGACTGAGCTTCAAAACACCCATTCTTTTGTAGTGAAATCTGGTAAAATTCTTTCCCCACAGAATTTAGTTTCATTTAATTCATAATACTTATGAGATATAATTACATTTTTAGGCCATGTTGCTTTAAGGGGGAAAAATACTGGCAAAAGTAATAGCAGTGAGAATGTAAGAAACAGAAATGTTTTATCTAAAGCAACGCAGAGACCACGTCCTAGTTGCATTGAACCAAGTCAGTATAAAACTCCTATAGTTTATAATTTCTTTAAATCTAGAATAATGGTAAACAGAATTAGTATAATCTTGATCTTGATAGTGTTGTTTATCTTTACTACATTGTTTATATAAATTTTAATAAACATAGTACCCTTATTTCCTTGTTTGTTCAAACAGTTTTTTTATTAATCTGGGTTTATAAGTGAATGACCCATTCATTTTTTCAAAAGAGCCGATTTTACAATTTGTTGTCATAATTCCATTTTGTCCAATTATCGTTTATATACATCTATCCATTGCTCAAGTTTTTTTAATTTTCATTACATAGCCTAAAATCTGTATATTGATATACAGCTGATAATATACAAGAATGAATGGGATATTTACTAATTGGATGTTCAATTAATATCAAAATCCTGCATTTTTTCAATAAATGACCTGTAAGTAAATCACCGTGTTGTAATGCCATTTTGAATAATTTTTTCATTCATTAGATCATCTTTACTTTGCCTGTTGGTTTGAAGATGTGGTAAGTTTTTTTAAGAGAATGGATTTTTTTTATATTTAGTAATTCCATTCATTGTTGGAGTCTAGTTTCGACTAGACAGTATCATACTCCACCCTAAAATCTAACAAAAAAATCTGGTGCGCGCATCACACAACTTTCACTTATCACCCTCTTCTTAGCAGAAATAAGTATTTTCAGGAGAAGTGAAACTAAAAATTATTGACGCTATATTTATTTACAATTCATTGTGGGTATTTTTGTTTGTATAAATATCCTTATGTATACAAATTTTAATGTGTATATCGCTGTATTCTGTACAATTAAATATTAAATAATACCAATGATAGCATTTATGAAAACCGCATATGTATATGAACATTATATTGTCAGAGTCCGTATTATATGAAGCTAATGTTACGTATAGAAGCCTGTTTTAATCTTTCGGGAAAGCTCGTATTCCTTTGATTCCTCTATTACAACTATTATCCGTTACAATCTCTTGTTTCACCTTTAGTTAATTATCAAATTCTTTCATATTTTATATTTATATATTTTTGATATCAAAGATTAATGTGAAATGGTTAATTATTTCAAATTAAAAAAAAATTAAGATACTTTAAAGGAAGCCAATATTGAAAATTAGCCATGTAAGCCCTGATGGAGAACATAAATGAGAATAAAACCTACATTATGTTAAAAACTGCTTATTAATACACTGATATACTGAGTTTAATCAAAATCGTTAGATCCGTTTTTGAGAAAAATGTGTTAAATCGATTATATAAAGTACCACTTCCGGCTTGCTGATTTTGACAAAAATGTTGCTGTAACATTGAAAGCTTATAAAAATTATATTAAACTAAATATGCAATTTCACTTTCATATGACTTTTCCTTTTTGAGCTAGATTGATTACATATATACACACAGACCAATTTGCAGGACTTGGTTATTTGGACTCAATAGCACTCAAAACATGTATTTCCGTTGAAAACCCATTTTAACATTTTTTGTGATTTTCGAAAAAAAATGATGTGAGGGACAGAAACATTAACCTGTTAACCGGGTTTTGTGATTTTCATGTGGGCGACCAGAATGTTGTGCATCATTGATGTCAAAATTTCTAGAATGAAATTTGGCAAACCAATTTTGACAAGTGTATTCGGTTAAGGCATCATCCCTATAAACACTGCAAAGTTTTCTATGACCTTCTGCAGCATGCTTACCTTTTGTAAAATAATACAACAAAATATGCTGATAATGAATGATATTTTCTTCCATATTCACAGTGCAATAGCAAACACAATACTAAACTAGTTTCAACAAGAGTTAACAGATATAATTGTTGACATATTAAAAACAGGATAAACAATCCACCTTAGGGATTAATTCATCAGATAAGAATTGTATCATAATGACATAAAAATAAACAGAAAACCGAAAGGACTTATTTTCCAACCCAATACATGATTTGTAGTTTTTATCATGGATTATTTCTTTTTAATATCATCTTAACCGAAGAATGATAAAACCACCGCATCCTGAATTTCGCTATTATATCTTTTATTTCTCAAACTATTTGGCAGTTTTTTTTCTGTGAAAAGAGCATAAAGAATGGTTATTCATTTTTTTTTTCTCTGAATTTAGAATTGACCCATTTTCTGATGAGAGGATCCCATGTCTGTTTCCTACATATTTATGATTTTTTTTTACATGATTTTATGCCTTAAAATGTTGAAATATTACAAATTTTAACTACCAAGTCCCAAGCATCCAAGAAAAAAATTGGGAAGTTAGTGTCATATTGTTTAAAACATATTTTATTTTATATCTCTGGTTCTGATGGGAGTAGAAGTATGGACTGTCATGGATGCATAGACATATGGAAGAGATAAAAGAAAAACCTCATTGATTCTACCAACGCATGTAGTTTATTAGAGACTTATACAAATGGCCTATTATGGGCTTCTACTAGTTACATTATGGCATAGTTCAAGTAACTTATTTTAGTTATGTCTAGATCTGAATTGCCTTATGCATGCAACAAAAAACTAAGGGAAATAATCCATGGTATATTAATCTATATACAAAATACATGAATAATTTAAATTTTGTGTTTCTTAATCAATCTATGCCTCTGAAATTTTTTTAAACCAAATTTCTATTTTTCGTGTTATAAAAGAATGGAAATAAATTAAAGGCAAATGTTTCTATTTGGTTAAAACATGCTAGAAAAGTTGAAATTTTTGTTTACTTTTTTTTACCACCTATAGTATGGCATTCAACCCACACAAGTATTATTTTGATATTATGAGTTTAATGATTGGTCTTTTCTTTTTTTTTATTGTCATTGCAGAATCAGCAAGTCTTCCTAAAATTCCACCACCTCAAGTTATCAGGAGAGATGGGACATCAACAAGTTCCTGGGAAACTTCTAATTCATCTGATGATCTGATTTCTTTTCATTCTTGTCATACAAATGATACTTCACAATACTCATCGTAAGTGAATTTTAATTTTAATTTTAAATTTAATTGTAGAAAGTTATTATATTATTCACTGCCCTCTGTCTTCTTAAAAAAAAAAAAAATAATGAAGTGAAATTCTGTAAGAGCCACACAACTTCTTACGACATTTTCTTCATTATATGTCTGTATTAATTTTTCTTATTATTATTTGTTTAATTCATTTTTATGTAAATTATTTTCAGTGTGACAATTTTTATTTTTTAATCACAATTCTCTAACTGAACTTTACAAAATTGTTTGTGTTTTTAATTACTATATGAGTTATAACTATTGCTAAATGATCAATACTATTAAGTTAAGTTTGTATATATTTTCTTTATTATTGTTATTTCATTATTATTTTAGACTTAAAAATCTAGAATTTTTGTTGGTTCTGGAATGAAACATTCAGTAAAGTAAATTGGCCATGAGTGGAATATTATGAGGAAATGAATCAGAATGGTGGATGAACCTGGAGTTGTACATGCTGTTCAGGAAACCAGATGTCACTATCTGTTTGCCTGAATTCGGTTGGATGGGCCTCGTAGAGGATCCAGGAGTATTATATCCCAAAAAAATCCTCCAAAAGCTATCTATTTTGATATAAGAAATATAAGTTCTTACCTGCATTGGCAGAATGGTTTGCATTTGGTTCTAGTACCCATTTCGGAGTGCAAATCTGAAGAGTGTTGGCACAAAACTCGATGAGGTGATGTAAGAAGAGGTCTTAACTCAGAGATGAGTTGTTGAGTTACTACTGTATAGATGATTTTAACAGTAGTTTCAATATTTTTAACATTATAATATATATATGTGTCGGTGATTATTTAAATTGAATATCGGATATTAATATAGTTTTGTTAAAAGTTTTCACATTGGTTTACACAACTCTCAGATTGTTAAATTAAAGCTTACAATAATAATTAAATATTCAGTTTAAAGTAAAATTTGGAGACACTTTTATAAATACTGTAAAATTGTTGTTTATCTGTAAAAATATTAAAACTGTGATGATTGGAAAATTGTCCCGAAACGTAAGAGACAACAAGCATAAATAAAAAAATATGAAGTTTTATTGCCTAAAATAGAAAAAAATGAATAAATTATTTACTTTTGTGATTTCCTACAGTATACAAATTTATTCAATAAATGAGTGCTACCATTGGATAGTTACTCAGCAAGTGTATTCATGTCATTATATCAATTATGTCCAAATTTACTTGATGTATTTATGTAATACAGTTGTAAATGTCAAAAAAAAAAAAAAATCAATAAATGATTTTTGCTCCTTTTTTCTATGTTTAACAGATTTTTATATACTTTTTTGCAGATATTTCCAGAAGTCTTCCCATTCTAGTGCTGCAGGAAATACAGAATTCATTCAACTAAACAGGCAGCCAAGCTCATCAAATAGTCCATCTACTCATGAAAAATCATCATTTTATGATCTAGGTTCATTCCACTTTCACCCCCCATCTAATATTTTAAAAAGCTCTTCAGGTGTTCGAGGTATTTATGATTTATACATGTTTGTAGGGTAAATGTACCAGAAGCTGATATCTTTAATTTAAGAAAATCTCTTTGAATTTTTACATTTAATAACATAAATAGTGGTGTTATTGTATTTTTCTTTAGTTCATCTCCTAGAATTACTTCTCAGCTTGCAAAAACGGATTGCTTCGATCTACATGCCCTGCCCATCTTAACCTCCTTGCCTTCATATCTTGAGATATTGACTAATCAGTTTCTTTTAGCAGTTCATTATTGTTCCTTGGTATATCTGATTTTATACAGTTGTAAATTTCATTAATAAAAAAAATTATAAAAATCAAATATGTAGCATTGTATCTACAAAGTTTAATGTAAAAGATTATCATTGTCAGTACTTAACCTCAATATTTTAATTCTAGATATTTTTGATAATGGTTTTAGGGAATAGTAACACATTTGAATGATTTTGATATTTTTGAAAGTGAATAAAATCTTATAATTTGAATTTTAAATTGTTATGGTTTAATCCTTTGATATTTTGTTTTGTAGGTACTGATTTTCATAACACTCATATTGAAAAAAAATCATCTGGAAATCTCATTGACTTCAATACATCTACTACTGATGGTCTAACTTCAAGAGACAAAAATGTAAGGGTTAGTTTGCTGGAGGCTTTTGATCCTCTTGTTACCTGTGATTCTCAATATGGTAAGTGAAGGCAAAATATTTATTTCAACTCAATAATTTATATCTCAATTTCTAAGTGATTCATATTTGATCCTGATGGTTCTTCTTGAGTTTAGAAAGTTAGAATCTGTCTAAAATGTTTTATTTATATATTTTTTTCTAAATCTTATAAATTTTTATTGTAGTTGTTTTTACATTCTTAATTTTCTTATTATTGATCTTCATTTTTTTTTTTAGCTACTCCTAAAGATGTTATATATGAATCATACGATCCATTTGATTTTTTATATTCAACTATAGCTGATAGTATAGCTCCTAATATTAAACACGAGCCTATTTATAGTACTATTACAAAAACTACAAGTAGTCCAATACAGACACCAGCACCCCCATTACCCCCAAGAAACAGCACTATTAAAAAGGATGCTACCAAGAAGGTAATTTTAGTCAACTTTCTTTAAAACTTATCCTTTGGGTCTTTATTCACTTTTTCGAACCATCATTTATTTAAAATATGTAATTCTGTTTCCATAGAAGTTATTTTTACATTTTTTTGTGAGTTACTTAAAAGAACAATTCTTTTTATCTGTAATACCAACATGTTTTTTCCATATGAAATATAATCAAACATTACTTTTAATTGTGCTACAATTATTATACTGTAACTATTTTTATTAGTAAAACAATATTGGAAAACCATTGTATTTTTAAAATCTTAAAAAACAATTAATTTATTTGCTCGAATATAGATCTATTCTGACTATAAGTTGACCCCTTATTTTGGAAAATAATATTCTGGGAAGAATATTAGAAAATGATAGAAGAAGTACGAATTAAGAAAAATTAAACTATTAATAAGAAATAAATTTCCAAAATTAATACTTGCTTGATGCACTACTGCACAGATGCAAGTAGCATAAAAAAATAAAATAAATAAATATAAGTATATAAAAAAGAATTAAACATGCTTAAATTAGGATAAAATGAATAAATAGCATGAAAAAATATTTAAAATATTGTAATAAAGCTTTGAAATCAGAAAATACCTACTTAAATTGATATAGTTAAATAAAGTTTTCCAGTTTTATAAAAGAAAATGGTTGATTTATCATTGAATGAAATAATGTTGTTAATATGTGTGTCCATAAAATTATGTTTTAATTTTAAGAATTTTTAAAATATTGAAATGATTTTCAAAGGAGTAAAATGAAAAAGACGGTATTTGATTAGTTTTGATTGGATTATGAGTTTCAATTTAAGTTAAACACATTTTGTTGGTTTGTCCTAATATTTATTTGATCATCTCCTTTCTACCTTTTTGTTTATGCTGAAACTTATGTAATTTGTTTTATATAATGTCCGTTATTGTTCTTGGGTCTTGTTTTAAACATGCCATTTGTCTTGATTAAATGGATTATCCCTGATCCTGTTTTGAAATTTTTCCTGCCATTTTCTCTCTCTCCCAAGTGAAAGATTCATAGTTATTAATAATAATAAATAATTTAAAATTTTCCAAATATGAAAGAAAAAGAAAAGAAAATATGAAATGACTTAAAAGTCCTAAGTTAGGTCAAACTCGAATTTCCCAAGATTGAACCAGAGTATAAGTCGATCCCAAATATAATAATAATAATAATGCTTTATTCATTCTGCAACAAGTCTCTTTATGATAATATACACAGATAGAAATGTGGGCTTTAGAGCCTCTGAGAATAATCATAAAATAAACAGATATACTTAATGAATAAAAAAAAGTATTAGTTACCTTCTAACTTTAAGCATTTAAAAAATAAAAGTGAAATAAAAATATTTAAAATGAACTGATAATTTATATACCTGTTTACCGCAACATCTCTTCACAATCTTATGGGGACTGAATGGGAAAGAGGTGATTGAACAGGTGGGATTTAAAGGTGGGGAGGGTATTGGAGCATTGGATGTAGAAAGGATACTATTCCTTAGGGATGAGGATCGAGTAATAAAAGATATGTTGAAAGCAGCTGTTCGGTAACTCTCGCATATAAATCTGAAGACTGGGAATGGGTTTTGTGGGACTAACAGATGATTTGAATTGAAATAGCTCGGATATGTATGAAGGATGGCAGGATTTGATTTCTTGGAAGAGGGAGGATGCTAGAAAATACTTATGACGTTAGGAAGGATAAAACCACTTCAGCTCTTCATAATAATGGGATCAGACGTCCTTGGGATCCTGAAGATGAATTGTACAAAGCAATTTATCAAACGTTTATTTTTGCCTCAAGATCCTCAGAGACGCCCCAATATACCATACAGGAATAGTCAAAGTTGGGGGCGGGGTGGCCGAATAGGCTAATAGCGTGTGCACAACACCGCTAGTTGCCTGGCAACCGGATAACAGAGATTTGAGATGACATAAAAAGTACGAGTTCGCGTCCCGGTGCCGGAGGGGATTTTAAATTCCCCGCCCTCACCCCCCGGCCCGGGAAAATCAAAAAAAAAAAAAAAAAAAAAAGGAATAGTCAAAGTGTGTAAATATTAAGGAAGTGATCAGAAGTCTACATGTTTCAAATGTAAATAGGTGGAAGAGGTAATTTAGACGTTTTAAAGTGGAAAAGGCATGGCAGGAGATATTAGATACATGGTTTTTCCATGAAAAGATTTGTATAAAGATTATTCCTAGGTTCTTAATGACGGGATATAATTTGATGAGCTTGTCTTGTAGGACAGAGTTGGAACTTTAGGAACAGTTTTAAGGAGGTAATTGGAGCCTTTACCTTAAAGAGTATTTGAATCAACACAGAACACTTAAATAAAGGAAGATTTTGCAGTTGAGTAAGGAGTATATTGTGGTCAACTGCGTCAAATGCTTTGGAAAAATCTTGGAGGATGGGGATAGTAAGTAAAGAAGATGTCATGGGTTATTTTTAGGAGGGCAGATTGCTTTAAGTAGCCAGGACAAAAGCCAGATTGGAGAGAGCTGATTAGGGAATGTTGCTCTAGAAAGTTGGAAAGTTGATTTTAGACGAAGCATACCAGCGGTTTTGAAAGGTTGAAAATGAGAGAATTCGAACAGAAGTCTTGCAGTGAGAATGGGTTTGAAGTTTTATTCAGAAGTTGGACTAAGGTGGTTTGTCCAGGAAGATGGGAATGAGGAGTTTTGTAATGAAAAGTTTTAGATATATTAAAGTATGGGAATAAAGATGGGAAGGCTGAATTTTATTAGTTTTACTGAAATATTATCAGGACCATAATCATTGATATGGGATTTTAGGATATTGGAAAGTAGTTAATTGTTGGACACATAAGAGAAAAATAAGTCTTCTGGATTGAAATTGAAAATATAGGTCAAGATGTGGGAAAATTTCAGATTAAACCTCAACATATATTTGCACAAATATGTTATGTTTTAGTTTTTCTGTTTTCAGTACTTTCATTGATAAAACATTGATATTTACTAGTGTAAAATTTTCCCTCATTTCGATTATGGCTGCTTTGTATACAGTGGACTGTCTGGTGGGCTTGAGATCAGATTAAAGAGACTAATGAATTGTTTCATTAGATTTATACCTGGGGCTCCCACGTTTCCAGTTGGTATGCCAAGTTGAAGTGGCTCTATTCAGTTTCCCGACAGGAATACTTCCTATGTGTATTCCTTTTTCGAACCTTTTCAACCAAAAACCCTTCTTACCTTCTTGATTTGTTTACTCCTTGTTCCTCTGTCCATTCGTTCAACATGAGATCCCAGCTCTCAAACCTGTTTATTCCTTCTCATAGAACTGTTTCTTTTAAAAAAATTTTTGTCATATGAGCTACCTTGTTTTGGAATTTCCTACCAACCTCCATACGCAAATCCTCATCCTTGACCTCATTTAAACACAATTTATCTATCTATCTCCTCAACAATCAGTCTTCCGAATATATATGTAAAATAATGTTAATCTTTTTCAGACCTGTCAGTCGCATTTAATGTTATCCTACAGATAATTATATATCACTCACATTGTTTATGTGTAAAACTATGTGAACTCGCATATCTGAATTTATCCACAATTTCATATGTCTACCAGTGCCTTTTCTTTATCAGAATTTTAGATCTAGATTACTCTGTAATTTAATTTATTCCTAATTATTTCTAATGTCAGACAATTATCATTAAGTTGTACATTGTAGTTATTCTAAGGGGACTTAGTCCCAGAATAAAATTTATTTTTCCTCTTCTTCTAAAATGTCTTATTATTGATTTGATAAATTAAAAAAATATTGTATTTTTTTTTATCAGGTTAAAACAAAATGTTCTTCAAGGTTGTATGAAAATATTATGCCTATTGAGAGAAGAACAAATCTTCATGACCCGGATGTGATTGCTTTTCATTTAAATGTTAAGAAGATTAGAGGTAGGACATCTGTTGTCTAATCTTATTAATTATAATTCATTTTTATACAGTAATTAATATATTAATATTAACATGATAATTTTTTTTTTATGTTATTTCATTTTTAGAAAGATATGATTATACTGATTCCTTTACAAATTTGGGGATAGTGATCAGCCCTATGATTGAGAACTGTTACAAAATAGACACAAGTATTAAATTAATAATTCATTGTTCCTCATTGAACATTATACATCCTATAACTTTAACATGTGATGGTAATATTCTCACATTATTTTATTTTTTTAAAACATGTGTTTTATGGTAGATGTAGTAATTGATTTCTAAATTAAATCTGAATATTAGTTATTCTTCCACGAGGTTATTTATTATTTGAGATTTTCGAAGATATTTATTGTGATTTAATAATTTCTCTTAGTTTGTAACCAATGTGTAACTTCTTAAAAGTAATATATACCATGTTTAGCATAGTTGCATGCTGATATATATATATAATTTAGTTGAAAATGTCAATTAACCTTTCCACTACTGCTAGTGACGAGTTTTACTTCTATCACAGTGCTAGCTAAGTAAGATGGCTGGCTGCCTGACTACCGGCCCATTCTACATATTTTTTACCTGTTTTGATATTCCTTCTAAACCACTGTTTCTCCATTTTAAAGAAAATAACAAAAAAAAAAAAAAAAAAAAAAAAAAAAAGAGAAACTTATAACTACATTGTTCGACCTGCTGTCCGTTAGAAACATGTCTCCTGAGTTAGTGTGCGAAGTTATGTTGCTGGGTGTGCATATGTTTGCTCCTGAGAATTTTCTTAGTGAAACAACTTTTTCCATTTCGCTGAAAAAGTGATGGTCGATTGTCGAGAGCAAAAAGTATGATTTTTAGAAGAAAAAGATGTTTAAGGAGTAACGCATATTGTATTGTGAAACTCATAGTGGGCTCTACAAAAAAAATAAAATAAATAAATAAATGCAAGGAATATTTGTTTTTTTAGTGTGAATTTATAGTTTAGAGAGCTATTAACACTCCAAAGGTCGCTAGCTTTAGAATTACATGGAAGGTTGTTACGGATCTGTGAGGTCCACTTCACTAAGTCAATTTATTGATCAAAAATACTCACAAATTTCTCATTTTACTAAAAGAAGAATATATAGGATGAGTTTTTAAATATATTTATTGAGTAAAACACAGTTACACAATTTAAAAAAAAAATTATTGATAATCAAAATGAAAAATACTTTGATCAAATTAGGAACTTGAACATTAAATTCTGTATATCATTAAACACGGATACAAAAATCACTAAATACCAGGAACAATTATAATAGGATTTAATTGGATACAAAAATAATTAATACAAACACCATCAAATCATGATCATTAGCCGTCTAGTCGGTCTATTTCTTTACGTTGTTGACGTGTTTCTGTCGTCAAATCTTAGGAATCAAAGTAAAAATCGAAACCTTTGTACAGTCATAGTGGGACGAAATATTTTGATTCCAAACTTGGGATCAATTGTGCCACTTGAGTTCCACAATCATCCAGTTTTATCTCCCGGTTTAATGCATTGCTTTTGATTTAAATTATATCAGTTGCCATTGCATCCTTTTTCTGTGAAAAATGTCCACATACTCCGTCAGTCCTCAAGTTTTGGCACAATAATTGGACACAACACAGATCACCTCACTACTGGATTATAAGACTCCAAGAACCAGGAGAATAAGTAGAGGAAAGGTCCTCCTCCCTTAAGCGGTATAAAAATACATCAAATAGACCGCTAAATGGCTCTCTCAGATTTGGTGTGCCCTTCAGAGTGTTAGGGATAGTAAAAAAAGGTACTAAAGTTGTGCTGTACTTAGGTACAGTAGGCTCGAGAAGGTTGAAAAGTTGATATTTTAATTACTGTCTTGTATAAACAACATATCTAAAACTAATTTTTTATGAACTTTTACACAATATAGTATACTTTTATTCTTTGTCACTGCTAGTATTATAGTTTATAAAATGATTTGTGATTTTATTGCTCACTACCAGTTTTAATTTTTTTTTTCTTTTCAGTGAATTCTAGTGTAGAACATGTTTTAATGCATATAGTTTGTGAACTTGATAGTGATTCTGTTGATCAATACATGCTGAAAGTTTATGGCTTAGCAGAGTATTTAGAATCTAACACGTGTTTAGCAGATTATGAATATGTTCATAACTGCATTAAACTGGAGAAAGATGTAGAACTTAGTCTCCTTCGAAAGGATTCAATTTATAGAAAATTGTTAAGAACTGTAAGAAATATATCTTTATTCACTGAAATAAAAAATAAATTTTCTATGTGCATGTATATCCATCTACATTTTGGTAACTTAATTGTTAAATAAAATTTATTGTCAAAGTAGGTTGGTTATTGCCATCATAGATAAAGTAACACACAAATAAGTAATCTTATTTTATTGTGTGCCAATGTTTCAGCATAAGTCTTAGGCCTTGATGAGGGTGAAATGCATCAGAATCCTAATGCAACAATCCTTGACATGTTAGGATTCAGAGGCTTTCTTGATGAAGGCCTAAAATTTAGTACTAAACATTGGCACACACTAACATATGGTTTTTTATAAGTGTATTATTTTATCCATGACTGCACTCCTCACAACCAACTTTTCTACAAATCATTATATATGAGAAGGAGTTGATCAGGGGGATGCGGTCAAATTAATACTAAATTAAATAAGTAGAATTATTTAATTTTTGCCGACGTTTTGACCCACTTTGTAGGTCTTCATCAGGGCTACAAAAGATACAAAACATGGTGAAAATAAAATAAATGAATATAAGTAGATATAAAATAAGAATAAGTTGTCTGTTACAGAACTAAAAGATGATATCAGAGATATAGTGGGTGACAATGTAGTTAAAATATCAAGTTATATCTATATATATTCAGTTTTATGGAAGAGGTGATGGAATAGTAGGCTGCATGAAGATAAGATACTATTCCATCACCTCTTCCATAAAACTTAATGTCAATTGTCATCTATATACAGTACAACTTGTTTTTATCATCATAGCCTTGTTTTACACTTATACTTACATTCTAAATTTCTCTTCTTATAATTATTGTTTTCTTATAGAGTTATTTATACTTAATAATCTATCCTAACGATATCACACTAATGTTATCCTTTTAATCTTTCAATTTTCAATTTCCTTACTTCTTAACCTTTAGTCCCGTTATCTATTTACTTACAGTTATCAAATGTAACCTCCACTAGCTTGTTATCACTGATATCTTATTATTATGTTATCTTATTCTTATTTTAGCTTTACTTTATCAATACTTATTCAATTTACAATCATATTTATTCGTTAACATTCATTTTCTTTATTTGTTAACCTACATTTATCAAATGTAATCTTTATTAGTTTGTTATACACTCATTCCTTATCTTTTATCGCAATCTGTTTACCTTTAACTTACATGCTATATTCTCCTTTATTTTCTATTTTTATTCATACTTATTTTCCATTTTTGTTTGTATCTTCTACATATAATACTTGATATTTTAACTACATTGTCACCCACTATATCTCTGATATCATCTTTTAGTTCTGTAACAGACAACTTATTCTTATTTTATATTTACTTATATTCATTTATTTTCACCATGTTTTGTATCTTTTGTAGCCCTGATGAAGACCTACAAAGTGGGTCGAAACGTCGGCAAAAATTAAATAATTCTACTTATTTAATTTAGTATTAATTTGACCACACCCCCCGATCAACTCCTTCTCATATTATATCAACGGTCAACCATCTCTACATCATAAATCATTATATAGTCAATAACATCTCTACCAAAATGACATTTATATTCAATAACCTAACTACATAAAAATTTAAAATTGTATTAAACTTTACTTGTTCTAAATTTGTCTGAAATAGTTTTTATAATGTTTTACAACTTTATTTTAAGAGGTTGTACTTATTTATTTACCCCTATGTACTTAAAGAAAGGATCCTTCTCATTGTCATATCAAACTGGTTGTTTCTGTGGTGGAGAACTTACATTTCCAGTAATAGCCTTATGTTATCAGTTTTGTTTTAGTATCATTTGTTCTAAGGGTGCGCTTAGACATTTCATAAACTATGGGGGAAAAAAAATCTAAATGTTTGTTTCCTTATCCTCGTGTTTTTGATATTTTCCATCTACTGTCGCTTGCAACAGAAATTAAAAAAAAGTTTGGCTTAGTGTTAATGTCGCTGTTAGTTACGTTTAATAATTGTGTTTCTCATAGTTTGCAAAATGTCTTAACACACCTTAAGTATCATATATAAGTTTTGTTATAGCATTATGTTATTTATCCAAATGCTAAGTAGTAAACCATTTCGTATACAAATTCATTTAATATCTTCTAGAGATTAAAGTTATATTTATTATTAATTGGATTTGAAAAATCAAATAAAGCCAATCAGTGGGTTAAAATTTCCCAGAAAATGATATTCTTATTTTTTATGATCTTTTTATTTATTTAAATTCAAAAGAATTATTATTTTTCTTTAGGAAGAAGATGACATACATGACAAGCCAATATCATTAGCCGAATTATTGCCTAAAGAACCGGTCCAGCCTATTTCTTATGAATCACTTCTTATTGTACTAGGTAAGATTTAATTATTTAATTTCTGTTTGAATCCTAGTTTATAAGGAACAACTGTATATTATTGGGTTGGGAAAAAGTCCTTTCGGTTTTTCTGTTTATTTTTATGTCACTATGATATACTTCTTATCTGATGAATTAATTCCTAAGGTGGATTGTTTATTCTCTTTTTGATATGTCAACAACTATATCTGTTAACTCTTGTTGAAACTAGCTTAGTATTGTGTTTGCTATTGCACTGTGAATATGGAAGAAAATATCATTCATTATCAGCATATTTTGTTGTATTATTTAACAAAAGGTAAGCGTGCTGCAGAAGCTCATAGAAAAATTTTCAGTGTTAATGGGGATGATGCCTTAACCGAATGCACCTGTCAAAATTGGTTTGCCAAATTTCATTCTGGAAATTTTGACATCAATGATGCTCACCACATCACAAATCACAAAAAATGTTATAACTTCAATACAACTTTAGCTATTAACAAGGAATTTAGCAAGAATTTAGGGCCACATAAATTACACAAAATGACATCAACAACACCTTCGTAAACAAACTACAAATGGAGATAAAAAATAAAAACCCATAAGGAGTTTTTGTTTGTTTATTCCTTATGTAGGTATTAAATAAAAAAACTATTCATACAGCTTTGAAGAGCAATAATTTCCAACGGATATAGTAATATCGAATTTGAAGAACATCCTGAAGAGTGTTGGTCGGAAGGGTGTTGTGTTCCACCAAGACAACGCTATGCCCCACACCTCATTAGTCACTCACAATAAATTATTGAACCTTGGATTGGATTTTTTGCCCCACCCTCCCTGTTCACCTACCTCCAATTGGCTACTATTTATTCTGGTCTCTGCAGAACTCCATGAATGGAAAGAAATTCCAAAAGGAAGAGGACATGAAAAACCACTTGGATCAGTTTTTAACAATAAACTCTTGACATTCTATGAACATGGCATTATGAATTTAGTGGAAAGATGGGAAAAAGTCATATTAAATAATGGTCAATATATTGTAGATTAAAATAAATTTTATGTCTATAATACATTGAGTTTTATTTCACCCTAAAAAACCAAAAGGACTTATTTGCCAACCCAATGTAATAGTCTTTAATTCATTATATTGTTTAGTTTTCAAAATTACTTTGTTTATTTTGCAGAAACATTAGAAAATGAAATTGATCGTATTATTGCTGCATCTAGAGAAAGTACTGATTCATTTTCAAATATACAACCTCTTAGTGTGCTTCAAGCTGTTAAAGCTGTCTGTGCACTATTAGGAAATATAGAAACTTTGCAAATTTCCCAAGCTCTTGATAATTTTGTTCATGCTTGTGAAGAATTTCCTATTAGCCAGGTATTTCTATATTTTTCTAAATGATAATATTCTATTAAAATTGTCTTTGATATTAATTGTTCTCATTTAGTTTTATGCATAGGTATCTTTGTGTGTGAGTATCTAAGTTCATATTGATTGATCGTTTTTATAAATATTTACTTGTTTTCCCCCTTAATTTAATTAACTTTGGATTTTGTATTGTTAAACTTATATTAGTGCATTAGAAATATATGGTTAACTTTGTTTCTTGAAATTTTACTTGAAATGGGTGTTATTATACTAAAAAAGGCTTGTGTGTTGATTGTAAATATAGGAATTCGATTTTTTAAAACTACTCTCCAGCTTGTAATTGGTGGTCATTCTTTTATATAGAATTGAAGCTGAAGAGGAAACAAATTTTTAAGTCAAATTTTTGTATTAAAAGGTGATATATATCATATAGTACAATTCAGGAGTATTTGTGCCAAAAAATGATCCAAGTATGCATTGTTTGAGGTTTGCATGAATGCATTGCATTAAAAATGGTTTTAACTCAATTTAAAAGACATTGGTTTTCAAATTACTTAGTATCTTTCTACTATTAAAAATTGTCAATAACAATTATTCAATAATTTATTTTTTTTGCTATAAGGCATTTAGGGAAGGTCAACTGAAAGCTTGGGATTCTTTTTTCTCTTACAAAGTTAATCCACCATTTTACAAATGTTAAATAATGTTACAGTCAGAGTTACACTCACCTAATATTGTTTAATATGTTTTTATTCAATTTTAAGATTTAGTGAGAAAACTTTAAGTATGCTTTTAGACATTTAGTAGTGATCTCTGTGAGTGGCCTTCTGTTTGATATACTTATTGAAGTTCTTTGTTATAGTTTGCACATTAATACAAAAATGTTTTGTTGGATATGAATTGCCTCAATATACAGTAGAGAATCAATTTAATGGTTCCCAAATTTAGAGTTAAATATAATTAGATTTTAACCCTAAATCAACTAGAAAATATCTATGATAAATTTAGCAGACTTGCAAGAAGAAAAATAAACTCCTACGATCATTTACAGATATTAGATAAAAAAAGTAATTACATTTTTCATGATGGTTCAATATTATTTTCTGTTTTTTAATGGCTAATTAGATTCTTAGACTACAAGTTTAATATTGAAGTTATTTGGATTAAGTCCATATTAAGCTTAATACATTTTTGTTTTAAAGGGAAAAAAAAAATATACAAATGTACTATTATCTCTTGAATATCAAGATTGGGGATTGAATATCAGAGTAAGGACTATGTAAAAGGTAAGAATCTGCCTATTGATCAAGTTAAAAAAAAAAAAAAAAAATATGCTATTTATTTTCTGATATTCTGTCACACACTCTTGAAATAAATGAACCAATTATAAATTTCTAATGATACAGCTTTTATATTGGTCTTGGTCTCACTTCAGCATTATTTTATTTTTATTATTAAGAAATGCTATTTCATTTTTATCATTGTCTTTTGTATTAGTATATAATTTTGCAAATTAAATTTGGTTGTTAAGCCTGCCTCTAATGTCAAGTAATTCATACTCATAGTTGACATAATATACCTACCATATCTGCACAATTCTCACAATGCTGTGGAACACTGATTTTTTATTTGGCTGAATTTTATATTTTTTATGCATATCATTGACTTAAATTATTTTTTATTGTTCGTTTTATTATATATATATATATATATAATTAAGTAACCTAATTCCCAATTTAAATAATTATGTTTAAATATAATACTCAAAGGTCGATTGAAGAAATTTTTTAAATATATGTATGTTTTTAAGTTATTTTTTAAAAATTATTATTGAATTGGTAGACCTCTTGTCTCTGTAGGTAGTTTCTGTTACTGTCTATTAAAAGAGAATTTCATATATATTACGGGAAGTAAAGTGTAATTACCGAAGAATTGTGTCTTATAACGGGTATTTCAGCAAATGATAGGTCTTCTTAGTATTTGTAATTGCTTATCTGTAACAAATCATCTTTAAGAAATATGATTATGTAACAGTTGATACTTCATAAATTACCTTCCTTAGTTTCTCATTTTTTAAAAAAAAAAACTCTCTTATTCTTTATTTTAAAAAAAGTTTCAAAAGATTTATTACCGATGCTGTTCAACTTAGCACTAGAGAAAGTAATAAGAACAACATCACGCGAAGATGAAGGGGTGCACGTTGTAATGAAACACATAATCCTAGCATATGTGGACGATATAGCTGTCCTCGGAAGTAATCAAGAGGATACTGAGAGACTCGCTCGGACTCTGTTAAAAGCAGAGCAAATCATACTACATGTCAATGTAGATAAAACTAAATACATGATTGTTAGCCGAAACATCCACCCTAATAACGTGATCTGCGTGGACTCTAAGTCATTCCCAAAAGTAGACAGATTCAAATACCTCGGCTCCATAATAACCTCAATAAATGATCAACTAACAGAGATAGTCCAGCGAATAACAAGTGCAAACAGATTTTTCTTCTCTCTTTCAAGGGTACTGAAATCCATAAAAATGTCCAGAATTCTAAAAATAAGGGTTTACACTGCTATGATTAAGCCAGTTCTGCTGTATGGTTGTGAAACCTGGGCTCTAACCGGCATATTAGAAGCCAGAATTGAGAGATTCGAAAAAAAAGTTCTACGTAGGATAACAGGATCTATATTGGACCAGAACCTTGACACATGGAGGAGGAGGAACAATAAAGAACTTCTGAAAGAAACGGGTCAGTCAATATCTCATGACATAAAGGCAAGGAGGTTAAGATGGGCGGGGCATGTAGCTCGTAGGAATCCATCAGGGCACCTTTACTTAACAATGAATGCCAGAGTAGTAGGCAAGAGACCACATGGGAGGCCAAAAACCAAATGAATAGATAGGACAAACAAAGATACGCCTGAGCTTCTTACCGTAAACTGGAAAGCAGCAGCCCAAGATAGGCAGAGGTGAAGAAGGCAGGTTCAGGCGGCCAAAGGTCTGTAGAGACAACCGAAAAAAAAAACAAAAATTAAAAAGCGTATTTTAATAATTAATTTACTAAAATAGATGTTAGGTCACAAGAAAAAGGAGGAATTAAAACTTTGTAATAATTCATTGATTGTTATTTTTGCTGTAAATTCAGATACTCTAAAATGACTGAAATGAATATCAAATCATGTAATTTTTCACACAAATGAAGCTAAATTTCAACTCTATTCTAAAATAAATTGATATGCAATTAAAGCTTATTAACTATAAAGTTTTATAATAGTGGGGTATCTGCATTATAGTTGTAAGATGATGAAAATAGATCACGAATAATCTATGATTTAATAAAAATCACAACTTAGTGTAGTTTGGCCCCTCAAAAGTCCCATTTAAATGGTATTGACAAAGATAAACTCTACTTATATTTGAAATAGATTTTGTCTAGTTTACTATAAAGCAATTTTGAATTTTCTGAATTAAATAATTTTTGAGATATAACTTCCTATGAAAGAGAAAACATGAACACCTTAAGAAAAGACAAAATTAGACTTAACCACTTTTTTGTTCAAAATCCCATATATCGTATATGAAATGAATTTTTTTTTTTGTTAATTCTGTCTAGAATCACCTCCCAGAGTTAGGCCATTAATAACTGAGACACCCTGTATAATAATAACTGTTCGTGCGCATAATTTTTGAGTAAATATAATATTGTTTTCTTTGAAAATTATTTTTTTCAGTCATCTACAAGAAGCAAGCCTGAAATTGTAGATGATTCTGGAAACTATTCTGTTGTTGTATTCCGAGATGATACTTTTGCAGACAATTTGTATCAGCACTGTGATAATATTAGATCTGCTGTTCAAGGGTTGATAAAAATGTATTGCTGTATGTTTAGAGCAGATTTTCAGTTATTACCTCTTCAACCCACTGCAACAAGTTAGTAATTATTGTTTTATTTAAGTATGTATTTGTAATAATTTTTTGAAGAAAATTTCATTTAGTATGAAAAAATTAAAAAGTAAAATTGTAGGAAATAGATGTAAATGTATATGCAGTTGAATCCAGATAATTCATATTGTCAAAGGACCCAGAGTAAAATACAAATTATCAAGATTTCCAATATAACGAGTAAAAATAAAAAAAATATGAAATAACAAAATTAGTACAAAAATGTATTACTATAAATGTACAAAAGATACAGATAGAACAATCAAATATTACAATTATACATTTAAAAAAAAAAATCAGTTATTTTATTTCGATGTAACCCTTGAAGTCAGGTCCTGTCAAGCTTGTTTAGAACAGAGAATACGTCTACAACATCAAATTTCGCTAAAAAAATTATGCGCATTGTTGTTGTATTACTTTGCTTCTTCATGATGTAGCATATCATCTTCTCCATTAACATCCTCAGAGGGGGTTAAAATTTCTGTTCTTTTAACCAATCAAATCAAACATCAATGACTTGATAATCTTTAATTCCCATTTTTTCTGCAAAAACTTTGGCTTTTCCCTCTAAATGTTACCTCAAATTGGCAAGTTAGAATTACGTGCTTGTGTCAAACAGTTTTAAATGATCTTCCAGTTCTGGGTACTCACCCGTCTTGAAGAACTTTACTGCTCATAGCCTGAGAAGTGATTTTATCTTTGTTTCTTAAAATGTATTCTTGTGCAGATCTCATTACCATGTAGGGAAATCTTATCCCACAGGTAGCGGATGTGGGGATGGTCGGTGGAAATTCTTTGGAAGTTCCTCCCTGCTAAGTCCGATGGACTCGCTGATCAACAATTAGAGGGGCCCTCCAGACTTGCTGAAGGTTGTGGGGTAGGATTGAACATCCTACTCACATATCTTTAGTTCACCATACACCACAGTCATGGATCTTTGTAATGTAAAACACTCATTATCTGGAGGAAAACTATTCCTCCGTTCGGGTTTCAGGGTGGGGACTGCTTTAGGGGATTCATGGCACAAGTTGAAAATAGGGATTTAGGTATTGGTGCATGGAATGTAAGGAGTTTGAATTCATCAGGTGAGTATAACAATAACTTATTTTTCTTTGATGGAACGAGATTGTTTAGGCTGCAAAATTACATCTCATTCGAGAAAAAGAGATTTCTGGAATAAAAAAAAGATAAACAAAAGAACATCTCCTTTCCTTCTCTTAAAAGGATTTTTTAAATTCCAAATGTAAGATGTTTAAAATACTATGAAGAAAAAAAAAATAATAAAAATCATTGAGGGAACCAAATACATTTTTTTTCATACGAATTACAGGAAGAATTTTAAGGGAACCGTGAATCTATATGAATTATTGGGATTCTACTTTATGTTATTATGTGTTTGTATATATATATATATATATACACATGCATATATGTGATTATTATTTGAATCTTTACATATTTATTAATAAAATTAAGGAAAATTGTATTAACTTAGTATAATTTATTTATTTTGATAAATATATAAATGATTTTGAGACAATAGGATCTGTCTAATTTACAACTTTTATTTATTAAAAATAGAATTAATTGCAATAGTCTTTCACTATAACTATAAAAATCATTATTTGCTTTATTGTATTTTTGTTAATTTAGTTTAGTTTTCTTTTTTGGTCAGGTTCGTGTGACTGCTAATTAAATGAATTAAAATTTTACATATCTTGTTTACTTTTATTTTTTATTATTTTTTTCTGTTTTTAGCATCAAAATTATCATCAGAAATTAGTGATTCAGTTTTACTATATATTGGTTGTATACACCGTATTTCTCAAAAATGGAATTCAGAAGAATTTTCTATTGAAGCTCAAATTTTTCATGGAACTCGACCTGTCAGCTCACGTGCTTGTTCTCAGCCAGTGATGCTGGAAGTTTCTACCAGTCCTTACAAACGAGCTGTTTTTGATACTTGGTAATTATGAATTATAATTTCTTTTGTCATGTTTTACCAAAATGGAGCAGGGTTGCTTGGTGAGTAAGACACTTAAATTTAACATTTTTTTTTGGTATTTTTAATTCTCCTCTTTCTTTAATTATTTTTTTTCTCTCTTTTATACATAATCTTTCATGATATCCAAAGATATCCCTGGAAGAAGTGAGATACTGATTGATTTTTTTGATTTGTGTTCAAACAATTTTCTAAGATCCAATAGCCCTAAGTTATGGTAATCTTATAGTTTAAAAAATTATAAATTAATGTATATAGATAATGAGAGTGTATAAAATGTTTTTAAAAATTCTTTAACTCTATTAGAACAATTACTAATTACAACATTACAACAAATTACAAGCTACTGAATGATTACTATAATATCACTACCAGGATTTTGAATTAATATTTCACCATACTACAAGTATTTAGCTTATTTACTAAATTTAAGTTTACTTTCTAATTTATATAATTTTTTTTTAGGCTTCATTTTGAAGGAATTAATACTTATCAGTCCATTCCAGTCAGTGCATTACCTAGAGAATCTCGTATAGTTGTAGTTGTTATTGGACAAAAACTTGTTGAAGAAACTATTCAAAAAGTTGAATTAGGATGGGCTGCCATACAGTTGTTTAATTATAATGGGTAAGGGTTGAAATAAAATCAAATTAATGCAACAAAAAAACTTATTTTTAAACTGCTTTGTTCGTTCTTCCTATTTTGTCATTATTTTTGTAATAGTGGTAAATATTTCAACTGATTATTCATTATTTTTGTGAATAAAGGGAATTAGTACAAGGTGGTTATCTGTTGCCTTTCTGGGAAGGGGAAAGAAGTAAGCGGTTAGGACCTGCTCCAGGCCCTGGAACTCATCCCTATGGAGATATAGATCCAGTGATTGGTATGTAACTTTGAAATCTTTTATGTTAAAGCAATTCAAGTAAATAGTGCATTATTAATTGTTTAATTGTTAATGGTAGTGCGGGGAGAGTGGGCTAGGAAGGAGGCCTCTTTTCAGCCAATTTGATTCCAGTGGAATAGTTCTTTCTTCTTATTACTATCGTATTTTATTAAAGTTCATTTCTACTTATTTGTAATTTATATTTTATATCATTACCCATACAATTTTTTCTAATTTTCATTTTGCTCTCTTTAATTATTCGGTTTATTTTATAATTTTTTACCTCTTCTGTAAAAAACTCTGTTTTAGTTGTATTAAGTATATATTTTATAATTTCTTATAATTTTTTTCTGTTTCCTTTATATTAAATAATTTTTACATTGTAATCATTTCTACAAGTAAGATTTTGTTTCTTCAATAAAATTCTATTTTTCGTCTAATTAACTACTTATTTATTTGATTTTCCTTGAGAGTAGAAATATCAACAGTCTTGCCTTCTGCCGTCAAACAGTGAGTGCCTTCTCTATGTCTCTTGTTCTTATAACAAATTTCATTACAAGACCGTGAGTAGTAATACTGATAATATTAATAATTAGTGTGTTTACTGCATGCACAGTGAATATTATTAAAAATGAACTACATAGGACACTATATTGAATTAGAAAGTTTACAGCCATTATTAAAATAGATTCCAGGTATTACTAATACCGTATTAGCCGGGCTGTGATAAGAGAGTACGTAGCTCTGTACCGCCATCGCTGCTACTGCTCCCCACCTCTCTATTCTCTATTGTTTTCACCTCTTCAGTCGTACTCTACAACTCGACATGACACCGTGTCCGACATGTAAGTTAGCAGTTACCAGGGACGATAAAACCGCCCTAGCGTGCCACAACTGTCACAGAGGTGGATTTAATAAAAAAAAAAAAAAAAAAAATTGTGCTGCCGTACCTGTGAGACACTGACCAAATCAGTAACGAAGTTACATAGAAGTGCTACAATGGAAGAAAATTTTTACGGTTGTTTTAGCCAAGTTAGGCAAAATAACTAACAATATTACAGATCTAAAAAATACAGCCGAATAACAATCGAATTTATCCTTTGAAAATTCGGAACGGCTTAAGTCAATGAAGGTTCGTTCCAAAAGGCAAGTAGAAATGATTGAAAAATTATTAGTAGAAAATAGTAGCCTTAAAATGGTGATAAAAAATTTGGAAAGTAGGCTAAACCATCCAGAGCAGGCCCAACTATCACATTCTCAAGTCAAGAGAAATTCCTGTGAAGACCAGAGAAACGCCCGAAGGCATAGTTTTGTTCGTTTGAGCGCCCCTGAGTGTGAATCTCAATTCCGAAGACCTGGATTTGGTGAAAAGAAGGCGTCCTAGAGAAGAAGACGATGCCCTAGTTAAACATACGGCAGGTCGTCTCTTATAAAAATCTCAATCATCAGTGACAGTATACAAGTTTAATGTGAACAATTAGTGTTATCAGTTACATTAACAATTACGTTTGATACTGGACAAAAAAATAAGGTGAGTAATCACTTATTTACAACACAAGAGTGAACAGTGTAAATAGACCTTAGGTTAGTTAGATAACGGCCAGCCATATACATCGTTAATCCCACTAGTGGGCTAGATCCCTCCGTCGGAGGCAGATCTGTGCTCTCCAAGAGCGCGTCTATATTTTTGTGTTCAATAAAATTTTTTTTTTTTTCCTCCCTTCACTTTTATCAATTTTTCTTTTAAAAATTAATATGAAATGCGATATTATCACATGCTAATGTCGAGACAATGAGTTCTCCCATTAAAAAAAAGACAAGGCATTCGAAAAGAAAAACTCCACCAGCCACACCAGGGAGCTCCATAGAAGAAGTGGAACCCAAACCTGGCCCCTCACAACAACCCAACAATTATGAGACAACTCAAGCTATGTCAACAACTACAAGGGTTGTCAAACATACAAAGATTTAAAAACACGAATGTACGCAACACCTAGAGAAGAAGGGACATCCAGGCCACCAAGACAACCCTCTAGAACAGTGAACGGAAGAGTGTCCTATGCTCAGATGTTCAAAGGGAGACACTGTAAATACTCAACCTCAGGCCCTGCCACAAGAATCTAAACCTCAAGAATTCACACATCAACCTCAAGACCCATATCCCTCCATCCCTGAACGTAGGTTAAATACCCATACATTCATTCCTCCGCCTTCCAATTCCACTGACCTCACAAGCCTACTGACATCTTTCCTTTCCGAATTTAGATCTTTCATTACCCCCCTTATTTCACTACTTACCAATGTTATATCCAATCTCATTCCACTGCCAAGAAATCCATAAATGTCCTCAACCAAATTCCTCTCCATTCTCCTTTGGAATGCGAATGGTATTCGGAACCACATCAACGAACTGACAGTCTTATTACATGACGGCATCCTGATGACCGGAAATCGTATAATTATTATTCCAAACAGGTAAAAAAGAAACTGGATACTTCTAGAACCCAATCCTACAATTCCTACCTCTCCTCATTATCCGCTAGTGATAAGTCCCTCTGGAATGTAACCAAAAAAATCCTTAAAATCCAGTCCATTTCCCATCCACTTCGCCGTGATGATGGTTCCTGGGCTTCGTCAGATGCGAATAGAGCAGGAGAGTTTGCTAAACATCTATCCTACACATTCACCCCTCATCCCGAACTCTATCCCTCCCACACTGCTGAAGTTGAAGAATTTCTCTCTTCACCAATTCCTCTTGCTCTACCTCCAAAACCTGTTAACCCCTCTGAGGTCAAATTCCTTATAAACAAATTAAAACCCCGAAAATCCCCTGGATATGATCTTCTCACTTCATATATCCTCAGACTTCGCACATCCAACTTTCCTTTGGTGTGGAAACATTCCATAATCATCCTGTTTCCAAAACCAGATAAACCTGTTAATAACACATCATCCTATAGACCAATAAGCTTACTCCCGATCCTCTCAAAAATCTTTGAGAAAATCCTTCTCAAACGCATCCTACCCATAATAGAATCCCACAACATCCCTTCTCATCAGTTTGGATTCCGCTCAAGACATTCCACTGTCCAATAAGGCCTTCGTGTTGTGGACCATATATCCTCTGCACTTGAAAACAAGCATTATTGCACAAGCTTTCGACCGGGTGTGGCACTTGATGGCTTGCTTTTCAAGCTCAAAACCCATTTACCCCAATCCTTATACCTAGTCCTCAAATCCTACCTCTCAAATCGTTCCTTTCAAGTCCGTTGTGACACCGAATTCTCCACTTACTATCCACTTGAGGCTGGTGTTCCACAAGGCAGTGTCTTGGGCCCAGTTCTCTACATCCTCTTCACTTCCGATATCCCTTCAAATCCCTATACATTTGTAGCTACATTTGCTGATGATACTGCCATTCTATCCTCCCACTCAGATCCTCAAATAGCATCTCTAAACCTACAATCTCACCTCTCCTTGATTGAGCAGTGGTGCAACAACTGGCGCATCAAAATCAATGAATCAAAATGCGAACATGTCACTTTCACCCTGCGACGCAGATCCTGTCCGCCAATCCTTTTTAATTCAATTCCACTTCCCTACTCAGACACAGTCCGTTACCTTGGCTTCCTTCTTGACAAAAGACTCACTTGGAACCCACATACCAGACTTAAAAGACAAGAACTTAACCGACAATATGGCCAGCTGTATAGATTACTAAGTAGGACATCCCATCTTTCGATTGAAAATAAACTTTTAATCTACAAGACCATACTGAAACCTATCTGGACCTACGGACTTGAACTGTGGGGAACTGCTAAACATTCGAATATCAAACGCATGCAATCCTTCCAGTCCAAAGTACTTAGAACAATAGTCAATGCCCCATATTATGTCACAAACAAGACCCTATACCATGACCTTAACATCCCATTTGTCCTCGACATCATCCCATCCAGATTCTCAAACTTTCACCAAAACCTTATCCATCATCCAAATCCTCTAGCTCAATCCCTATCCAGCTCCCTTGATCCCTACAATCCTCCACAAAGGTTAAAACGGCAGTGGCCCAGAGATCTCTTGTAAATATGCTTCTGGAGTCCTGGCAATGGCCAGCTTCTCCACTCATGTCCCGAGCGTCTGTGGCTCTAGTGCCCTCTTTCAGTCTCCACTGGCTTCTAATACTAGTGATGTGGCTGGAAAAGTGGCACTGGGATCTCCTGGAGTCTTGTTTTGCCTTCCACATGTGGGGGAAAAAGCCTGGTTCGGAGATTTCTGGGCGAATGTATATATTGTATATAGGTATGATTGTGTTTAGAAGTTTCTATTTTATGTTATTGTTTACTTTTTTTTTCTTTTATTTACTTTCTTCATCAATATTATTTATTTACTTTTTATATTTATATTTATTTCTCTATTATTTGTATATATTGTTTGAATGAGAACTCTTAGCCCTAATACTTATAGCCCTCCAGCAGTGGCTGATTGTATTATTATTCAATAAATAGATAAAAAAAAAAAAGAGAAGAAGACACCCAGCCACCGTCAATTATCATGCGTTTCGTTCGTAAGATGATCGGGGACGAGTCGTTACGTCTAAGAAGAATAAAAATAGATTTATCCACCAGGCACAAATGACCTCACACAACCACCATCTTTATTGGTTGGCACGACAGAGCAGGATCGCGGAAAAAATAAAATATGTATGGTTTTCCGGAGGGCATCAGTTGTCGAATGCAGATGACGTGCATTCAAATGACTCATACCCAACTGCATCTACACTGTTTTAGGCTTCGCTCACCATTACATGAAAATTTCTATATTTTTTGTCATATATCAGTTTCTATATTTAATTTTTCTTTCAAGAGATATTATTTTATGTTTTTTTATTAATTTGAATATCTGGAGTTTTATTTATTTTTTCTCAATTTATCTTTTATTATTTTTATTTAGCCACTTACTTTTCTCAGTTAAAATTTTTATTTATTTTGTTAAAATCAATAATTATTTACCATATTTTTTTCTTTTTTCATAAACAATTTTAATTCACATAATTACAAGTGTCTCCTTCCTTTCCAAACTTTCCTCTTCCTTATATGGCTAATATCCTATTAACCTGTCACATTAACTCCAAATCCCTTCCAGCTCACTTTAATGAATTCCATGATTATTTCCTCCATAATCATAATATATATTGTTGCCGTCTCGGTAGCCTGGCTAAAACCAAATGTTCCCTCTTCCTCTATATCTATCTCTAACTACGCCCTCATTCGTCATGATCGAACAGACCGAACAGGTGGTGATGTTGGTCTTTAAATTCATGAAAGTCTGAGTACAAAAATCCTACAAAAGTCTCCCTTTCCCAACACTCCTCATTTAAAATATTTATTTGTAAAAATATCCTCAGATTCCTTTTTCCTCCTCTATGCCATAACATTTCGCCCTCCTCAAATCCGATTTGATCCTTACTTAGAATCCTCCCTGTTTACTCATGTTCCTTTATACAATAATGTTATAATAACCGGTGGCTTCAACACCAACTTGCCCTCCGACTCTCCCGACAAATCATACATTGTAGACCCAATCCATTCGCTTGACCTATTTATCTTTCCCTTTCAACCCACCCACCATACCCAGTTTATGAGTACATGGCTTGACCTTTTTATAATTGATTCCTTTCAAAATTTATTATCTTCACCCCTACCTTACCTTGTAGACTATACAGGGATTTTTCCAGGCCCGGCGAGAGAGTGGGAGATTAATTCCAGAGTTAAAAGCTCTTCCACCACCCAGGCATGACCTTGTCATTATTTTATCTTATAAACTTCAGTGTATCAATCATCTGGTTGCTGGACAACGTGTGTTTTGCATACACGTTAGCCCGCTTGGACACCTTTCTTATTAGCTACTTAAAGCAGGGGTGCTCAAACTGGATACATTTATGGGTTGGCGCAGAAAAAAAAAACCATAAGGTCCACTTGCCATACTAATCCTGCCTCTCCTCCCCCACTAGTACCAGTGAGACCATAAAATCATTCTTCCTACTACGTTTTTAATTTATTGATCACTTATATGATTTGTAATTTTTGAATTATTAAAGTTATTCAAAAGAACCACAGTATTGTCAATTTTTGATATATTTGTTATTTTCATTCTGTATTATCTTTTGATTTTGCAGGAATTGAACTTCAAGATTATGGCTTTGATCTTAAATTTCCTAAAATAGATATTCATCCTATTCCTCCTGATGGTGTTTATGATTTTTGCTCTCTTGATCTTAATACTCAACAACAATTGCTTGAAATCATTAGCCAAGATACTTTTTCAAAGTAAGAATTTTTTAGGATATTATGTTTATTATATAATTAAGATTAAATATGTAAGGTATAGAGTAATATTTTATGATATCTAAGGTTTTAAGTCAAGATCACAAATATGAAAATTCTCAATTTGAAGAAATAAGATTAGGAGTTTACTTTGTTATTTAATAATTAATGAAATCACACTCACAGTATTTTAGTTTCTCAAATGATTAAAAAAATAGTGAAAAAATAGTTTATTTTATTTATTCATTAAATTTATATTTTGATATATTTATTTATTATTTTATTTAAAATTATTTTTATTGCATTGTATTATTTAATAATAACCTCCCGCAGACCCATTACCACGTAGGAGAGTGTCCCAGGGGTGGTGGATGTAGGGATGGTCGGTGAAAATTCCTTGGGAAGTTCTTCCCGGCCAGTGTTGGGCAAAACTTATCTTAAATAATCGATAATAGATAATGAATAATTTATTCGTACTTTCAACTACGAATAATAAATATTTCGTTAATATAAGGATCGATTTATTTGTTTTCAGAGCCTTAGTTTTTGAAAATGATCTCCATTTAAGGATTATGCCACTACATTGCGCCAAATTTGAGGCTTCTGTATTTCTTCAATATAAGAGTCTATTTATATATTTTCGGAGCCACAGTTTTTGAAAATGACCTCCATTTTAAGATTAAGCCACTGTGTTTCAACTTATTTCAGTATTTTGGATTTATTTGATATAAGAGTATTTATATGTTTTTGGAGTCACAGTTTTTGAAAATGATCTTCATTTTAAGATTAAGCCACTGCGATACGGTTTATTTGATTTTTTTGAATTTCTACGATATAAGGGTCTATTTTTATGTTTTCGGAGCCACAGTTTTTGAAATTGACCTCCATTTTAAAATTAAGGTATTGTGTTTCGACTTACATCAGTATTTTGGATTTCTTCGATATAAGGGTCTATTTATATGTTTTTGAAGCCAAAATTTTTGAAAATGACCTCCATTTTAAGATTAAGCCACTGTGTTTCAACTTATTTCAGTATTTTGGATTTCTTTGATATAAGAATCTATTTATATGGTTTTGGAGCCTCAGTTTTTGAAAATGATCTTCATTTTAAGATTACACAACTGTGTTGCAGGTTATTTGAATTTTTTGGGATTTCTTTGAAATAAGTTTCTATTTATATGTTTTCGGACCCAGTTTTTGAAAATGATCTGCATTGTCGAGTTCACAAATAAACACAAATGTGAAATTGTTAAGTGCAGGAGAATTTGAGATCCTTTACTTGTTTTGTTATATGCATGATGATCTAACTGTATTAAATAAATACCCAGTTAGAAAAAAATGTTTATGGTATACAATACTTTACTCCTATCCTCAGCACCGATTGAATGACTTTTTTCTTTAATTAAATTATGCATTTTCTTAAATCTTAAATTATACAACAATAAAACATCTACCAAAAAGTAAAAAAATAAGTGATAGACTCTTTGAAATAAGACTGGTTTTAAAAGCAAATATGACAATTTCAGAGTCAAAAATGTGAATTAATTGATATTTTTTTAATAATAAAAATTATAACGATGATTTCTACGTTTGAAATTTCTTTTCATGTTAAATTATTGTTTTTAATATTCGTAAATTTATTTAAAACAACTTGCTGTAAATAACAAATATTGAAATTACTATAAAAAATCTTTTTCTTTGATTAAGGAATATAAGGGAAGCTTTATTAATTAAAATTGACATAAAATCTAGCATTAAAAATTACTGACATATGAATATTAATACATAAATAACTGAAATTTCTTAACTTCTAGAACTTTATTGTACCAGCTTGGTATTATATGAAGCACCTTTTGATACTAAACACCATAAATATTTTAAATTTTATGATTCTCAGAAAATTATAAGAATTATCATCAAACATTATACTTTTTCCTACTGTGTCAACAATAGAATTAAAAAATAAATACACGTACCTTATGCCTCATTGTCGAGGAACTAGCATTTTAAGTAAACATAAAAATTGCAGGTATACATTTTTGAACTGGTTTTTTATGTTTCAGAAATGTATCAGAAACAAAGCTCATTTTCAATAAACTTAAATACAAATTTTATTAAAATTAATACTAATTCCAAAAAAAAAATTGAACGTATAAATCTATTCATATGAAAGCTTATTACGACATTGCACAACATTAATTAATTTTATTTGATTAATTAATTAAATTCTCAAACAAATTAATGGACGAAAGTATACCTATAGAGAGAGAAATAATTTATTTGAAGTAATGCTTCCCTACTACATACTACAGGGTTGATTTATACACAGCATACTGATCAATCCACATGGACATAGCTTTTACATTATATCATTCCATTATTTTCTAAACATACTATTATTATTTTTTTCTCCCTTTCATAACACTTGTCATATACAATATCACTAACACTTACATAACACATACATTTTCTGAAAATAAAAGGGTATTCAAATGCTAGAAATACAAGACACATATACACACACACATATAATCACACACACATATACAATGCAATTCCATGTATATAGATAAAAAGATAAAAATTAAAATTGAATAAATTAATGACAAAAGACATCCTAAATTCACATTCATTTACTATACGAGTGATAATGGATGATCCCCAGGGAATCCAGAATAATATTCTCAGCCAATATCGCAAGCTCCCCAACATCGACATCCAGTTCCTCAAGAAAGCTCCTTGTTCTTTTTCCGTGAGACCTAAACCAGAGGCCTCTTATGGTGAATTCTCTCTATCTCTCTCTGAAGGTCTCACGGAACTTCTCTTTTAGAAAAAGGATACATTTATCATATTTATTTATTTTCCCTTTCCACTTCACCTGCCTGATCTAGATCATTGCTCTCAAAGCAGACAGTTGGATGCCGAACTCCAACGCCTTGCCACCTGCAGCTGTCCTATTCTTCAAAAGAATTTTTGCTTAGCGACTGTCGTAGAGCTTTCACATTTCGGTGGCCCTGATCCACTCCCAGTCTTTCTGCACATTCTTTGATTTCCGCATTATAATCAAATGTGGACTGGAACAGGGCATCCGGTACATTGGACAATCGCTGAGCAATGGACCAATGCTGCAAGGGAGCCTCATTTTGACAGCAGATAAGTCCCAATCCTCGATGCCTCCTTGGTCCATACAATGTAGCCATTAATGTATTAGCAGGTAGCCCGATAATGGCCTTGATACTCCTGTGAATATTTGTATCAATTCCTCCCAACGTCGCAGGATGTATCTTTGTGAGGGGCGCCGTCTGGAGAGGGTAGGTAAGTCGTGGGAACATGTATTGGTTGACAACATTGACCTTTTGCTCCAGTTTTAGAAATTTTAAAAAACTGCCCAATGATCTTAAAATGAAGATCATTTTCAAAAACTGTGGTTCCGAAAACATATAAATAGAGCCTTATATTAAAGAAATCCAAAAAACTCAAAGAAACCACTACACAGTGGCGTAATCCTAACATGGAAATCATTTTAAAAATCTACGGCTCCAAAAACATAAAAAGAAACAAGCCAGAACGCAGTTGTGTAATCCTAAAATGGAGATAATTTTCAAAAACTGTGCCTCCAAAAACATATAAATCGACTCTTATTTCAAAGCAATACAAATAAGCCACAAAACAATGGCATAATCCTAAAATGGAGATCATTTTCAAAAACTATATAAAATATATAAATAGACCCTTATATTGAAAGAGAGAGAGAAATACTTCATTGAAGCAGTGCTGCCCTACTATATAGGGTTGCTCTATACACGGCATACTCATCAATCCTTTTTTGGACATAGAACTTTATTATACTTGAATCACACACACACACACACACACACACACACACACACACACACACACACACACACACACACACATATATATATATACACAAATTCTTTTCCTCCTTTTCCATATCACTAATCATCTACAATATTAATACTATTCTATATCAACATATAGTATATGAGAATATAATAGGCAACCACCAATCTGGATTCAGAAAAGGGAGAAGCACGCTGGACCAGATCTTTATCCTAAAGCAAGTACTCGAAAAACGATGGAAACCAGCTCAGGACGTCCACATCCTATTTGTCCATTTCAAAGCAGCCTATGACTTTTGATAGGAGCTGTCTTTGGAAAATTATGACTGATCTGGGAGTTCCCGGTAAATTGGTGAGATTGACAAAGGTTTGTACAAATGATCCCAAATGTAGAGTCCTAATACAAGGAGAAGTATCTGAAGCCTTCAAAGTTCGAACGGGCTTATGGCAGGGAGATGGACTATCACCGATGTTGTTCAACTTAGCCCTGGAAAAGGTAATAACAACATCAAAGGAAAATGGAGAGGTCCACGTCAGAATGAATCATAAAATCCTTGGATACGTAGATGATAAAGATGTCCTTGGAAGTAATCAAGAGGAAATTGAGAAACTAAGACTGATCAAAAAGGCAGAGCAGATTGGCCTAAAAGTAAATGAAGGCATAACAAAATATATGATAATAAGCCGAAAATTCCTCCCCAATAACAGAATCTGCATAGAAGGGAAATTATTGCCGAGAGTAGAAAAAATCAAATACCTCGGGTCAACAATAACCTCAATGAATAATCAGTGGGCAAAAATCGGTCGCGAACGAGATTAATGGTTATGATTTGGATATTGTGGTTCTGCAAGAGGTTTTGCTGGCCAGGGGAGGGCTTGATAAGGGAAGGGAAGTACACTATTTGGTAAAGTACACTATTTTTATATTAATATTTTGTGAAATATTAATGATTTTTTAAACTATTGCTTTAGAAATTAAGAACATTTAACCTGAAACCTTCCAAAAACAACCCAGGTATTGGTTTTTAGTTCATTGATAAAATTTAATGACTATCTTCATTGAAAACTGTGATTGAGATTGATGAATGTAAAGATACCATTTTCTGAGCAAGCAATGTTGAAGGTTTATGTATTTACCCAGATATTTTTGTAATTTAAGTTATTTCAATTTTTCAGCCCCATGGATGTAGATAGAGAAATAATGTGGGAAAAAAGACATTATTTGTTAAATCATCCTCAAGCATTACCAAAAGTTTTGTTAGCTGCCCATAGTTGGGATTATTCATGTCTTCAAGATTTGCACTCGATGTTACACTCTTGGGCACCATTAGATCATGTTAGTGCACTTCAGTTATTGTTACCATGGTAAGTTGACTTTATTTCATGATACTGACAGAAGGAATAGTGAATAGAAAGAAAGAAAAGACAACATTCAATTCAAATTCTAGGGATTTATGAATAACTTTCCATGGCCTATAATTATATTTTAAAAATAATTATTAATTGATTTATGTTTTTTTACATATTTTAGTTTTGCTGACAATGAGGTAAGATCATTTGCTGTTGATTGTATTAGTAAATTAAAAAGTGATGAATTGGTTGATTATTTGCCACAAATCGTGCAAGCACTAAAATATGAAAACTATGAAGCTTCAGCTTTATCAAAACTACTTCTGGAAAGATCTCTCAGTTCTCCAAGAGTGGCTCACTACTTATATTGGTTGCTTGTTCAGGAACTTCCTGGGGGCACCCCTCAGGTGAAACTAAATATTTTTTATCTTAGTGCTTATAATAAATTAATGGCTATTTCTTGGTATAAAGTTCCTAATCTTTTCAGAATTCGTGTGAATTAATTGATAAATCACTTGTTTCTGAAGCTCGCTACTACAGAAGACTACAACTTGTTTTAAGAGCTTTATGGGCAATATCAGGAGAAGCATTGAGGAAAACATTTGTTTCGCAAGACTTGTTGGTTAAAGTAATGGTTTTTCATTATTCTCCTTTTATTGAAATTACAAAAATATTCTATTTCAAGTAAATATTAGTATAACCAATAAGGGTTTTAGTCTTTTAAGTTCTAGTTTAGGACATGGCATGTTAGGTTTTCATAGTCATTGGACAAGATAATTGTTTTACATTTTTCTCATTTAATTACATAGTGCTAATAATCAACAAGAAGTTAGTTGGAGAATAGTTTAAATTGGACAAATAGAGAACATCCATGAGAATAAAACCTACATTATATTAAAAACTACTTCTTAATACACTGATATGCTGAGTTTAATCTAAGTTTATATCTGAGTTTAATTTAAACTGGTATTTACGAGGTTTTTGAAATGCTAAAAACAATTATGAAGTTTTTTTACATAATTTTTTTTTTTTACCTTCACCTGAAGCAAGTTCGTGTTTTTTTGACTTTTCAGTAACCTAACATCAATCAAATCTTTTGATAATATTTTTCCCTTATTCTATGCAAAAAAACAAACAAAAAAGAACATTTACCTATCTTTTTATAGATGCAGAATAATAGAGGGAAAGAAAAAGGAAATCATTTTAAAACTTAATGATTTTTTAAAACCAATTTTCTTTTTTCTTGCTCATTGGAACGAAAACTGGGACACGTGTCTAATATTTTTCGATATAGTATCACCAAAAAAAATTCGGTTAAAATCCGTGACCCACAGACTATTGTCTCCTTCTAGGTGCTACCCCTATTTCCTAAATAAGGATTAGTAATAATGGTATTTGCCTAATTCTCTGAGTTGCTTGATAAGATAGTAAAATTCTTTTTTATATATCTCCTGTTATTCACATTGACTTGATAACCAACCTCCTGACTTAAGGATTTACCAATCTACCTCTATAAGTAAAAACAGTGTACTACTGCTATTATTTTTTATTGTGTGTAGACTTATTTCTGAGGGGGGAGGGTGGACCCCTACAGGTTGACGCTAATCATAATGAAGAAGATGAGTTTTACTTTCCAAACAGTGACTAGAGCTCATTAGATCTGTCAATCTATAATTTTATTGAATAAAATATACAAAATCATATACTTTATTGATTAAATAAAAGTTTGTTTCTGTTTTAATTTAAAAAATTTCTAATTAGACCAGCTATATCTAAAACTTGATTTTTTTTCTCTTATCAAATAGAGATATTAATTGTTGATTTGGTGTTAACATTCTTTTATTATTAAGTTAATACTATTAGTATTATTTAATTAATGTATTATTATTTAAGTAAAGTTATTCATTGACAATCTTCTTAATTATAATTCCTATGTTTTGGTGGTATTCAGGAAGTACCATTGAATAACTAACCTTTAGTTTTATTTTCAGAGAATGTCTGACATAGCAGAGAGTGTAAAGCAATCAAAGGAATCAACCAGGTTAAATGTTTTAATGGAAGGTCTCCATGGTCTACACAAATCCTTGACTGATGACCCAACTTGTTTACCTCTTAGTCCTAGCCTTCATGTAAATGGAATACATGTAAAGTCATCCTCGTACTTTCCTTCTAATACTTTGCCATTGAAAATCAATTTCACCAGCGAAGAGGCCATTATTCCTGCAATTTTTAAAGTGATTTATTATTATTTATTTTTAAATTATGTTGTGTAACTGTTAGTAAATACCTTACCATATATTGTTATTTATGTAGGTAGGTGATGATTTGAAACAAGATATGCTAACATTGCAAATGATTAGAATAATGAATAAACTATGGCTAAAAGAAGGTCTCGATTTGAAAATTGTGACTTTTGGTTGTGTTCCAACTGGCTTTAAGAAAGGTAGTTATTATTTGAATTGAACTTATTTTATAATTTTTTTTTCTTATCATATTACCTATTAGTAAAGCCTTAGCCCATCTAAGCTATTCCATTTGCAAAATTAAGTTTCTCTTTCAAGTACATGGAACCATCAATTCTTGGACTTGTGTTAGTTGTCCTATTTAGAACCATTTCGGACATTTGGTGAAATCCCTCTACAAGCTTGAAATTACTCTTCCAAGTTACTTTTGGAATTCAAGATTACTACTTGATAATTGCTGGTTCAATCTTAGGTTGCAATGATTGACCACCATTATTACTTTTCTTATTTGTGCTGGTATTAACGTTATCACTTTCTTATTAATCATAGTAGAGCTTTTAATATATTTGTTTTCTTTTTTTTTTTTTTTTTTTTTACTTTAACGGATTTGCAATCTTTCTGAATCTCTCTCTTATCTAGTTTTATAAATCCTCATATTCCACCATCTAATATTTATTTTAGACTCGTTAAGTTTTAGAAATAGCTTTGCCAAGATCACTTGTTAATGGTTTCCTACACAAACTTACTACTCAATAAAAAGATTTGTGCAACTTTTCAAACACTGTAATTCAAATTTTAAAAAAACACTTAATTCCTCCCTCCTCAATCCAAGACAGAAAATTAGAAAGAAGAAAAAACTATACCACAATTTTATTGTCATGCTAACTGAATTAAAAACAAGTAAACTTCATCGTTATTTGAGAAAATAAATGTTTAATATATATTAATCCAGTTTTGTTGAAATTAGACTTATTATATACATTTATAAAATAATAAATAATATATTTTAGGAATGATTGAAATGGTACCAGAAGCTGAAACTTTAAGAAAAATTCAAGTTGAGTTTGGTGTTACTGGTTCTTTTAAAGAGTGGCCAATAGCTGAGTGGCTTGCTAAACATAATCCTTCTGCTCTTGATTATGAAAGAGCTGTTGCTAACTTCACAGGTTTTTTTAATATTCATTAAACCATTTTATTAATTAATAATTGAAATAACCCTTTTTAATTTGTTTTTAGCATCTTGTGCTGGATATTGTGTTGCTACTTATGTATTAGGTATATGTGATCGCCATAATGACAATATAATGCTTAAAACATCTGGTCATTTATTTCATATAGACTTTGGAAAGTTTTTAGGTGATGCTCAAATGTTTGGTAATTTCAAAAGGTGAGATACTTCATATTTTTTATTTTTTATTTTGTTGTTTTTTTTTTCCCCTCTATGTATATTTACTCTAAATCTTGTTTACTACTTTTCTGTGACTGGAATATTATCTTCATTGCCATATGTTGTGAATTTCCCTCAATTTAGTAATATTTCAGGAATCTCTTCAGGTATTCTAAATATTTTTTAATTGTGATACCAAGAAAATATGTGCTTTTGGAGTAGGCAAGCATTATAGGGTTTTCTCCTCCTTTTACATTGTTCAATAATTCTTCTTGTGCTCTTGTGGTTAGGCATAATTATATTTTGTGTATATTAAGTATTTTCTGTGTCTGTGTATCAATTATTATTGATTAGATTTATTTTCTTTATCATGTGCCGGTACTAATTAAAAGTGTTTTTTCTAAAACATAAATCTTAAATTTCAGAGACCGTACACCATTTGTTTTGACATCTGATATGGCATATGTTATTAATGGAGGCGATAAACCATCTGCGAAATTTCACAATTTTGTAGATTTGTGTTGCAATGCTTTTAATATTGTAAGAAAGAGAGGAAATATCTTATTAAATTTGTTTGGACTGGTAAGTTTTAAATTATTTATTTATTTTGTCTTAAAATATACCTAGTTTTTCTTTATTCTCAATATAACCTGAATTGTTTCTATTCATATTTGGAAGTACTCTGCTTTTCTAGGTACCATTTCATTTGTAGAAGGAGAAAGTTCTATATATTCTTATTTGATAATTTT